ATTTTTCATCTCTTATCGACTGATCCAATGCATTGTATGGTCAATAATTAACGGGTTCGATTCTCATCAGGATCAACAAGTTTCTAAAATAACATATTGGACTTCATCTGGAAGATCTGAAAATTAAACTGGTGATAGGAATATCGAAGTTCAGTCCGGGTTAAATTCCACAGATTTAAATCCGCAAAGTTTTTGAGGTCTGTGGATTTTAGAATGTCCAATACCAAAACAGATTGACAGCGCATTTTGTACTGATCGCAGGGATATTCACATTCCATACATTCGTTTTTATGTCATAATAATAAAAACATAAAAAAACTTTATTTTGATGTCATCGTTATCCTTTTTTATCCTATTAAGATTTGATTCCATAATTCCTTATTACTAGAACTTTCGCTACACTCTTCTGGTACTAATATTTTTAATCTAAATCTCAGAGCATAAAACGCATTCTGTATTCTCGGGGGGTTGCCAGACTCAATTTTCTTTATACGTTAGATCCTTGTTTATGCGGGCAACACTTTAACGTTCCAGCATTTTATAGCTTTATATTTTTGTGTGGGAATCTTGCACCCAAGACACCTATAAAAGAGATTTATTCAGGACCGAATTTACACTACAGCATACACACGAAAATTATGACTATTCTGTTAAAACGTGATAGTGATCATTATAATTATTTTTTACTAGAACAAGGAAGAAAATCCGATTTTTGCTTGTGCCGTAAAGCACCCGAAGACAATAAAGAGACCGGCATACCATAGAACAAAAAACTCAACTAACACCACATACCAAAACACCTAGCTTGATAAAAAAAATCTGCTTATAATATATTGACACTAGTAATTATAACTTTAGTTTAAAGTTAGTTTAAAATGAAGACACAGAAATATTGAACCGTTGAAATTTTATTTAAAGATTATGAGTAATTTGAAAAAGGTATTTTTTGATTAAGCTAAAAGGAGTAATTTTGTAACTTAGCAGTTGTAAATTTGAAATTAAATTTTTTTAATAAAACAAGTAATTTAGTATGGCCAAATTTCAAAAAGTAATCTTTGTTAAAGTTAAACGGAATAATTTGAGTACAAAGGAGTTCCAAATTCGAAAAAGTAATTTGTAATTAAGTTAAACGGAGTAATTTTATTACTTAGAAGTTCAAAATTTGAAATTATTATTTTTTGTTTAAGTAAAACAGAGTGATTTGAGTTTAAAGCAGTTCCAAATTCGTAAAAGTAATGTTTTCATTAAGTTAAACGGAGTAATTATAGTTCTAAGCAGTTCCCCCTTTTTAAAAAGAAAATGTTTGTTTAAGTAAAACAGAGCAATTTCGTACTTAGCAGTTCCAAATTTAAATAGTGGGCGAAACCTCTCTAAGCATCTATTTTTAATACTCTGCAGTCTCTATTTACGTACCGCTGAATCTCGCTTGAGGTAGAAAGTTTCAAATCAGATGTGACCTAATTCGTGATAGTTATTTTGAAGTTTCATTAAGTATATGAATGCTAGTCTTGGTATTTCTATGGAATCTATTTATGATATTCCACAGATGAAAAAGCCGTCAAGTTTTAGTCTGTAGATTTCCGAATATCCAAAGCTAAAATGCATCAACACCGCATCTTGTTGAGATGTTTTTTGGCTGTAGTTCACCTACCATCAAGTTAACCCCAGGCTGGTCTGTACTCCTCTATCGTAAAAAAAAAAAATATAATACTGGCCACTAGTCATTAAAAACACCAAAATATATTTATTTTTACGTCGTTATTTTTTTGTCTATTATAATTGAGCTACGTTTTATTGAGATTACAATATGTGTACTTATAGTCAGGAAAATTGATACATTTTTAAAATTAGGTCACACTCACTTACAGGTATAAACCGAAATGTTTCACTAATTCATTAAAAGAAATTAATTAAGCGCAACTTTTAGTTGTAATTATTAAATTCTTCTGTTTTTTTTTATTGAGGAGGACAGACCAGCATGGTTCATTCGATGATAGATAAAATACCTCCGCAAAATTTGAACACGGTGCGCTGTCGACCATTTTTTTGCTTTTGATGTTTAAAATCTACCGATAGTAACCTAAACTCGATTAAACTTCATGGCCTTTCACCTGTAGACTACTATTCGATATTCCTACAACCTTTTTAAAAATTGAGCCGTCCAGACAAAGTCCAATATTAAAAAATATATAATAACTTGGATTTGTGACCAAACGCGTGATTTATTGTCTAAAATTACTCATATTAAGGTTCGGTAAAATATTAGATTAAAACTAAAGGGGGGGGAAAGCCGGGAGGTCGGTAAATAGCGCATCTTGTTTAGATGTTAAGTGACTGTGTTATTTCATCTTCCATGAATCCCATGCTTTTGTCCTCCTCGGTCAGAGAAAAAGAAATACAACGTATGTAACTAAACGTTTTTTCATAGCAAGCTTTCTTCTTGTCAAGTTGCCTTTAGGGGATTTTTTATTGGCTATCAGAAATTTCTTACTCAGCCGTTGCGTCATATATTACAACATTGCGGTTGTATTTTATACAGTCACGGTCAAAATTAACTATTTGAAGATAGATTTTAGAACAAAGGTTATGAAGTTTGTGTTACAGGAAAGATATTTATTTGAGTCTAGTTTGAGCACTGTAGTGAAAACCTTAACTGTTGCATTACGTATTCATAATTAAAATAAATAGATATTAAACAAAAACTAATTTATTTTATTAGGCACACAAAAATAATACGGTGCGATTAAATTAACAGTTACAAAAGAGGTTATATAACAAATCTAGTTTAAATAATAAATAACTTAATTAAAAAGGTGTTATAATATTTATAACAATACTTAGACTTGGGTAGACCTCTGTGACCAAAAAGGAGCACCAAGCGAACTCACCTGTAATTATAAATTCAGCTTAACACACCCAACTGAACCACGGACACAAAAAGAAGTTAACACAAGAATTACAATCGCTCCTTTTAATTTTCAAACATGGCGTGCTGAGAATAAGTCGCGTGACCGCGTCGCCATAATTTTGGTTACATTTTTTCGTGTTTATTTAACGTAAATAATAATACAAACATGCGCTATCTACTACGTGCGCTAAAACACTGGATACTGAGGGGTAGGAAATTTCTACGTTTGGGTACTACGTGTCAAAGATTATTAAATGTAGACCGTCTATTCAGTAAAGACGTCATGAAAGTGTCCTACTTTGAAGTCTTAAGTACTTTTCTAATAAAATTCTCTATATGTACACAATATCGCTGCTTTTATTTGTCATTATATAATAATCGTCTTTAGTGTTACAATATTTGTATTATATTAATTTACTTTAGTTAAATAAATGGTATTAAACAAGGCTGTTACAATATGTATATTACATAACACTACAGTGACACATTACTTTGCGCTTTCGAAAAGTACAAGCTACTATTCAACCACTATGATAATCACGTGCTCGTGCACGATACCTCATATTTAATCACAGTTTGTATAATAGTTAAAATAAAATAAATCAGCCGGACTCGAACCCACGGCCGTAGGTTGCTGTTGGTGACAATGTCACGTCTATGTTCAATTAATACTTATTCTTCTCAATTGATTACGCCCTTAATACTTACGGATTTGAGTCAACGAACCCCGTCTCGAATTATTTATACATTTTTTTTAAAATACTACAATCAATTTTTAAAAATACTACAATTATTGTTATAATAAAACATATATCAATTATTATTTATTTTATCAAAATCTATCGTTCGTTCGTAGCAATTTACGGCCAATAATCAAAAGGTCGTGGGTGCGATCGTCATCGGATCCAACATGTTTTTAATTTTTCAATTTTTAATTTTTGTGAAACATGTAGGACTTCATCTGGAAACCTGGATATCAAATGGGTAGTATACCAAAGATGAAGAAATGAAGATTAATCACGTTTCGGTTTCAATCTGTGTGTAGAGGCTCTACGATCACGCGTAGCATTAATTCGTAGAACGTTATCAAGCTACGCAGTTACAATAGTGAGGTAGGCTTGCTACGACCATCTATTTTTAATATAAAAAGGGGTATCTTTCGCAAAATAATCTTTGTCCGTTATAGGGCGGGGTGGGATAAGGATAAAAAATCGAATTCGTACGCCATTAGAGAGAGAAAGAAGAATACCGGTGTGGGTCATGTTTGATCAACTTTTCTTTCAATTCTAATAAAATATGAGATCCCTAAAGTCTTGGTGGCTTGGTGACTAATAATTCAGTGATAACCTTTATAAAGTAATCTTATGTGAATAATACTTCAAAGAAACGTAAAAAACTTCTACATCTTTATTTTTAATTTCTACGCTAGAATTGGTGACTAAAATCGACTTTTAAATTTTTTCACTTACACTGCTTTATGCTAAAAATTTTGCGATGCCTGTCATCCAGATTGTATGCAACTCTGACTGTATCTCAATATTCAGTTAAATAAAACAATTAGTTGATTAAAAAATGTTCTTATTGAATATATTACCTACATATAACACACTACACTAAAATAGAAGAGATAGTAGTGTTCCTTCACTAGTGTTATGCTTATTGAGTTAACAAAATAAAAAAAGGTTTTTATTAAAAAAAAAAAAGGGGGTTTTCCACAACAAAATTTTTAAAACACAAAAAAATCGTGTAACGTGTGTATTAGTTAACATAATTTTAAAACATCGAACCGTGGCAAAACTAAATTAAAGACAGATTACTAATATATTTCGCGTTTTAAACCGTTAAAAATGTTTATTTCAATTTAACTATCAAGAAACAATACGTACTATTCGTCTTTACTTAATTCTTAACTAAACACACCTCTACAAAAGTTGTAACACAATAAAAACCTTCTGTATAACCGTATTATCGCAATAAAATTCTCCAAGATAATGTTTATAGCTTATTGCTAATTGTAATAAAATTATTTCCCCATAATAACTGTTTAACATATAATGGATTTATTCATTGACATAAATGTTATCTAAGCAAGATGTCTGTTTGTGAGTATAGCTTATGTGTTTTTGTTTTACATAACCGCAATATTTAAATAAAACACTTTAACGACGATCCGACGGCTGATCGTTATTAAAATAATTTTCAAATAAGTTGAACTAATATATACCGCGTTTTAAACCGTTAAAGTGTTTTGTTTTAATGTGTTCTACTCGCGTAAACTACAGACAGTATTTGGTTTGTTTCTTTTCACGGCCCAAACGAAATCGAATTATTAAAAAAATTTTTGAACATTGCATCTCGTTCGATCAGTGTTTGAATTTTAAAATAAGAACACAATCAGCAAATTACATACTTGTACTATTTCTTTTCTCTTTATAGTGCTTTTATGATAACGTAAAATGTAGGTTTTTGTGCCTGTTTTATTTTTAATTTTATTTATCAACATTATATTCAAGTACTTCAGTTTGCGATCCGAATGGATTCTAGTCATTATTCTTGTCCGAAAAGTTTATCTGTAGTTTACACGAGTTAAAATATAAAACTTTTCGATCGAACGCGACATATATATGTCAATTTATTTTACTATGGCCCGACGTTCCGGTTGCTTTGCAGTACACGGCACACAAACGTCGGGCCCAAGTTGACATACATAGAACAAGTTATATCTTTAAAAAATGTCTTTTAAACAATTTTTTTATGATTCTACAGAACTCGAACCCCGGACCTCTTACGCTCAACGCATTTAATCATTAAGAAACGATAAGGCCAATTGTGTTTTGGGGGTTTTTATAGAATGGAAGCTGGAGTACGAAGCAATGTACGCGCCCATTAACGGCCTTGTTCCACTCGTCAAGCACCCTTTGCTGAATTGGTCCAAATTGTCGTAACGGTCTTCCGACACGGCATTTCCTCACCTACAAGATGTCGATTTACGAACTAAGAAGCTTAAAGGGCGAAGCTATTTAGTTCACATACTGTTAATTGAAAGTTTATTTTGTATTTAAGATCTTATTATAATTATTATTACTATGAATTTTTCACATTATAGCTTTATAAAAAAAATCGATAAAACAGTTGCGTCTCGAACCCATGTTCAAAACTATACGTGCTGTTGCTCCAACCAACTGCGCTACCCCGTCACCATAATATAAAATAAATTATTAATATACATTTTTATTTATAAAAAAAAATATTCATCATAATGAAATCCCCATTCGCAGTATGTACTTGTTGTGTTAATTTAATTTTTTTTTTCGTAGATAAATTGGTGGCATTCCTCATATTTTTCGTCGTAGGTGCCAAGTCAAATAATGTTACAAACGACGTAATCATACTATACAACACCACTGCACCGCCATGGAGAGACTGGAAGTTCAAGGATTATATTCTGAAATTCAAACCAAGTCGCGTATGGGAACAAATATCAAACAGTCCGACCAGGAGAAAAATCAATGCGGACGAATTTGAAAGAATGTTCAATGGTATCGATGAAACTGACGAACTGTTATCGTTGAAAGTGCCGAACGGAAACCCGAAACTAATCATTGACAAAGACGGAAGAAGGCAGATGAAGAAGAAGAAGAAGAATATTGTGCTCGACAGATGGGCACCCCCCGGCGATATAGGTAGTGATCCTTACGACAAATTCAATTTGAAACGTCGGTTCCTAGAACTGATGAAACAGGCAATTTATCAGGCAAGAAACAGAATGATTATTATGCAAACATACAGGTTTACATACAGAAGAAGTTCAGTTTATAAAATGGGGTTTCTGATGAGCAAGACTGACCAGGCAGTGAAGACCTTCGCGAGGTATAGCTTCAAAGCCTTCATGGGGTGCTACTATTCAAGACTGAGGAAGTCTCGCTTCTATTATATTGATTTAGCTCAGAGTTTTGAAAGAGTGCTCGAATTGTGGTTCGAGGTCGAGCTTTTAATTGACTTACTGTTGCTCAATGACCAAAATTGTAAGCGCATGTTGAACCAAGTCATGACGAATAAGAAGGAAGCTTGGCAGTTTGTTGATTAAATTATTAAGAACTTTTTTTTATTTCTTTAGTTACCCCGAGATTTCATTTCAATAAAAATACCCCAAAAGAAATAGTTCGTATGTCTGTTTGTATATATATAAAGCTGAAGAGTTTGTTTGTTTGAACGCGCTTCGAATTGAAAAATTCTTCTTTTTGTGTTGGTTAGAGCATTTATCGAGAAAGGCTATAGGCTATAAAACATCGACGCTAGGCAAGAAATATGAGAAAAAGCAGGAAAGTTATTCATCATTATTGGTTTCCGAGGCGTACGCTGTAAAACGATTCGAGGTACCCAAAAAAATGTGTATGAAAGAATCTTTAAATGATCTAAAAACAGTCGGCGATGCTATAAGTACATATTTTAAGATTAACTTGCAAAAACGACGAGAAGGGACGCGAATGACTTCGTGGATAACCGCGATAATTTATAAATATGTGGAGGTTTGCAAAATAATGTTTTCAATTACTATCTTGTATTGTTTACTTAGCATGTATAGCAATCACTTAATTTAAATAACAGCATGTTATTCATAATCATTTTACTAAATAAAAGCTTAAAATGAAATAACAATTTAATTTTAAGCTTTTATAAATGTAAGATCTATTTTTAATTAATAATAGGACATAGTCGAGAATTGAAACCACCGTGCTCGTTACACGCCAGCTCGAGTCTTGAACGTGATATAACTTTTTTATTTAAACATGGTAATTAAAGTTTTGTATAATTAACATGAGGAAATCGTTCGCGTAAAGATAAATTATTTTTTTTAATATCTTTTAATACATTTACAAACAGCGGATTGGTTCTTAATTATTACTGAGCATGAAATGAGAAAAATGTTTCGTCTAATACCACTCATTTTATACAATATCTTGAGAGTCACCAAAGCGAATATACGTGAGTATTAAAATTCATAATGAAACAGAATAACTTTTTTAGTTTAGCAAATATTAATACATTTTTGACACAGTCTGGACGCGGACCCACGACAAACGCGCGTAACCCGCCACAGAAGCTAATGAGACAGGAAGACTTCTTATCACGCAAACAAATAAAATAACTATTATTATATTCTTGTAGCAAATAGTAAAAGCTTTACTTTTTTTGGTTTTTCTAATTATGTCAATGTCAGTGTGTACATACATACATTTATACAATCTCTATAAACACTTTCTCTATCTCTCTATTAATCTCATATAAGCTCTCATTTGATAATTGTTCTTACACAGGTGAGAACGAGCCGGACGCAGTAATAACATCAAATACAATAGACATTGATGAATTAATATCGAATGGTATTCCTAAATTCGATAACTTCTACATACCATCTATAGATTTGAGGGACAATAAAACGATAAGAAGACGTTCAGACGAAATCGAATTAACCGTAGATTCACTCCCACTTCTGATGACAGCACAAATTGAACCCGTTCCTCACCAGAATATGACGCAGGATTTAAAAGAATTTTACGAGTTGAATAGTATGGTATCCAATATCACTAGGAGGTTATTATACATATAATCTTTAATTAAGGTTTTGATCCATACGAATTCAACGTTAGGTATGGATGTAAAGTTTGACTCGTATGTCTTATGATAGCCATGTATGGTTAATAATCATGGGTTTGGACTTCACGGGGCCCAACATGTCTCTAATCAGGTTACTTTTTTCTAAAACATGTTGGAACGAAATACTGGATGTTGAATGGGCGGTATCGTAGTTCCGTCCGGGTCCTGACAACCCGTGAAGTTTAATCGCGTTGCGGTTTCAAAGCCAAAATAGTACGGTAGCGCATTTTATAGATATGTAGTATGGCTGGGGTGTTTCACCTTTTATCTAATGAACCTAATGCGCCGACGCACCACAGAATGTATGTTACCATCGTGGCATTATTCCCGACATAAATAAATGATTCCCTTTTTAGAAATAACTCTATATTTGTTTATCTGTGATTGTGAGTCCTGGTTTGTCTTACTTCTGAGTTAGTTGTATTTTAGTTTGTCAAAAATTGTGATCGGGGATCGAAAACGAGACAGATTATTGGTATATATAAACAGACATGGTTTGTTGGTATCAACAAACGAGACCTATAGGCATATAAGTGACACCATATGCTTCATAATTTACATCAATTGATGTATATATCTCGACACCTCTTTAGCAATTTTTGGCGCTCGTTCTTTATATCTAGATAATTTTTCTTTATATTTATAGATATTACTTCCGGGACCGTGAGGATTATCCAAATAATATTGAAAAATCGAAAATTGAGAAAATGGATAACGTAGCCCTTCAATTCTTATTCCACTCTAGGTACCTGATCAAGAAGGTGATTACCCAGAAACGGAAGTACCGCAGGAGTTATCGTTATAAAATTGGTTACTTATTTAACAGATTGAGACGGTTGAGGTGAGAATAAAATATTTCTAATTTCTAATTTCTGGATTCTTAACAAGGACTACTCTATTGGGCAGGAGTTGAACCGGCATCGCCAGCGTTCCCTGCTGTTGCTCTAACCAATTGAGCTAACGAGTCCCACATATCATCGTGGAATTTTTTTTCAATTTATTGTAATATGCATCTCTCGCGCAATGTAATTTCGACCTCGACTATGCGTATTAAACATTATCTTATTCAAACTTCTAATCTATCAACAAAACTTACACTATCATTTTGTTTCAGCGCGATAATTTTGAAAATTAACTTTATTTTAAATATTTTTATAGATATGAACAACTTAAAATAGTAACGGTCGCCGAAAACCAGGTTCAAATAGATAAACATAGGTCATCGTTAAGTAGACAAGATCTGACTTCTCTGTTACGCTTTTATGAGAAAGTAGTTCGTTTTGACATTGATGTAAAGGACACCAGGAATTGGATTAAAGAACTACACAAGCAGAAACAAGCGATCGACGAGGAGAAAGAGGTCTATATCCCGAAAAAGAACAAGGCAACTCCCAGGCCAACAATGGCACCCAAACCTCCTATACTTTTATAAAAAATGACATAACAAGACTAATATTATTTTATCTCTGTACAAGCTGCGCCCGAGTGGAATTTTAAGCATCATATTATTTATTATTGCATACAACCCTCTCAGCTTTATAAATTATAACTGCTACTCACGACAAGACATTTACTGTCGCGAATATTTTGTCAAGAAATTATAGATGCAACACAAAAATAATTTTTCAACTCGAACCAGTAGTTCATGAGATTAGCGCGTTTAAACTTACAAACAAAATCTTCAACTTTATAGTATTACTATAGTAATAAGTACTCTCTTCTATGGGGGGGGGGGGGGGGGGGGGGGGGGGGGGGGGGGGGGGGGGGGGGGGGGGGGAAAAAAAAAAAAAAAAAAAAAAAAAAAAAAAACAAAAAAGGGCCCCCCCCCCCCCCCCCCCCCCCCCCCCCGAAAAACCCCCCCGGAAGAAAAAGGAAAGGAAAGGGGGGGGGGGGGGGGGGCCCGGCCCAAAATTTTGGGGGCGGGAGAGAAAGGGGGGGGGAAGGGGGGGGGGAAAAGGGGGGGGGGGGGGAGGGCAAAAAATTTTTTTGGGGGGTTGCGTTGGGGGGGTTTTATTTCCAAACCACCAAGACACCCGGTTATAATATAGTTTAATGTACGCTATACAGTCCCGTGCATCCATTGATAAATAGACAAGATTAGTTCTGTATTTAGTTCCTTACTGTTCAAGAAATTATAACACTTTTACTAAAAGACACCCCACAGTGGCGTTGTTCGAGCGTCATCGTCATGACGTTGGGATTAGAATTTAGGTGACTCATCAAAATTTATACTTAGAGAATTTTATCTAACCCCCCCCCCAAGAAGAGGGGGGGGGGGGAAAAAAAAAAAAAAAAAGAAGGGGGGGGGGGGGGGGGCAAAAAAGGGGGGGGGGGGGGGGGGGGGGGGGGGGAGTTGACCAACAACGAAAAGGTAATGTAAATCTTGCTCCAATGGATTATTTACACACAATACATATCTAACTGCCTGGTCTAATGGTTAATGAACTCAACTGAAGAACACGATCTTCGTGTCTCGAGAGCTTGGAGCCGTCACTTAGTATTGGTTTATTAGCTTTAAGTTCTAATGTGAAGCGTATTGGATGAAGATCTTCCTTGGGAGATTACTTCACGATGGATCATGACAATTCAAAAAGAAAGTATTCGGGGTATTTTATGTGTTATTAATTGAATTATGATTTGTTTTTAATCACCAGGTGCTACAATATTATTGCTATTTTTCGTTGATTTTGAGTTATACTTCATAAACGGTTTGCATAGTGTTGATAAAACAAAGATAATGTTTGAAACATTTATTGTAATAATATTTTGTGAGTAAATAATATCCTTTACTAAACTTTGATAAACAATTTTGTTCCAAATGAGAGAAAATATTATACCAATTTGACTTACAGACTCCATTCCAGTGGATACTCAAGAAAAACTGTTCCCAGAAATATCGGATTTGTTTGAAACGTTTAACGATCCCTTAAACATAGAGCCAGTGGGAGAAGTTGTGGTTAGAAATATTTCAGTAGATGTAGAAAAAATTGATATACGCAAGTTGAAAAACAAGTTGAGCGTCAAGACAAATTTGACGGATGTGTTACCTGACATTTACCTTAACGAGACGAGAAGATTAGATCGAGTCGGGAGCAAAAGGGAATTCTATGCTGCTTCAGAGCTTGAGGTGAAGATTAAGCTTCTAGACCTGATGCTGCAACTCATATATATGGCCAGGCACAAACTGAAACGTCTTGAAGCTGAAAAGTACTTCAATCCTAAAGATACTTCGTATCGAATTGCGTTCTTGTATCGTCGCTTAATAAGAATTTACAAGAGAATGACGGATGTTTATACAACGATGTGGAACAAGAGGTATTTTGTTAGTTAAAAGTATATTATAATTATATATTGGAGACACCATAGAAGGCCCGGTGATCAGTCCACATTATCTGCCAGCGATCCCCCGTTCCCTCCCCACGTAGTCTACTTCCTCTTTGGATTATCCAACTCTCACTATGTCTTCTCTACTCTTCTACTCTTCACACCTTCCGGTTTGTTTTCAAAACCTTCTTATAAATCTTTTTAATTCTTTGTTATTATCTTCTGTTATTTTCTCACTTCCCATATGTATTTGCCTTAATTTTGACTAAGCAGAGCAGACAGGAAGTAACCATTATAAATAAATTTTAATTAGTTTACTGAATCCGACAAAAATCTTCTTCTTCTCAAAATTGCCCTAGTTACGAGATTAGAGCATCGATCTTTTTAAGTATGGAGATTGTTATTAAGGCTAATAGTATGTTAAGTGTAATTCTCAGAATAATCACTGAAATTTGTAGACATTTCCACCTGATGGGCGCACATCTACTTCTCCATCATAAGGCAGCCAAGCTCCACGTTGACTTTCTTTACCTCTGGTGGGTACTGGTGAAGCTACATGAGAAATTCTGCTTAGCATATGGACTACCTAACTATGTCCCTGATGTTATATAGAACATATTTTAGTAAAAATAATATGAATTGTAATGGCAGTTGTAGTGAAAATGTGCCTATAAATAAAACAATGTTTAACGGTTTAAAACGCGAAGTATATATTGGTTATTCACTTTTAACTACCAAACAAGAAAAAATGGAGTGACAAACAACTCAAAAAGAAATGAAAATAGTATCTATTTAATTTAATGTGTATCATTCGCGTGAACCTGATATGAGACTCTTATCAGCTTAAATAAAGGTTTTTAAATTTATATATTTATTTCTATTAATGTGCATACTGCACTTAAAGTGTCGTTCCCATCATTCTGCCAAAGAAGTTCTAACATTGTGGCGTACATAATCGACATAATATATTTATAACATCTAGAAGGTTAAATACCTACTGTCTATAGTTTTCGCGAGTAGATGCTTTGCAGCAGCCGTGGTCACGAGGGAGGCTGCTGCAAAGCATCCGAAACGTCGGGCCGAAGTTAAAAATCATTTCCAAATAAGTTTAACTAATATATCGCGTTTTAAACCGTTAAAGTGTTTTAATTAAATCTAGAAGGTTCTGTTTCTATTCGGATCTCGAATCGTGTAGATGTATGATAATAACAAAAATAGTACAGAAACATTCTACAAAAATATTAAATTATTAATTAACAAACGATAAGTTTAATTACAATATCTGAAGCAATAAATTTCTTAATGATTCATAAACATGTTCGCGCTTCTTAAATTCATCGGTAAGTGTTTCTTTGTATAATAAGAAAAATTTAATTACTTTTTTTTAATTCCTATTGACTATGATTCTATTTTACGGCTTGTTTTATATTCAATCTTTTTGGAATTCTTATTCTCTTATCGACTTTCTATGTTGTTTTTAAGTTAACCTATAAATCTTTCAGTACTCATGACGTCATTAAGAATGAGCCTTTTCGTTGAACAAACAGCAGGTCCTGCAGAAATAGAGGAATTGAGCGAAGAGTCGCTGTTGGAATACGCGTTCGGAAACAACACTGATCCGGACAAAATAGACATCGCTCTTCTTGAATCCGAACGTTTTCGAGATCTCGTGAATTCTGCGAGAAGGAAAAACAAGAATAAATACGTGATTGGCCACCAAGCACTCAAAGGGGGACGCGATTATATGTCAATGACCTATGCGCAATGTGATGGATCTGATGCAGCAATCGGTGTACTCAACCAGATATCGCTTGGAAGACACGAGGCGTTTTCGCAAGAAATACCGGAACGATCCCGCGTATCAAGCGGCGGTGTTTTACGGAGCGGCGATGCAGATAAGGTATAAATTGGACAGACTATATAACACGATGCGGAAGTTTAACGACGAAACGACGAAATTCATCTGGTATTTAGTTATATACGAGAGGATATTGCAGGCACACGTCGACGTCAACGACATGGTGGAACGTATGTTTCTTATACGGCAGAATTTCGTGGGAGTCGCGAAAGATGAAATGCCGGAATACGAGAATAATCCAGCTCTAAATGAACCACCGGAGCTTAAGATTAACTTTGACATTTTCGATGATAAAAAGAAAGGCGAAACTGCTATTCTAGATTAAAGATTAGTCACAAATATTTTTATAATTTTATTGCACGATAAATTAAATAATATTACAAACAAAAACAATGGGATGAGAATTTTCTACGATGTGGCGTAGAAGCTATGAACAGTATAAACAAACATAATACAACCTTAAATTATAATATAATTACAAATAACCACGTATGAAGTATTACGTTCCCAGTAATAGGGGTAAGCAAAATTTTAAACATATATATTTAATAACTTAGTTATAAATAATCTATATGTCCTCAGTGCTGGTATGTGGTATTTCGGTTACATATCTTCAATATTTATGCAAGTCATTTAATTTAATACATAATATAATTTCACTCTAGTACACGTAATAAGTCATTATTTAGTATACCTATTGTGACGACATATAGTAGATATTAATTGCAATATATTATATATTTATAGTATGAAAAAGTACACACGAGAAAGTTTGTAAAGTTGTACACCCGGTTTTAACTATTAAATATGTTTTATATATCTCTAATTAAAACGTACACTTTAAATAAAACACTTATAAGGCATCACAAAATTTTTATTTCTTTTAGTTTCGGATGCTTCCCACCAATCGTTGTCACTAGTGAAAACCGGTAAAGTATTTTATTTAATCTGTAGTCCTTCGCGTATACTACCGACACAATGTACATTTACAATTTCATCTATATACGTAGCCATTAAAAAGTTTGTAGATTTTAATGTATTTTATAAACGTAAGGTGATAAAAACAGACAGGTCTTTCACAACTACCCACTAGCAGCATAAATAGACAAATTTATTTTAGACGTCAATAATATGTTATTTCTACTACATTAATAATAACTACTACTACTATTTATAATCTATGATATTCGCTGAGCATTTCATTTTAAAATCTAAAAAAATATCTACTAACAGTGGCTTGCTTTAAAAATTACTAAAGATGCCTACGATCACTTTAAAATAAACATTACATCATCATTACATAAATTACATCACGTTTTATTTACACAAAAGCTTAAATATAACAATACTTTCAAGTTTTTAATGTTTAAACATGCTTATCTAGAGTGTAGATCTAATAATTGGCAATAACTTATAGCTTCTTTTTTCTTTATAAACTAAAAAACATAGATACAAACTACTATCTATGGTCTAATAAAGGACAATAGTGACAGCTGTCAATTTTCATGTATGAGCTTAATTCAACACACCACAGATACAAACAATACGATACTATTTAGTCCAGTCATTAATAATGAAACGGCTTTATAAATGATTCTAAGAATCCTCAGCTTATATATTTTTAATAAAGAACAAAAGTCAATATTACATACTAATGTAACAGTTAAAAGACCAAACTTTAAAACAAAATAATGATAAATTATCACATGCTAAATGGGTCTACTTTGACCATATGCATTATCTATGACTTTTGAGTTGTACTTTTATCTTAGGTATGCAAACTTTGTTTATAATGATATATATAAATATATCGGCCGTCAAAACAACACAATAAATTCGGAAGCATACCTATTCTTAAATATAAGTGAAATCTCATATCCCCATAAGCCATGGGTCAGGCTGAATTCTGCCTGTTTCTATGATTAATTTTATTTACAGACAAGTAGTTGATCAGACTGCCCCATTAAAAGGCCGCCATAGAGGCGGTCTCTAGAGCAGACATAAAAGCTTCCTAACATTCATTATTCGTAATTAAATCCATTGAGAGTATTTTAAGAGTGTAGTTTTAATATTAGCGAGTATTTACAATGTTCCGTTCACAATACCCCTCCGTATCATAAAATACTGTTCGGTTTTTGTTTTGATCGGCATGATGATGACAAAAATACAATAAGGACAGTATTAGAAGTAGCCTCAAATGTTCAAACCAGAAAACACTGGGCCACCTTGATTGCTCATGTTTATCATGTTTATCTGTTCTTTTCTACCATAAAAATATATAAACTGGGTGGTTAAGCATGACTAAAAGCGTAATTTAAACTTATTTTTTGCTTATAAAGATAGCAAAACGGTGTAAAAATACTGTTTAATTCGCTTTGAGATATGCGAAAAAAATCTCACACTTTCTAGATTCACCCTTATGTTTTTTCTCTAAATATAAATTGGACAAAGTTCAATTCAATTGTTATATAGAGCAACACTTAAAAGAAAGTTTACTGGGAAACCATGCCGACTATTTTATGCCCCGTTTAGGGAACTTGACTGCACACGGTGGGGATGTGAACCGGCAAGTCTCATTGACTCTTTACCTTCTGGCAACCTTCTCGGCTGAAGATGTAACAGAGATCCGGGCTGTTCTGAGCATGCGCAGCGAATTCATCTGGAACGAAAAATATTTGTGCATTACCATCAATATTTTCAAAATAAAAGGACTTTGTCTAATGGTAGCAATGTATGGTCAATAATCAACGGGACCATCATGTTGGACTTAGTCTGGAGATCTGAATCTTAAACGGGTGGTAGGAATATCTTATTCCGCCTGAGTTATGAATCACCGGCCATAGATGAAAAAGCCGTGAAGTTCAATTGCGTATTTTCTATGAATTTCCGAATGTCCAAAGCCAAAACAGGTCGACAACGCTTTCTTAGACTATATAGCTGTGATATTTCACCTTCCATCAAGTAAATCTCATACTTGTCTGCCCTCCTCTATCATAAAAATATAAGTACGTCCTTTTTGCATAACGATTCTAGGCTAATATGTTACAATTGCGTGTTATTCTTATACATATGTATGTGTTTCAAAAACATATTTCTCCATTTTTTTTTTGCTACACCAACCTTTGCAGAAGAAGGAGAAATTGCAATAATTGTGATAATGCCTCCTCTGTCGAGATAAAATATTTACTTATTTTAAGGGTTTTATCCTATTTGTGAATTGGCATGTGCAAGTAATATAATAATTACAATTTTAATATGCAATATTATTATATTACATAAACAAATAAAATGTGGGATATTCTCAACGTGGCTATATTGTTGTTATTCAAATAATTATATAATGAATTTAAAATAGCAAATAAATTACGCTTTACTAACCATACGTAATGTAATTCCTTTCATCCAAATCAATGCTCCTAAAGATATTGTGAGCTTCCTCTGGCCCAAGTCCAAGGGTGCGCACAGCGACCTCTTCGAAAGTATTTATGTCGAGTCGTCCCATACCCGCTCCATCGAAAATCTGAAAAATAGATAATTATAATGTATGTATTAGCTATTTAACCGACAGACACATTTTAAAATGACCGACGTTAAAGAATAAACGAAAAACATAACTTACTTAGCCGAAAGAAATATTGATTTAGTTAGAAATGATGTAATAAATATCTTTATCATACGATATATAATTTTATAGTCGTTACCAAGTTAACGTTGCAATGTTAAGATGAGATGACTTAAGAAATATCTACTTTATAACGTTTTAAATTAATATAAAAATATAGAACTGAAGATAAATGCAGTTGAAGAAAAAGGTTATCTTGCAAAAAATTGTCTGTAGATTACATACCTAAGACTTTAAAAAGTTTTTAAATGAAAAAGAAGTGTGCGAGATATAGATCACTGCCACAGTAACTTTTATGCTATATGAGTTCAATACAATTTAAAGCGATATAACCTCTCATGTGCAATCAACATGTAAACATTATAATAATGGACGTACATATTTAAATTTTAAAAGTATATACAGCAGAACTCTGTTTCATTATTTCGTTTCAAGTTTTTTGGGTTCTCGAGCTGTTCGACCATCATAATCACTTAATCAAGGAATCACAAGATCCCCTTAACGTCATATTATCGCCTGAGAATAAATTCTCAGGTACGAGGGTCTAATAACTCGAAAACACAAAGCTTTGATGGTCGTCGCCTTAGACAGTATAGTTTTCAAGTTTCAAAGGATGGTGTCATACAAAATTCAATCATCCTTTATAATACTTTTTGGGTTTCTTTAATTCCCATACCTTAAATGCATAGGATATAACTTCGGCGTGAGGTTCGTTCTGGTGTAACAGGAATACTGTCGCGAGCAGATAATCCGGGAAGAACATCAGGTCTATCGGTTTCTGAAAGGATTTTGACTTTAAAATTTATAATTGTAATTTATTTATGTAAATTGTTTGATAAATTAATTGTTTGATTTATCTTGGTCTAGCCTGTTTCATAGATTTCTTAGGTCTCCTGTAAAAAAGCAGAACAAAGTAATCTATATATATTAAATGCATTGAGCTAATCTCAAATACGTACAATAAATTAATCTTTTACGCGAGGCAGACTCATTACTATGTTCGCTACATCTTGAGCGAACTTACTGACTACCGTCATAACCTCTTTCGAATTACCCACAAAACGAAGGTAAAAATACTATTGTACCTGTAAAAATATTTTATAGAGCCTTGTTATGTGGCGGTTTATCAACACCCCCAAGCGGAGAGCAAACTCATCCAAATTGAGCCATCGCGGAGTTCCTTGTATACCTGCGTTGATCATGTCCAGCTCGAAATTGGTCAAGTCGAATCTGGAATATATATTAATTATTTATCACGATATAAAAAAACAGATGGGCATGAGGGTAATGGATGGGATACACCCCATAAAACGCCTAAGTAAGATCAGCTATCGACCTAGCGTTCCGACTACGACGGATTAGACGTCAGGGCTTTTTCGTCTTGTTACGAGCCGAGCGGTATCCAATATTCCAAACTTCCAATTAATATCGAATCTAATTGAAATAAAACACTTTAACGGTTTAAAACGCGATATATATTAGTTAAACTTATTAGAAAATTATTTTTAACTTCGGCCCAACGTTTCGGATGCTTTGGAGCAACCCTGATCACTTTACGTTACGTGGTTAATTTAAAAAAAGTTAATATACATCGCGTTTTAAACCGTTAGTGATTTATTTAAATGTGTACTTTTCGCGTAAACTACAGACAGTATCTAATCTAATTTTGAATTGGGTTTAAGAACATGTTGTATCTAGTTAAAATCGAACCCATGTTCGTCCAACTATGTTAATTAAAAATAAAATTATTAATTGTAAATTGAATCAGCCGAAAGTAATTCTTTAAAAGAACGAAAGTATTTATTTTCCTTACAACTGTCTAAAAAATGTAAAACATAATTGCAAGCAAGCAAGGGGAAACTAAACTTAACGTTTGACCTCTGAAACCTGACCAAAACGAAAACTTATACTAATATACCGGGAACTATTAAGAGTATTTCGTTTAATACCGGGGTTGTTTATCTACCTTAGAAATTATCACTTCCATTAATAAAAAAATGCGTTTTACCTAAACATATACTTCTTGTTACAGTTACACTTACTTTAATTGGCATCTCAATTCAGCGACTTCACGTATGGAACTTCCACCAGGAATCCCAAGTTGCTTCGCCTTTGCAATCAGGCGACAGTCATCGTAAGTGTAGTCAAGAACTGGTACTCCAAGGGCTCTGAAAACATAAAAGATATTGACAGCGGTGTCTATTTAAAAAAGGTAATTTATAGGTCCTTTGTTTGAACCCTGAGGGATCCCACAAAACAGAAGTCTGATCGACTTTTACTCGATAAATTAGACTCAGAACTATGTCTATAGTAGACATAGTCTGAGGTTACTTACGCGGAAATGAATACTCGATTTTGACAAGTAAACGACTCCATGAACCAGTGACTTTTTGAACAATCTATAACATTGTGAAAATGTTGCAGTAATAAATAATTCGTTAAAAAATTATATTGACAAAAAAAACAGTCAGAACTCGAATCTACGATCACAGGGTTCCGTAAAGTGGGAAAATATTATATGAAGGCGTTAGTAAAGGTTTTGAAGAGTTAGGCAATATAAACTAAAAAAATAATAATTGCCATTGTCTGGTTCTCAATTAGAACTAAGGTACCTTGCCATAACATCACGAACGTTCCGTGCGAAGAGTTTGGGGTTCTTCTTCTCCTCTTCAGTGGGATAGTACACCGGCAAGAATTCGATTTCACAGGAACTGTGCACTTGAGTCAGCGTTAGCCAAAGAAGTTTCAAACTGAAATTATATGAATAGATATGAGAAGTGTTTTTTTTTTGTTATTTATTTATAATTGAACAACGAGTATAAAGCTCAATCAATTGTGTTACCACATAACTCGCATTTACGTGGCAAACATGGTAATAATCAGATAATGAATCGTGATACTTTAAAAAGGAAAAGGAGCTAAAAATTGTTATGGTATTGTTGTATTTTTATTGCGGAATATATTTTGACGACTGGCCAAAATGGTAAACTACTCTAGTTAACCATTTTGGTAAACTACTTTAGTTAACCATTTTGGTAAACTAGAGTAGTTTACCATTTTGGCCAGTCGTGAAAATGTAACCAATCATTAATAGACTATATTACTATTCATCGATGCCCGATGACAGCTCGATGATTAAACGCCTGAAGCATGAGTGCTCCAGGGTTCGAATCTTGGGGAAAATGCAAATATTATCAATCACTAAAGAACAGAATGTCCTCACCCAATGTCCCACATGACGTTTCCTCCTGTGCCTGTTGCCCCATAACTAAACTTTTTTTAAAGGAATACGTACGCTCCAGGTCCTTCCCAAGTCCAGGTCACAGTATCTCTCGCATTGGGATAGCGAATAGTGACTGGTTGAACCGGTACTCCTGGATAGAAGCCACCTGGTTTGAACGTGATCAGACAGGACCGATTAGTGCACGTGCCTTCAGGGAATATCAGGACCTGGAACCATATTCAATTTAGACTCTTCTTGGAAAAAGGAGGACTGCTAAGCGCGGGGTCCACTTGATTGTAGGTATACAACCATATAACATCTAAACGAGATGCGTTATCGACCTATTCTAGCTTTGTATATTTGGAAATTCACAGAATGAAACCGATATAATTATTTAAATAAAACACTTTAACGGTTTAAAACGCGATATATTAGTTATTTGAAAATTATTTTTAACTTCGGCCCGACGTTTCGGATGCTTTGAAGCAGCCGTCACGGGGAGACTGATAATATATCGCGTTTTAAACCGTTAAAGTGTTTTATTTAAATGTGTACTACTTGCGTAAACTATAGACAGTATTCGATATAATGATTTCTAAATCCTGTTGGACCCGGTGGATATCGAACCCACGACCCGTTGATTATCAGCCATATATTGCTACCATTACCCTATAATTAGTATTTATATCTTGCGAATACAACAAGAGTAAAATCATTTCATATGTTTATTTTATTTTTTTATACAGACATATCTATTGCGTTGTGAAGGTAAAAAAAAATAAATAATTTTATATTTAATGGTCTAGCTAGCTTTACAAATAAATAAAACCATTTGAACGGCTTAAAACGCAATATTATCAAAAGCAAAGATGCTATAAAGCACTCGAAACGTCTGGTCTTTGTTAAAATCATAATCTATCATATTTAAGATTCAAGCCGTTAAAAGGGTTTTATTTAAACGACACTAACTGCTGTCTATTCATAGTATCTTTATAAATATCTAATGGACTTAAGTTTTATAATAATTAACTATTAATACAAACTAATGTCTATATCGCACAACACAAAACACGCACCGTTATAAACTGTCAAAATTAATGATGGCGTAGATAACATTGATGGATGGCGCAGTGTTAAAATAACAAGAATATCACAGATATTCTTGTTATTTTAACTTTCAATTTGATAAACAGTTTTTCTAGGAGTTTTAAGAAATAGAAACATGATTTTAAGGTTAAAAACTATTAACACAGAATTCCGTTCTAATGTATATATTTAAAAGTGTGTTTCTTAACCATTCCTTTACTTATTATACATTTATTAAATTATCTATTGTTAACATTTATTCATTCTCGATGTTTAGCATACAACCATGCGATTGTAAAAACGATGAGGTTACCAAAGGCTACACCAAAAATCCCCTATCTGATGCTTATATAGACCATATTTATAAAACTTTATCAGGCGTTTGTGCCCACACTAACCGAAAAAATATTCCCAGTTAATTAATACGTTTAGGATTTGAACCACATTATTAAATAAAGGACAATAAAAACATTCGCTGTACACGTAAAAGTCTATAAGGTTAAGAGTGTGTATACCTTATATATTTATACCTATATTGTTTTATTAATATGAAAGAAACCTAACACTACATAGTATAAAACAAAGTCGCTTTTTCTGTCCCTATGTACGTTTAAATCTTTAAAACTACGCAACGGAATCATGATGCGTACTTTTAATAGATAGAGTGATTCAAGAGGAAGGTTTTTTTTTCTGTAGAATCATGACGAACAGACAGACAAACAAAAATTTTTGGGCGACACTACTAAATAATTTTTAAAATTTTAAAGAGTATAAACGTTCACTATTTTTCTGTAGTCTATATACTATCAGCATTGCAACCGAGCGCAGCTGGGGCGAATCGCTACTAGATAATAAAATAAGACGTACCTGAGGCCAATCCTCTTTAGAAGTAGCCCTCTCTATGATTTCTTTAATCGTGTTCTGTCGAGAATTAGGATCATCACGCCACACGTATACAGGCTGTGTGTAGTTTATAAGCTCTGAAACACGATACACAAAATAAGCTAAATGATCCCTTGCTAATCACCACGATAACTAAAGATTACGTAAATAATAGTGAACTTACGATAAATTTAAAATTAGGCGTACATCTTAAAGTGGACTAGCTTACACAAAACACTAAAAAATAGCTTAAAAAATTGAGCCACAAAATAACGTACAGTTCTAAAATAAAAAGCTTATAAGTGCAAAAAGCGAGCTATTTACAAATTATTCATGCAGCTTATAAATACTGGCGGAAATAATAGATGAACGCTTTATATTGTTGCTGCATCTAAAAATTGCGCTATTAGAAAGATAACGAGCTAGACACATGTTACCGGCAATCTGTTGAATTCGTAATTTCCAAACAATGCCTAGTTCCGCAGCTGTGATACATAAACCTTTTTTTCTCAGGTGATCTATGATATACAGAATGTGCAGCCAGTACTTTTTCTATGTACAGATAATACAAAATTACAAACACAAGCAGTTACCACCCTATGTTACTTGTACGACCTTAAACCGCGACTATGTCCGCGTGAAATAGTGACTTGGGGTAGAATTTTTAATTCTTTAGGTTGTGTATTGATTTACGCAAAGGCGCATTTAAGGCTGCCAATCCATGTTGTAAGTGCTACTTTGCAACACTCTCACCTCACACCAATCCTACTCTCACTTCCACTCCCACTCCCATTCCCAAAAAGCCAAAGAAGAAAGTTTCATTGTTCTAGCTCCAAAAACCACGAATTTCCATACAAACTTTCATCCCCTTTTTCCAACCCTTATTTGGCAATAATAAAATTGCCTCTAAAGTATCTGTGAACCAAGTTTTATTTAAATCAGTTCAGTAGTTTCGGAGTTAAAGCGACAGACAGACAGACAGAGTTCCTTTCGCATTTATAATATTAGTATAGATTAACACCACAGGAATGATTTACAAGAATAAAGACTTATGTACAAGCTTTTAAGTAAAAAACGGCCTTATCGCCAACCAGCGATCTCTTCCAGGCAGCCTATTATTGTATTCTAGTTTCTTATGTATAGAATACCCAAATTATTCAATTTACCAGCAACGTATACAAAGCAACTGCATTTAATAACAATAATCATCTTCAACCATTCAATGTTGTTAATGCTTATAGGAGAAAGTTCACCTGCAGTTTTTAGGCCATCCGACTGACTCTGTATGACTTTTATTGCCAAGATATGCATGGATTAGATTCAAATGGCGTGATTTGACGAGCGATAGCTCGTCAGATAACTTGGTAAAAGTAGAAGCGACAGTAATTATTGTTGCTCGGAGATTTAGATAGTAATTAAACTCATAAGACGCGAAGTTTATTATTCGATTTATTCTGTCTGTAATTTATGCGAGTAGAACACATGTAAATAAAACATTTTTAACGGTTAAATAGTCGATATATATTAAACTTATTTGAAAATTATTTTAACTACGTTAGAATTTACGTTAGAAGTGGACTGACAATACTCTTGATGGAAAATGCAATAGCCATATATAATCTCAACTAAATGCGCCGTTGCCACATTCTTGGCCAAAGCCAATATTCGGAAATCCACAGATTTAAACCGAAACGCGATTAAACTTCATGGCTTTTTCAGCTGTGGACATGTTTTTATATTACTACCACGCGTTTGAAAACTTTATTAATTTTTACATGTTATTGCACATGAAGGCACTATATAATTAAAAAAAAGGACTTGAACCGGCATCGTCAGCGTTTCGTGTCGCTCTACCAATTGAGCTACCGAGTCCGAGTTGGTAGAGCAACAGCACGGAACGCTGACGATGCCGGTTCAAGTCCTGCCCGAGTCGAAAATTTTTTCAATTTATGTTCGATTTTTAAATTACCACCCGTTTAATATCCAGACAAAGTCCAACACGTTTCAGAAAAATTATATATATATATAATAAATAAAATAAAATATATAATAGATACACGTTGGACCCGATAGAGATCGAATACACGACCCGTTGAATATTAACCATACACCGCTACCAACGAGCCCGTCCATCAACATATTAAAAACCTCTCCTTTAATATGTTAATTTGGATTTCAAATCGACATAGATAATAACTGGTTCCATCGCATATGAATCGTACCCAGTATTCGAATCTTAAACTCAATTGGTTCACTGATTTGACATATCAATAAATGTCATCGCACAGAGCGGAAATGTAATTTGCACTTATGACAATTGACATGTGATTGACATTCGTTTTAAGGCTTTTATGGGATATTATTTTCCAACACACGTGTCTAAGAGCTGATATTCCTGATAGCATTAATTTCTTGAACAATACACATTTGTGTCTGTGAGATACAGAAATTTATGTGTCTGTTAATTCGAAGGATTTTGATTCAAACGTTTTATGTGCTTCCGGAAATTTGAATTTAGATCCTAACACATAAGCTAGTCGACAAGTATATACAAGTACTTTACTGTACCAAACATAAAACTTCTGAAGAAAATACAAGCCAAACTTCAAAATGGACTATTTGGAAATGATAGAATTGGCTTATTAGCTTATCAGGAGCGTAACCTTTCCTTAATTTTTTTAAAATTTAAAAAAGGGGGGGGGGTTTTTTTTTGGGGGAAGATTTAGGGGGGGGGTTCCTTCCTAAGGATTTTTTAACATAAATTACATGTATTTAACACACATTACGCGTCTGGATTTTATTTATTTGTCAAGCTAGGATTCGATCGCGCGCCTATTTCATTACCATATCATGGCAAGTGTATCAAGCAATATAGGACAAGGAAATTAAACAACAAACATTTCATTTTCTATTTGAACCTACACACTTGATTTTATAATACTACGGTAAATATGTAGGTTATAAGAGTTAGACCCAACTTCATTATATCAAATCAAATCAATGTAATTATTGAATATGTATCTACTGCCATATTAACTCTATCATATTTGACATTAAAACTGACTTTACCTCCACTAGTATTATGTATACCCACTTCTGATACTTGTGTGTTGCACATGCACCTCCATGACCTTGCCATGAAACCCTATAGCCAAGCAGGAAGCCATTAAATTCTTTATAAGATTACAGTTTCCATTCAAATCGTTGGCAATTTTATTTAATAATCTCTTGATAGCTTTATTTCACACGTGTGACGTAAGACAAAAATTGCATATTTGATTTCGTAAAAAGACGATCTGACAGGAGAAATATTTTAGGCCGGAATATAACGTTGCTTTAAATGAACAATTAGAAACTCCTTTAAATGGAAATGGTGGTACTTAGGATCAGTCTAGTCAGTATTGCATTATATACTTAAATAAATTAAATTATTTTAAAACCGAAATCGTTTTTTATGTATAATTCAGTTATTGTAACGCACGTCGTTTACAATTGGCCCCCCTTTCATATGAATCTATTTGGGAACTTAGACCCATCGCGCACGTTTAACATGCTCGTTGAGATGCAGCGTAATACGTACTTTTAAAATCCTGTCTGGTGTTAGAAGAAAAAAACTAAGAAAATCTCCGAAAATCAAAGTATCAGTTCGCATCAACCGGGATTGGAACCCAGGATGAAAGCGGCAATCACAGAGCTGTTCCTTCTAATATGCATCTTATATACTTCGACAGATTTCCTAGAACCAGTAAGTATGTTCGTCAGAAAGTCATCAAATATGATAGAAACGACAGTATTATAATAACTTACTTATAACTAGTAAGCAATAAGATGTCTTTATGACAGAATACAACTTTCTTTACCACTAAATGGTATAGGTTCATTGACTTGACAGCAAAAGTATGGATATTACAACGACAACATCTATCTGAATCATCTATCGTCAAAGTGTGCTCTCTCCCGGCCAGAGAAAGAAGTATTATTTTACCTTCTATGAAGTGAACCCTATGCTTGTATGTACTCTTCTACCATACAAAAAGCCTTAGCGGTCCTAGGTTTGAACCCTGAGGTAACCGAATAGTTTCTTGCAGACACAGAAGTTATTTAAATTGCCATAAATGTGTCTGATCAATTTAACATTCGGGGCATTAAGCACGCATATCTGTTATTAAAATTCAGTTAAAATCGTGACAAAAAATAATTTCACTTAATTCATAGCTCAGCTCTAGATCTTTTGTCAATACGCGACGTCACACTGCGCAGACTCAATAATTCATTTTAAAGTTATTTAAAACCTTTTTATATGCCTTTCACATTTTCATTACCACCGTTTTATAATAAGTGAATTGCAATTAATTTGTTTTAGTATTTAGTACGATAGAGAAGAATAGGCAAGGGTAAGGTACCTACACTTTTTAGAAGATAGAATACCCCATGCTTATGACCTGGACAAGATGCTTTGTCGCCATATTTTTGGCTTTAGATATTCAGAAATTAACGACTAATACCGAAACAACTTCTTGATTTATGAGTGGTGACTCGAACGTATCTACATTTTACAGACAAAGTCAAACATCTTTCTAGAAACGCGTTAATAGATATACATCGCTGCCATTTGACAAACGATCCCTTCGAACTTGCTTACATGTAACCTCGATTTACTCGCTGTTATATGTTTTAAAATGTTCTTCCTATAAATTAAAATGTAGAGTATGATATTATTGAGCTTAGTTAAGCAACTTGGTAAATTACATAAAACCATTTAAATTAAACCAGCACCAACCCTTACTTATACTTCAAAAGCCGCCACCAGGTATTAGCTAACCAAAAGATCCCAGAAGAATGACGACAGACCAGAACCCAACCGTGAGCTATTTTCAGATTACCTACTTCCAACATAGTTATCCATGCTTTCCTTCCGCACGATAACTGAAGACATTCTGGTGGCATAGACAATACAAGAATCTAGAAATGATGAATGTGGTGCTACCACTAAGATGGGGGCTTCTCGTCGACTCGCCTGCCGGCCGCGAATCGTGATGGCCATACCACCAGCGAGGTACGACATCTTGCCGATGAAACATATTAGCGGTTTCAAGGATCTAGAAAGGGAAATAAACGATTATAAAAACACCCAACAACTGGAGAATTTTAATCAAAGTATTTTAACCTGGTTGTAAACCGAATACATGCCCCCCGAGACCACGGCTGTTGACAACGTTTCGCAGGTCTTTATTGATTTCATTAAACATATAGATGGCATTGTTATCACACAAATAATCGCTGTTATGGTAAAAATCTTTGTCAATTACAAACTTTGTCAAAATTTTTGGTTTTATTTTAGGTATATAGACACTAGGCAGTCTTCTTTTAAATTTCTTCTGGTGCTGTAAGATCCTCCCCCGTGACCACGGCTGTGCAAGGCATCCGAAACTATTTTCTATTAGGTATTTTGTTCTTATATATGTTTATGAGTTAAGTGTACATTATTATACGTTAATTTCAAACAACAAACAATTTTAATATGTATATGATCCTGAACTGTCTACAGTATTAATAAAGTTGTATGTCAAAGATCTTGGATATCACAAAGGGATGGAATAAAATGTGCAAGATCCAATACAGATCATATTCAAGAATTTCAATAAATACAAAACTTTTCAATATTGACTGTTGGAGCACATGGAATTTAATCTTACAGTACCCAGTTCACAAACATTAAACTTCACTCGGATTTCTGGAACTGCAGCTTCGAGTTTCAAAAACCTTCGAGCTCGAAAGTTTTTCCATTTAAGCCCGCTTACATTCTATGAAGTTTACACTTACTTAATGTAGCCTTAATATTCTCAAATTTACAAGATTAGTTCAATGGTATAAGCACCCGACGTTCATCAGGACGGGAGTTCGAACCTCAATCTAAAATTATTGTACATTTTTCCATCGTGAAAAAACCTCTTAGAAGCAAAAAGTGAGTTACCTATAAAATTGACATCGTTCATGGAACACGGGACGAAAGCAATTGTTTGTCCGTTTCACTAATCAGTTATTTTACAGGCGAGTAATTAATTAGACTTCTCTGTCCTGCCCGATCGAAACAAAACCCTATAAAAATAGTTTCCCCGGGATTCGAATCTAGGACTATTTGCGCTTAACCATTTGGCGACATAGGCGTTCCCAGCTGTGGGAACTATGAAAGGCTGAAGATGTTAGTAATTGTAAATTGGGCATCCCACGCTGTTGCACGAAGCCATTTTTTTTCTTCTATCTTTTTAATATGCAATAGTAAATTATCATAATCAGGTTATCTCATAATTATATAATAGCAGTAGAGTCGCAAAACGTAACCATTGTTTTAATGTCAGTGACACCGATATTTTAAAACACGTTCTTGCCATTTGCGATGGGCTCAAGATGTTCGATTAGATCTGCACAATTAAGGATCTTTAAAATAATCAAAATCTTTGTATTTAATGTATGTTTGTAATTAATCAAAAATTAACTAAAAACACTTGACGGTAGGTTAAGTCTAAACACATTCGCTGTCTTTCGGCTTTCGATATTCGGAAATCCGCAGATTAAAACCGAAACGCGATTTACAACAACATTGTGTGAATCTCTTTATTTGGCATTCATTTAGTTCAATGTCACAAAGAAATAATCACAACAAGAAATTACAATAAAATAACTAATACAGAAAGATTTAATTTCATTTGAAGAAAACTTGACGGCTTCTTCATCTGCGGACCGTACGAAAATTCAAAATTCCTACCACCCTTCCAGATTTCGTGACGAAGTAGTTATTTAGAAACATACTGGTAGGAAACAAACCTACAGTAGTTACAGTCTACTCTAACAGTTAGTCGTCTTCCAGGTTTCCAAGTTTATTTAAATTATTTTATCTTAAAACAGAGTTCAAGAACTCGTATTTCAACTAACATTGAATTAACACGAAGAGCAGAGATACTTGTCTCACGCCATAGCGTGACCGTAACGTGTGAAAATAATTACACGTCGCAGATTGATTCGATACATCTCGGAACCCACAGCGAACACTCTTGTCTAATATACTAATTTATTTTTTTGTAAATACGATTGGCTCATATCAATTGTGTTTATAAATTGAGGCCGCTAGAGGCAGAGTAGCCTAACTGGAATTTTGTGACTTGAGTTATTTAAAAATGTTCATCTACAAGAGTACAGTGACGGAAAATTGCGCATTTTTATTTTTCTCCATTTTGAAAATTATGCTTTTGTTATTAGGCCACTCTACCTCTAGTAGTCTAGTTCAATTCTATGCAGTAAAAATACTGCATTTTAAATGTACAACAAATAATACCATTTATTATCACATGTTATTGCACATGATGGCATAATAATTGAAAATATATGTAGATTAAAAAAAGGAATAATACGGTCGGGTCCTGGGTTTAAACGGTTTAAACATTGTATGTTTAATGGGCATCGTATACTGGTACTTTATAAATCATTGCGTTACATTATATCCCACGACAACAATATTTTGTCAAACTTACCATCCTATATTCAAACTATGAGACAAAATATAGTAAAAAAATCTAATCTAAGAAATATGTTATTTTAGATTTCCTTTATCGCTCGATACAAAAATATAATGCCACAAAATATAATAGTTGTCTCAATTTATAAAACGCAAAAGAACATTCTTAATATATAGTCATTTCGCATATAGATTTACTTATTCTTTTATCCTTTAACGACGATGTTGCGTAATAAACGTCTTAAATTTAAAAAGTAATTTAACGCTACCATTATTACATCTAAATTGGGTGCAGGTGTTAGCTTTACTTTTAGCACCATGCATTGAGAAACTGGAGCCAACAAAAACATACTATTAGCGATACTGTTATCACTTCTAACGAGCAAAAAAAAAACTAAAAGCGATGCTTCAAAGTGGACACACATTATTTTCTAGCACAATACTAAACATAGACACAGTGACGAAAAACACACCTAAAAATCTAGAGTCTAGACAAGCAGCATAATTGGTGAACTTAGGCGTTTGCTTAGAATTCGATATTATAATATTTAAATAAACGAGAGATGTACAGAAGTCACTTCCATTTAATGGAATTGGAAAAAGGATTCGAACGGCGAGCTGTAGGGCCGAGGGATTTGGGGCCTTCTGAGTCGCTACGGGGCTATTCATATATGAGACTGCTAGAGGCAGAGAGGCCTAAAAAAACCTGATTTTCAATAAGGAGGAAAATAAAAATACGCAAATAAGTTAGGCGAACACGAATTTGTCCTATTATTTGTGTAAGAATTATGTTAACAATTTTCGTCGCTGCTATTGTAGATTAACATTTTTAGACTATAAAAACATATATAAGTCATAAAATTGCAGTTAGGCTACTCTGTCTCTATCAGTCTTATGTTATGAAGACGATTTAGGGGGAAGGGGGATCGGTAATGTCTTATTTTACTCTTGATAGTTCGTAGCATCGCGAATGCGAAATGTTAAAATTATAAATTTGAGCTCCTAGACTGAAAATCTTTTGCACGTGACGATTTTCATATGAACGATTGAAACCAGTTTATTTTCTACTAAAGAGTAAAAAATATTAGGTCCTCTGGAAGTACAAATAAACCTTTATAAAAATTATAACTTTTTTCCATTAGATTTTTAACGTAATATTAAAGACGGAGGAGCCCGGCCCATTCGTGCTTTTTCAAAACAAACGAAAATAGATAAAACACTTTAACGGTTTAAAATAAGTTTAACTAATATATATCGCGTTTAAAACCGTTAAAGTGTTTTATTTAAATGTTATGACGAATAAAGAATGAATAAAGAATATGTATGTAATAGTTCCTGTACTTGTAAACTAACCTGAACGAAATCTGAGAATAATGCGTTACGTGTTATGGCGTGCAGTTATTGTACCATAGAGTGAAAATATTGAGGCATTAAAGGTCACTACGAGAAACAGTACCGTTACTCGACGGAAATTCCACATGACCATGTGAAATAAGAGATTTTATGGCGTTTGACATATTACTATAATACACACCATGGATATTGTTTGTTTTTATCAATAATTAACACATACTGAGGTGAATTAACACATAGTGATATTAAACTACAGTTTAACTTAAGTACTTAAAATATTTTACAGAATATTTTAAGTTTTAAAATTTAAGTAAGGTGTTATGAAATATCAAAAACAAGAATGTATTTCTTCACAGATCACATTTCAAGTAATGTCCTTGTAAGCGGCGTTTTAAAAATACGTTTATTTTAAGTAGAGCAAAACAGCTGTTTGCACAACATTACGATTTCAGTGAGAATTTTTTATTTTGCTTAATTAAATATAAATTTGAACACGCCGCTTACTTTTTATGTTTTTTTTTTAACTGGCCAGTGTTTGAAGCACTTTCTAAAGAGTTTGTAATATTTTTAATCATGTCATTACCCTGTTTTATATGGAGGCTGTTAGCAAAGTGAGCGATGACCATGGCGATAGCTTCGGAACAAGGTTGAGATGCTAAGCATTTTTGACCGATGTTTGATATCTAATTTAATTAAATTTGTTGAATGAAACACTTTCTCGGTTTAAAGTCCAAATATATTAGTTATTTTACCTACATTTATGCTGCTAATTTATATAATGCGTATTTTAAACCGTTAAGAGTGTATTATTTAAAATGCTTTTAATAATCATTGATATTAAACATTTATTGCAGATTACCACAAAATATACAAACTAATCACTTGGATATAACTTCTTTTGTTTTAAAATATACATTTTATACTATTAAAGGATACGTCTGTATTGTACGTTATATTGTGTTGTGTTATTCCTTCAAAAACGTAACAAGAATAAGGAAAACATATTAATAAGTTCGTAGCCCAAACAGATAGTTTAAATTTTCAAGGTAGACAATCAGCAGAGATCAACGTATAACATGTAATAGTAATAATAGATCTTAATAAAAGTTAATGTTTATGTTTGGATGGGCAATATGGTCCCAACAATCTGTCATTCGAAAATCGAATTCTAAGCAAAGCCCGACCAAAACGTACGTCCGATGAAGGGAAGTTTTGCAGTGTCCGCCTTGGCGACGACACTGGGTGCACCGAGGCACACTATAGCGATTGCGTCAAAGAAACTCGAGTGCGGGGCCATGACCACGACAGGAGCTTCCCGTCCCCTGGCCACATGCTCACGACCGATCACTTTTACGCGGTGGAAACCGGCAGCGACGATCACCAATCGCATCAGCGAAAGAATGTAGTATCGTAGTTTGCTATAACAATAAATACCTCTAGTTACAGAGCTGAAGATGTCACATATATGCACCCGCAGGGCCGGATTCAAGGGAGAGCATCCGGGGCTCCATGAAAGAGGGGCCCGACAATAGAGATTTCTTAATTATCGCCAACGTTTATATGTATCTTAAATACTAACAGAATATATTTTCTCAATAAAATATCTATTATCAAAACTCGCGTTAGTCGCTTGGTTTATTATTTAGAAACTTCGGGGCCAGTAGGCCGCCCTTTCTTTGTTGCCCTAAGGTCAGACTTCTAAACCCGGCCCTGCTCTACCAAACTGATTGTGTACATATCTGATAATGTATATAAGTGAAAGAAACATGATAAAAAAATATATATATAACTTGTATTTGACCAGCTTTACTGGCACAGTAACCCAAATGCTACGGGTTCGAATCCTGTGAATTTTTTTATTACATTTTTAAAGTTAGTATTGAAAAATATACTTAAAATATATTAACATTGTTCATTAAAATAACAATATAATAAACACAATTTTTTGTCTTTTTAAATTTATTGTACGTCGTTACTGTTTACCTCAAAAAGTATACATTTTACACCAAAGTACTAGAGATTTATTTAATTTGTATATTATCGTTACATACTTTCTTATGTCAAATAGACGGGGAAAGTGGGTGAAACTAAGCTAGTTCAAGTATAAGGCACAGCACACACACTAGAAGTTAAAATAAAGTCTTGTTTATTAAGTATAAGTATTGTAAATTTAAACGTAGATAAACGTATACTTACAAATTTTGTATTTTAATTGTATTTAATGATCCATAAACTACAAATCATTATAAAAACTTCAATACTCAATCAATCTTAAACAAGTTTTATTGAGTCTGTTCTAATATCAATATTTGTCGCTGACAGACTCAACAGATAAGCTAATTTACATAACGGTATCGTGCATATTAGAGGAACCTAGAACGTTAACCTTAATACCCCTCGAGGTGCGTATATAAGAGGGGGGGGGGGGACTCGAAAAATTAGAAAGTGTAAGTTATAATTACATAAATACTGACTGTACTTTACGCGAGTAGTACACATTTGAATCAAACGCTTTTAACGGTTTAAAACGCGAAATGTGTTAGTTGAACTTAGTTCTAAATTATTTCAAATGTAGCCCGACGTTTCCAAAATAATACTTTCGCGTTTCAAACCGTCAAAAACGTATTTATACTTGTATGTCTTCTGTCCCTATTATTCTAAGCAATGTAAATATTATCACCGTGTCTGTACACTTTTTAAATTACCGTTAAAAACTGTTAACCTAGAAGTTACACTAAAGCCAAGAATGCATGGCGACCAGCCTTCTTTATGTACAAAAGTGTGTCTTATATTTTATTATAATTTATCTTGCGTTGATGGAAAACTCTCAACTAAGATTCAACTTTGATTAATTAGACTTCACAACTCTGCCGTTATGTAACGGAGCTTTTAAAACGCAAAGTTCAATAAAACATGTATTTTATTTATGGCATATAGAATTGTATTAATTAAATAAATGACTATATATTTAATAATTTAAATAATCTATAATAGTAATAGGCATAATATGATTACGTATTGAAAAAAGATGTGATATAACCCTATAATTTTGTATTACCTTGATAGTTTAACTTTCATTAACACACTCGGCAATTGGCCAGAATAAATGTAACGAGTTTAAATAAAGTTCTCGAAAGTTCTCTTTAAATGTTTTTAATTAGTTCTCTGCGATTTACTTAATTTCAGTTTATATAATTATTAGTTAAGGTAAGCGATGCTTACTGCAGTGGTGGATTAACTAGTAGGCTAAGTGGGTTATAACTTGGGCGACAATTTTGATTTGAAATATTTCGAAATAACACACATTTAACGGTTTAAAACACGGCAATTATTTGTTAACTCATTATTATTCTAATTTAATTACGACCCGACCGCGACGTTTCGCAGAAGCCGTGGTCATGAAGGGCGTATAAGTTAACTAATGTATTTCGCGTTTTAGGCCGTTAAGTGTTTTATTTAAATGTGTACAACTCGCATTAACTACAGACAATACTTAATAAAGATTCTTACACGACTGTGTTGTGAAATGTTTCTGATGTTTTGTAAAAACAAAATTTGCATCAAATTATACAATTGAGTTTCCCCTGCCATCGGCATTTGTGTGAGTGAAAATTGTACCATTTCGCCTTTAGAAAAGATATAATTCATTCTTATTTTCTTAATTCGTCGAAACACCTTTAATGTAGAAAGAAACACTGTAACACCTCTTAGTGTGAAAAAGTCCACCTCTGTACAAGAATACTTATATGTATAGTAGCTTCGTGAGGCGTCACACTGTACGTGACTTAAAGAATTGATAGGAGACCATAGCCTAACAAAATTGATTAGCCCATTCAACCTTTAAATTGAATGGACTCTGAGCAATTAAATCCGCCATTATCACGATGTTTGATATAATATGACAGTACAATAGAATCTGATACTGTAAATTTTAATTTATTATCACAATGTTATAGCTCTCAAAATTAATGACTCAATCTCAAAATCGTAAAGGACTTTCTTGGTAATAGAGATGGAAGAGTTTTTAATCAGTTTCACATCTAGATATTTCGAAGTTTTAAAAAATCGTAAACAAGTGAATACAATAGTCTATACTTGACCTCTAATAAGTTTAAAGTTCATGATTCTATATTATAATGTCAGTATATTGAATTGGGGTACTCATTTTGTTAATGTATACAAAGTATATTGTAATAACAGCATTACCTTGTTAGATAATGTCTTTGGCCTTCGTTCTATTGCACTATTAAATGTCAAAATTTTATATATTTAACCCGTTTATAAAAATATACATATATACTTGGTAGATGTTCTATACGAGGTTCCATATATATAGATAATAATAACATCTTTACTTTCTCAAAAAAAACGAACGAAAAAATAAAATCTTTAGCAAAATAATATGATTAACATAATTATTTTAGACCTTGCCGGCATAGGTTAGAGGATAAAATTACCATGTGATCCTCTAAGCTACCTACCTATACTCCCTATGAGTGAATGTTATATTTACAAAAATTGTTTCTCAACCAAAACCTGACATTGTGCATTGGACACGGCGCGCTCTACAAACGGACTGGCCTTAAACTAGACTGTCAAGGTCATGTAACATTTATACAAGTACACCTGACAATCTTTTTGCTGCTTTTTACAATACAAACTAACAATTTTGAATAAACCAGGTTTTTAAATGTACATCCATTTAATAAAAGAAGAGATACCAGATTTAAAGAAGGAGCAATGTTGTTTAGTATCTATATTTTGCTAGTCTGTGGTTACCACCACAGTATATACAATATATAAATGAATACTACACGTGTGGACCAAAGACGTAAAATAATTGCCACAAAAAAATGGCAGTCAATGAAAATTATTAATTGCTCGTCCATTCACGAGAACGCATTTATTGCCAAATACATAATGTTGTCATCGTAACATTCGTAATTAGATACAATAGTATTTTTATCTAAACATGTCTAAGCTGCCAGTATGTATATATATAAGCTAACAGTACATGAAATCGATAACTTTTTAGACTGACTTAAGTAGTTGGATTTGTTATACCTAACTCATTACGTATATTGTCTGTTATCGCCTGTAAATATGTATGTTTCTTTAAAAGAACAAAATATTGTATCAAAATAATTAACTGAATGATTTACTGTATTTCAATAAATTTATTTTTTAAGTTGAGGTTACAATCGAACATAAATGTTAAAAATATACGAAGCGTATGGAACAAAATAGAATAACAGCGAAGAAAATAATTGATACTTCCATTAAAATACCGCACACACCTTGAATATTCGCTGCAAATCTGTTTCCGTAAATATCAAAAAGGCCTTATTAAAATTAAAACTGTTTATTAATTATTATTTTGGTATACTTGAATTTCGATTAATATTTATCAGGAGAAGTGCTAATTATCCATTAAAATGCTATAGGAGCGCAACCATTTGACATATCCTTTACTTATTTAAGAATTCATTAACAGAAACAGAACAGACCGCAGTCATAAAGTTAGTTATTTCTTATATGGAAATATTTCCCAGTAGAAATCATAACAGAATAACAAAACTAGATTGCTTCGAATGGGTAGATGTGGTTCATAACCAACTTCGATCGCAACCAAACCACGTCGTTTCATCGACAAAGAGATACATTTCAACTCAATAAATTTACTGTCAAATGTCTACCTCATCGAAAGATAGCAAAATTAGTATTGTTGTAGTTATGCAAGCTGTCTGTAGATTACAACATCCCGAGTCTTTAGTTCAGTCTATTTTTTCATATAAACATAATACATCATTAGCGATTTTTATTTATTTACTTATTTAACTCTATTAATTATAAACACCACAGGATTTGTTTTATTAATACAAAAATATACTTGTTGTAGCTACTTAAAGCAAAAAGTGACCATATTGCTCGTGAGGCACCTTTTTATACATCGTTTTATTTATAAGTTCTTCATCATCATCATCATTAATCTGAAAATCCTAGGTATTCATAAAAGCCTACATTCTTCATAATCCAGAAGTCCTATAATTTCAAAACATTGAGCTACTTTCATGAAGGGTATTAATTTGTTAAGATCAAGTCTTCGCAAATGTATTGTTTTTAGCACTTACCTCCGCCATCCTGTCATGGGCTTCTTTCGTAAATCCTCTTCACTGAGGCCATAGAGGCCGATGCAAGCAAGGAACCATGCTGTCACAATTAAGTAACATATGACGATCACTCGGAATGGAAGTAGAATGACGGTGAAGATGGCCGTCTGAAAAAAAAACACTGAATACATATTCCAGAGTAAGAAACAATACAACCATATAGCAGAGCAGAATCAGCTGCATTTAAAATACTTTATATAAATAAGCGTTCTAGAAATTACTGTATTCAATTTATTCGTCAATATATAATCGTGCATTGCGCAAATATCCCCCCCCCCTGCAATTTTTGACATCCAAACATGGAAATCATGGAATTCATTTCATAGAGGCTAAAATACTCAAGTCATAGCGATATATGGATAATTCTAATATTTCGTCCTTTCCACGGGAAACTCGAAACTAGTCCCGCGAGTGGCGTATTAAAATGAAACAGTGTAGCATAGCTGATATTTCACTGTGTATACCCGATATCACCGTGATTAAAAGCGCTGCTTAAAAAAAATGTTTCGGTCGGGCAGGACATGTAGCATGCATTAGCCTGAGGACAAGCGTTTTATTTACATATTGTATACTACTGACGAAAACTAAAAACTTAGAAACGCTGGTTTATACCCAACACAAAGCAACCCGGGTTCTATGTATATACTCTACTTATGTATTATACCTTACGTACGCGACCTACGTGCGTTAGAAAGAAAAAAACAGAGCTATAATTACTGTTACACTTGCGAATGCGTTCTATTTTCATAAATTTGGCAGTTGCACCGTTAAAATATTTTGATAATCGAAACGTGTTGACCTTCCCCACGCGTTTGTTCGATCTTGAATTTTGACCGATTACAATAAGAACCGATCGAAATGGCCTAGCAAAGATCGATATATAATTATCTCATATCACTAGAGTAGAGCTTCGCTTTTAACATTTAATTAGAGTGTTTGGTTAGTAACAATATCTCTACTAATACTATAAATCTGAACATTTTGTTTGTTTGTTCAAACCATTTATCGAGGAAGGCTTTAGGGTATAAAACATCAGGCCGCGATCAATATCTAAAAAAATGTTCGTGACAGCATATATCTGTATATATATTTTCAGAATAACTCACAAGAAGAGTTTTGTAGTAATAAACTTTTGATAAATACTTAATATGGCAATACAACGTTTGGTTTGTCAGCTAGTGTAAATAAGTACTATGTCGGGGCTATGAATACCATGTCACCATGTTAAAAATACAGCGTATATGAGAAGTTACTCGCTTGCAAATTAGATATCAATCTAAAGATCACGATTTTAAATAGGGCGTGGCGCCATCAACGAATTATATGGAATTGAACTAGAAAAAGTTTGAATAATGTTCACGTCTCTCGGTATTTCATTGTTTATAGTAATCATATTAATTACTTTAGCTAACATAGGTACTGATATTCGGTTCGTCACACGGCCCATCACTAATAGAATTTGATTTATTCTACAAATTATAACGTCTATTTCCACATACACAGACGAACACTTCACGTGAAGCCTGATCGTAAAGTACGTGGTCGTTACGTAACTAAAGAAAGTCGGTTTTCTATCACAATTCTAGAATGTGATTCGCGGCCTATGACCGACTTCCTCAACAGCACATTGTTATTTATAGAAAAGTATGTTTTTCATTTTAACAACTAAGATCTGAAAACTTTAATATTTCAAAACTATAAAAATTAAAAATCGATTATACATTGAAAAACATTACGACTCGGGCAGTACTTGAACCGGCATTTACAGCGTTCCGAGCTGTTGCTCTAAACAATAAGCTATCTAGTCAATAAAGTTATAATCGATTTCTAATTTAACTTAAAACCTACCTAAGAAGACAACCGAGATTTGGTTTTGGTTGATAAACGGCATGTATTGCTAGGCGTTAAAACACGAAATACCTATATGCCACAATTTTTAATGACGACCCGGAAGTTTCAATTGCTTTTCAACAGCCGTGGTCACTTGGGACGTCGAATCGTACTACAGATTAACACATATATTTCAAGGTTTAAACCGTCAAAGTGTTTTATTAAAATTTGTACTATTGCGTAATCTATAGATGGCACAACTTCATAAATTTTGTTATTACTTCTTTCAAATATGCGTAATCCCTCGCTCAGCATTGGAAAAATGAATTTCCACTTCCACGAAAATGTATTTTGTGATTAGCGAATTTTTTTATGTGATTATTATCATTATTAAGTATATATTACTTCTTAAAAGCACCGTTTCCGTTATATTAGTAATTCTGTGACTGTTTTCAACTAACATTCATTTGTGTTTATTGCCAAGTGGAAGATAAACCGTAAACAGTCAAGTAGTAAGTACATATACTGGCATTCTCACTACGCTCACTTACATTGGTCAGTAGGGGGAAAGTTGTTTTAACCATCACTTCACTATTTTACTCGACAATCACTACTTTGAAACTTGTACCTTAAATGTATTCTGTGCAAATATAATAAACTGGCCAAGTCCGAGTTGGTCAGACGAAACCGGACTAGGTACATAGGTATCAATTATTTCTTTATTTACGTCTATCAACATGAGCTATCACAATCGACTTACCTACTTCTATATTGTTCGAGATATTGAGCAAAAAGAGGCGAAAAATTGCGTTTTACTGTATTTGTTTATAGTAACTAACCCAGAACTATTAAAGAAACCAAATATCTTTATTATATTCTTAGCGTCATTAAAAATTTAAAAATCGAAAATTAATTGAAAAAATCGACTCGGGCAGGACCTGAACCGGCATCGTCACCGTTCCGTGCCGTTGCTTTACCAATTGAGCTATCGAGTCCTACACCTCATCGTCGAAATTTTTCAATACATGCACCTCTCGCGCAATATAATTTCACCTTAGAACTTGCGTATTAAGGTTCTGCCCGAGTCAAAAAAATACTTTTTTTTTCAATTTATCTTTGATTTTTAAATTATATTATGTTATATAAGCCTTCATCTGCAATAACATGTGAAAAATATTACAGTTTTCAATCATTAAAAATATTAAATAGTACAAAAAAAAACTAATATATGCCTCAATGTTACACCTTCTTTCAATCAATTATCTATTTGTTTACTTATTGAATTAAGGCAGGAAAAAATTAAATTTTATACTAACGATCACCAATTGTGTGTTATTACATATAAAAAAAATAATTTAGAATAGAGCAGAGGAGTATATTTTGCTACTAATTATAATTGTCAATTCGTAACTACTGGCATATAATATTAACTGTATGAAATTGTAGTTACGATTAAGTGAGATTTATTTTCTGCGTAATTAGATGTCTTTAAACTACAAAATCACATCTATGTAATTTGTAAATATGCCTATCTGTTGCCTTAAAAAGAGATGGGGGGGTATATTATATCTTTAAGATTATTTTTTTAAATAATATACTTAGATCAATATTCGTTGTTATAAACGTAACACAAAAACAACAAATTGCGAAAATTCAACTGCCTAACTATCGTGGAATGCCTGATGACAGACAACGTCACACAAGTCTTAAAGTAAGAAACCTAAAATTAATTTATTATTTTAGATTACGTATAATACGTAATTGGGTAAACAAAATTATATTTAAAAGCCACAGGATAAACGCCGCATTGCAGTTTCCAATTGTCGTCATACCTCCTTGAAATGCATTAGGTTTTAGTTCGCGACAAACATACGCGAGTACGAGACTAAGGATCTAAATAGCGGAAAGACATTTTCCTCTAGCACCTAAAGGGTTTAAAAGCAATTTATTTTGTATGCTTTAGAGAGTTCACAACTCATGTACTAACATTTCTACAGTACTTACACGTAACTTTTAATTATAAAAGTAAAATATAGTATTCTAAATTTAAAATTGAAGATACACTGTGTATAACGAAGATATACATAAAAAAACAAAAAAGAAAAATCACGTCCTCATACATCATCACAGCTTGTGCTTTGTGTACTTTTATGCAACCATAAAAGTCATTTATTATTTATTTGTTTTTATTAGAAACGCGTATTTTCACAGTGAAGTAGATCAGACGCCAAAACATATAATTATATATAATATCGAAAATATTAATTTGGTAATATTCAGGAAAACGTTATTGTTTTGCTTTTTTATAACAAGTCTTAAATGAATTAAGTATTTTATTTTGCGTGGGACCAAACTAGGTGAGAGCAATAAAAAATGAAAGTCACGAAATTTTCCATACTAAGTAACATCGCTACTGTAATTATCGTCAATCTGTCTACAATACAAAGTTGACTATCCTACTAGATGTAAAAAAATTAAAAATACATGCGTCGCAAATAAAGTTATTCGGATACAGGGAAAACATAAACATTTAAGACTAAAAGCTCAATCACATTTTATTTTTTTTTAAACTGCTTTTTTTTTGTTTCAGGCTGTCGATTGAAATGGGAATAAACATTTTATAATAATATACTCGTACTAAAAAAACGAAAATTTTATTAAATAGACCGTAATTAACGAAACTTATAAATCTGATTCAAATAGAATAAAAAATAAATAAAATTGTGTTTAATCTCTTCTTATTGAGCACGAGTTTGTGCAATTTGCGCGCTCTAAAACAACAATAAAGACGTTTGGAAGATAATAAAAATAAAGACATTAATTTTATATAGAAATACATACCCTTATTTTATCATAGGTATTATCTAGTTCCAACTTATGTACGAACGGATTTAATATTTCGGCTCGCATTCCGTCTGGCGAGAAAGTCCCCGTTTCACTGTGCTTTTTACCATTCATTTTCACAACAAAATCACTTGCTAAATTCCTACAGTATATGTTTACATAACAATACACATTTTATGCGGTAAATTCGAGTTGAGATTGAAAGTGGTGTAGTGGTTAAAACACGTATTTTTAAATAAGAAAATTCACACGAATTTCGACATACATCTCGACATGAGAGAGAAAACACACTGAGAAACAGCTAAGTGTTTGTGAATGGAGACATGGAATGGAACATTGCTGAAACGAATGCTATTGGTCAATTACTTTGACAGCCTTCCGATTCGATCGACCCAGAAACCGAATGAGACCGAAAATTTTCCGAAGAATGACGAATACTTTGTTTTTAATCTATCCGTCTTTGATATGGAGTCTAGCCATTTGGAAGCAAACTAAACATTTTATTAATTAATGTTTCTACTATGAAAATAAATAAAATATTATTGCACCAACGTTGTTCCTAGCAAATTTCAAAATTTAAATTAAAAAAATCGATTTAAATGTAATAGATTCTATGGTAACATTATGTCTATGTCAATACTCTCTTTTTTTCTTTGGTTTTCGTCGCGATCATAGACGAACGCAACAATGGAATTGGCAATTTAAGAGTATTAAATAATTTGACTACGACCATTGTTATTAGTTAATCTGTGGAATTTTGGAAGGGTCTGATCAAGCTCGCTTTGATTTGTATGTAAATGGTACATACTAATGGAAACTAAGATTCAAAACCAAATAATTGACTTCTTCTCATTCTTGGAAGACTTCTACAGTACGTCTAAATCGTGTTTGAAAAGCTGCCAAAACCACGGCATATCCATAAATAAAATAATTATTCGGTGCACAAACATAAAACAGTGAGTTCGAAGCACTACCAAAAACTTGCAGCACATATATATAACCCTCAAATCCTTTAAAAATGTGTTTTAAAATCATTTTGTCTTAAATTAATCTACGTATCAGCTAAGTGCATTATTTGTTTTTAGAGCACAACTAAAGTATTCACCTCTGGAGGAATTTGAGGGCCTTCAAAACAAACTACTGTCTTCACTTCATAGCATTATTAATGTAGAAGTTGAGAAAATACAACATGAACTGTGAGTTTATTATACATATTATGAAAATTTAGTATAGTTATTGATATTATAATTTCTATATAAAAATACACATTATATTTATTATATAGAGTTATTACTTTAGTTGAAGAAGCAAGTAGATATTTCATTTGATTGGGTAATAGCACACTCTGGTTGTAGAATTGAGTCCTGTGTTATATTGTTCTTTTCTTATAGAAAATTTTACAATTTCTAAATGTCTCAGGCTTAAAAACTTGAGCCTATCTAAATTTTGTGTTAGAATTTCTAAACACCATATTTTCTTTATCATTATATTAAACAATATTTTCAATTACAGCTCAATAATTGAAGAATTATTTGAAAAACTGTGCCACAAAAATAGAGTACTCCAAGAAAGCTGTAGAAGCGTAGATTTCAATGAATCTTCTTCTTTAATTACTGGAACACCTTGGCAACCCCCTTTAAAGCAAATATTACAATTTGCATCAGAATCAATAACATTTGGTAGCCAGGTATCTGCCCAAATAGAAACATCTTTAAGTATTCTTTCATTGAAGAGACTAGAAACTGAACAATTCAGTAATCATTACAAATTTCCATCTCCCTGGCAAACAAGAATACCAGAAATATTAGCATATACATCTTTCTGTCAAGAAAACGAACTTTAAAATGGATCTCCTTGGTTCTATCTTAAATTCCATGCAAAAGCCACCATCAGCTAGCGAAGCACAAAAAAATGCCATGCGAAAACAAAAAGAGGCATATGAACGTAAGCAAAAGGAAGAAAAAGTGATGTTCAACAAATTTCGACAAAGTGTAGAGAATAAAATTAGTCAATTCATTAAGGATGGTACAAAACCCTACCTGCAGTTTGAACCAATGCATCAGATTTACAGATCTATAATACGAGATGTTGCAGAAACTGCTGGTGTACAAGTTTTTTCCTTTGGACAGGAAGGTGTTGATCGATATTCTGTTGTTTATCTTAAAGACAAAGGACCATCTGAAGATGAACTAACAGTACGTAGAAGTGGTGGAATATGGAACGAAGAAAAGGCTGTGGAAATGGCTAAAATTAGAGAAATGAATAAACAATCAGAACAGCAGGATTTAGAAGGAAGGAGCAAGAAACGTAAGAGCAATGACGAATTAAGTGGTACCTTTTACAAACAGAAATATGCTCACCTCATAGGTGAAGAAGCCGCTCTTGATGCAGCCCATAAAACCAATGTTAATAAAAGCTATGGTGAGGTTCCAAGTGAAAATAAAAAGGACCTTCGTTCTATTGAACAGACAATGGCAGATATCAGAGCGAAGAAAATGAGAAAAACTGAATCTGACAGGCCATCCAGCAGTCATGAGGATATTTAGTGGTATCCTTGTTATTTAATTTTTGTTTTTAAATTCGTGTGCTAGCAAGTTTTAAAAGTATCAGTCTAATTTTATGTTATATGATACCTTAGTACTGCAGCAATAATCTAGATCTTAGACTAATCTAAATTCTACCCGCCGAAAAAAAAATTAGTATGATATTAATACTACATATTGCCTTGTTGTTGATTTAATAATTAATTATTGTTTTTATAATCAAGGTATAATTAGAACATTGTTAGGACGATGCCTTATATATGATACTTGACTAAAAGTAAACTAATTACTATTACAGATAGGTAACTATAAAAGAGTACCCAATTAGGATAATGAGCAATAATTTACTGAATACAGTATAAAAGCTTGTAAGTTGCAAACTTACAGTGTATCTGGATATTCTAAAACTATAGACAAATTATTATTGCTTGTAATTTTTTATTGTGTACCACACAAAAAATGTTACCTGATAAAATTTAATTATTAATTTTATGGTAACATTGTAAATACATCTATCGATTGTTTTTGTGTTGAATATGTAACTGATTTATGGTAGATAATAATTTAGATAAGTTATTTTTGTACCTGACAGTACTGAAACAGAATTATGCAAAATAAAAAAATATATCAAAATGTGTGTTTTTATCTATCTTAAAGAGTTTTCAGTAGATGAAATGAAAAAAAAATTTTTTTTGAACGTTTATTTACCATCAACACGTAATATAGATTAGACAGACAAAGATATTTATACTCCATGTATTTATTATACAAAATCAAAATACATTACTGGCTGCAAGGAACATAAATAATTCCATAATATAATACTTCACTACACATTGTTGTTATTATTTTTTAGGATTTGAATAATCAACAATTTTAAATTTTTTTATTAAAGATATGCCCATTACGATAATCTGCGATATGTTTATATATTTATTTTTTATAAAATAAAAATCCGCCATGTAAACTTCGAGACACATTTGACATTGACAATGGGCATAAAAATTTAAGAATGATATACTCTGTATATTAGGTAATTCAAATAAGCGTTACATATTTTTTTTAAACAATGACATAAACAACACGAAAGACATCTTATCGCAACTGGTTAGGAAATGTAGGCATTTTTTTAACTATGATTATTGTCATTATTACCTAACATATATTGTTATGCTAACAATGTGCGTTTGGCATGACACTAGACATTTAATAATTAAAAATATACTCTATAACGTTGAATCACTCTTTTACCACAAACATTTATTAGAGTTAAACTTTATTTATTAATTGACTTATAACATTAAAAAGTAAAAGGATTTTTAAATTTTTTTCTGTATAGGTAGCAACAGATTATCTAAATACATACTGAATCTTACTGAGTACAAATTTGATAACGTTTTGCAAAATTCTGATATATTTCATTGATATGTAGTGAGGGTAGATTTTTAAAATACAACATCAAAAGCTTTCACAAGCCGAAATAACAACATCGTGTGATATGCTTACAAAATAATGACACCTATACAAATGATCTCAAGCTTATTATCTAACTAGAGCTTTTTGGTGTTAAGAACATCTAACCGACTCCTTATTATTAATATTACATTATTATCATTAGCTTCATAACAAAGGAAGAATAAAGGTATACCTCTGATTAGTTCATCGAGAAAGTAGTGATTATTGTCGGCCAAATGACTACAGTAAATATCTAAGCTATAAATACATATCAACATGTTATATATAGAATAAGGTCAGCAATATGAGTCAAAAATGTAACAACAATAAATTTTATCACATCAAATATCTAAAACTACACTTATGCAGTCATGTGCATTTTAAGATATGATTTATACATCATATTATATTATGAAAGTCCATCTACGGATGGATATATAGGACTAAGCCTTAACGGCGGTAATCTATATCAACTACTAATGTAACGTTTATCATAAGTTTATCTTACTTACATCAGACATAAATGAGAAAGAAGAGTTACTATAGTGAATTCAACAAGAACAAAACATAAGTCAAAGCGACAAATATGTGTAAAAAGTATACTTTACAAAATTAGGTATTTAAGTTATTTTACCTACACCATCTTATACCTAGATATCGCTCACAATATATTTATTATTGTCATTTGTGTTCTAGTTATTGTCATTTGTATTCTTTTTTACTTCATTATAATTTGAATAACTTTAAGTAAATTATTGTCACTTAATTAGATCAAAGAAGACAAATATTTTAACAATTGTAAAACAAGTGTAAATATAGTTTCATATCAAAAAATACTTTTAAAAAGTAAAAGTTAATAAATTATTATAATAGTTTCTTAGGTATTTGGTATACAACCTGGATGTAACGAAACGTGATAGGCGCTAGGTCACTTATAGCAGGTAGTCTTAGATTAAACAAAACTACCGTCTTTAATGTTATATAAGAAGGGTTTTATATATTATGTTCTATTTGAATCTGATGCTTAGATTTTGAGGTAACATTATCCTGTGATCGAAAGATTTGCATCCATACATTTTCTAAGAAGAAAAAATGGTTTTGTGATTTATAATAGATTACGATAGCATAATATTATAAAAGTGTTTTCGGAAACTTATAAAAGACGAAATACTATTTTTTAAGTAGTGCCAAAAAGTTTGAATCTATAGATTTTTTTTAAAACCTATAAAAGTCTCCGATTGTTTGTATAGATATTATAGAAAAATAAAATCGAAAGCGGTAAACATTTTCTTTTCTGTATGGACTAAATCTTTTGTCAAAGGTTTATTTTGTTAAGCTACTCATCATCATCTGTTTCGCAACAGCCTGGCCAGCAACAACCATCGGTACCATCTGGTCTCGTGCAGAATAAAATTGTCTCCAAAGTAGAGACGGTATGCGGCTCTATGCCATGGAAATCACGTAGATCTTCAGCCGGGAACCAGGCGCGTTCTTCGTCTTCTATCACTTGTATTCCGAAGTATCTAAAGGATTTATGGTAAGTTTAATAAAATAAAACTTTTACTTGTACATATATTATTATTTAACTAAAAATATATTACAAAAATTATTCTGTTCCCGCTGTTTGCGCTTTCCCGGTATTGTTAAACATCCATTTTGTTCTGGGTCATTCTCAAAGCAAGGTAAAATTATGACGTCCATCATCATACTTATTAACGGATTAATATACAAATAAAACCGTTGAAGTTGTAGATTTTTACCTTTCTTGTTGTTGTGAGTCGTAGCTTTTTCGTTAAAGATCTACTTTTATACAATAAGCTTAACAATTGAAAAATACTTTTAACGGCTCAAAACGCGCAATATATTAGTTTACAAAATACGTAAACTAATATATTGCGCGTTAATTAAGTTTTAAATTTTTAAACCGTTAAATGTATTCAAGTCGCGTTAACTACAGATAATATTTAGATATTATTTTTTATTGACTAAAATATTATTCCTTATGGTTACTGCTTACCTGCAAATAGCTAAACCAGGAATCCACAGTACAGATGCCAAGACCAAGACCAACACTAGCAAAATCGCCCAAACAGGCCAAGGCTTCCTTACAGTATCCCCTTCTGAGCTAATCCAGGCGTCATAGCCCGAACCTTCAACAGCCAGTTCAGCGAACGATGATATGAGTATTGAAATCATGGCTAAAGGTGATAGATACTTCCAACATATAAGCCAGTATATGCCAGGTCGTTGGCCCGTCATTGATTCAATATCGTCAGCGAATCTGGTGAAAAGTCAGACAATCCTATATTAGGCCGCTAGAGCCAAAGCAGCCTAGCAATTTTATGACTTAACTTATATAGTATAAAAATGTTAATCGACAAGAGCATAGTGACCGAAAATTGTTAACATAACTAATAGTAGTACAGATTCATTATCGCCTAAGTAATTGCGCATTTTTAATTTTCCTTCTTATTAAAAATCATGTTTTTTTGCTATTAGGCCACTCTGGCGCTAGCGGCCTCATATGTGATAAATAATGTTAATAGTTTTTAAATAATGAAATACTCAAAAATTGTTTATTAAAAATTCAAAACTTATGGTGGTGATGATAATTTTGTGACAGTGTATTTTAAATAAATTAAACTTAACAACTACAAAATCATTTTTTATCTGGCGCCAGTTATTACTTAAATCGTTAAACAGTAATACAAGCTTTGTCTGTGGTGTCTAAGCAGTCTATGGTAGAAATGAGTAATATTCTGTATAAAAATATATTTTTTTTGCCAACAATAATTAACCTGTGGATATAAAAATTTGCTTGTATGTAGAGCGATAGAAGGCATTGTTCAAATCAAATGTATGCATTAACATAGGGAATGAACTTAATATAGAACACAAGCGCAACTGAATTTCTCCCACGCACAAACGGCATAATAAAGTAACACCCACACAAAATCAACAAACGCCCACTATTCGAATCCTGACACGAGAAATTAATTATAGCTGGACTTTCCAGTAAAGTTATAATAAGTTTTGACGTTTATAACGTCGGCTGAAAAATGTCGGTCTTTTAGAATAAAGAAACGAAATTTGAAAAAAAAAAGTCAAAATAAAACTCTTTTAACGGTTTGAAACGCGAAATGTATTAATTTAAAGGCCTCACGTTTCGGATGTTGTGACCACGGCTGCAGCAAAGCACCCGAAACGTTAATAGTTAAAATTATTTGTACCTAAATATATTTAACATTACGTGTTTACCGTTAAAAGTGTTATATTTCAATGTTTATTACCCGCGTAAACTACAGACAGTACATAAAAAAGTATTCTTTACTAATTTAAATTTGTACATCGGTCAGCAAAGTGTTCACCAAGAAAAAGTGGTTAAAATCTTCTTTTGTTATCGCGGAAATAATAATTAATGTTGGTTGCAGCTTGCAGTACCTATGCCGCAGCATTTCCTAAGATTTATTACATAATGGCTTGTTTACATTCGACATTGTAGTTAACTTTTAGAATCACTTCAGTATCATTCAAGAAGCTTCTTAATTGCGTTGTGTTGATTCATTAAATTAAATTTCTAAAGTATACAATCAGTAATACAATTGACTTACCTCTTAACTCCATATACGTAAGATATGCCGATACATTCGAACAGCGCTATTATCAATAGCGGGAAATTTCCACTGTACATGTCGAAGAGAAGAAATATGTAACTACCCGCTCCGTGTGCGAAACCCATAGATAGAAGACAGCATAGTAAGCAAATCCCCCCAGTTAAATATTCCTTTCGTAGATTTGGGAATAGCTTCATGTCTACGATGGAGGTGACGACTCCTTCTAACGTCCCGAATTGAGAGTCGATCCCCAGCGTGAACAGCATGAGAAAGAATAGCACGGACCAGAATTGGGCTCCGGGGAATTGATTAATAGCTTCTGTAAATATTATGAAGGCGAGGCCTGTGCCAGATGCGGTCTGTAAATGAAAAAAATATTGATTGTTTTCCTCTTTGTTGCTTCTTGTGAATCGAGTTAATATAGTATTGCAAGCTTGCCCGGCAAACGTTGTTTTGCCATATAAATAATTTCAGGAGAGGAAAAATGATTAAATTACTAAAATGGCTATTAAAAAATAAGTGTTGATCGTAGAAGGGTGAAAATTGAGGATTGTATGTATTTTTGTATGTTGTATCATATAAAAATAGAAATTAAAAATTTTGTCTAAAAATAAATAAAAAATGTAGGGGTGGACTACCCCTAACATTTAGGGGAATGAAAAATAGATGTTGGCCGATTCTCAACGATACCGCATAAGCACAAAAAATCATCAAAATCGGTCAAGCCGTTTCGGAGTAGTATGGCAACGAAAACTGTGACACGAGAATTTTATATATTAGATTTTATTAGACTTTATCTATACTAATATTATAAAGCTGAAAAGTTTTTTATCGTTTGAACGCGATAATCTCAGGAACTACTAGTTAGAATTAAAATAGAATAAAAAATTTGTTGGTTAGAGCACTCATTTAGGAAGGCTTGCTATAAAACATATCGCTGTGACTAATAGGAGCTGAGAAAAAGGGGGAAATTATGAAACAATAGGGAAAATTATTTATCCTCGTAGGCTTCCGTTGCGTGCGCCAAAAAATGTTAATGAAAGAATTATTTTTCTTCAATGATCTAAAAAAAATCCACAACAGTATTATGTCTATATTTTAAGATTAATTCGACGACGGCACGCGGACTACGTCGAAGATGACTACCTATATACTATAGTATTTATAGCAACAAAATGAGACTAAATTAGCGACATTTATTAATTTTAAGTTTTGGGAACTTCATTATTTTTTACATGTATGAAGCTTTTAACATGTGTTGCACATGATAGCATACATAGATTTTTATTTTATATGATGCATTTTAACCTACTTTATGTTTTATTTAATGAAGATTCATATTAATTGCGTAAACTAGAGAAACAACTTAACGTTATATAAATTATTAGTTTTCAAACAAGATTTACGCTTTTACTAAGCAATATAACATACTTCCGATAAAATGAAAGCCGTTTTCCCGAGGGACGCTCTCTGCGCTCACAGATTTTAATTTAAAATTTCCTTTCGAAGTAACTAACCCATATAAGATGCGGAAACGCTAAGGCGTAACAATAACTTCATTAGAATAACACTACTTGTAACGTGCGTTGATTAATTTAACTACGAAATTCGACGACGAAGTTTTGGGGTTCACCCGCGATTATAAAGTACTTAAACACGTTTTAAATCGTTTAGATTTGTTTTAATTTTAATATGTTTAAATTACAAGTAGGATAGGCTAGTGTGTGTGTATTTAACTTACATTATCCAGTTCTTTCTGCAAGTCACACTCCGGCAGATGGGGCATCACCAAACGCGTCAGACTCCCATTTAGCCTAACAGTCACATTGTCTCCTGGTTCAGGAAAAACCATACTCCTATAACCCGATCCGAAGAGTTCTAACAGAGTCTCGTTTCTTGAACTCAAACATTTCTCGTACACCATAGTGGCTTTGAAGCCGATAATCGAAAATACTACGATTCCAGCAAACATGGACGTTAAGCAGTTAGTCATAGAGACCATTATCGCATCTCTATAACAGTTATTGTCCACAGGGTTATATGAACTGAAGGCGATTAGGCCACCGAAGGCTAATCCAAGCGAGAAGAATATTTGTGTCCCCGCCTCCAACCAGACAACGGGGTCTAAGATCCTCTCCCACTTCGGTGTAAATAAATGTATTAGGCCATCACTCATTCCTTTCAAAGTTATACCTCTGAAGAAGAATATTACTAGTACTATGTATGGAAAAGTAGCAGTTACGTAAACCACTTTTCCTGAAGACGCGATTCCTTTTATCATGCACATGTATACTAGGATCCAGGCGATGATGAGGGCGAGAGCTATCTTGTAATTAAACGTTTCCGGATAATTAATGTCTTCTGATATTTGTAAAGTGGTTCTGTACCAAAAATATTGGGTGGGACTGCTCGCCTGGAACAATGCAAACGAAATGGAAGGCTTGTTTCAAAGTCGACACATACTTACGAAGGTTGTATAAAAATATTTTTGTTAGTTTTATCTATTTCATTTAAAAATCAATCAGTAATTCTTGAATACATTTTAGTAATCGTGCTAATGATTTCATAAAAAATTAAGAGTGGTCTTACGCTAATGAATTTTGTACTAACATCAAAGGAGGTGAAATTTGTTGAAGAAGAGTTTAGTAATAGAAGTAAGTAGTAGGTTTTGTATAAAAAGAGTTAACTAAAATGAAGCTTTTATATTAATTACGAAGATGGTTAAAAAGGAACGCAAGCTGCGTTTAAAAGAGCTCGTAGCCCGTAGCCAATCTTCTACAAAAGCCGTAGCGTTCTACAAACTCGTAGCATTTACTTCTTATAATAATATTTATTAACTACCTACATAATTTAAACTAAGAGGTAATATCTAACGTACGCCTTTCATTGTAAGCCTACGTGACTGTAATATTCTTGGCATTTTGCCAAAATAATAACTGGGATAACTTTATTGAGCACGTTGACAGTCGTAATAATAAATAAATATTTTCGTTCATATAGAAAATCTAAGGATTTATAAAAGATTACAAAATTATTCACTCTTGGTTTTAAACTGTTACTAACTGTTTTTATGTATATTATATTTTATTTAAAATTGAATGTATATTTAGCTTTATAAAAACATCAGTATTGGGCTAACCATTGTATAATTTTGATATAAAATACGTTTTATATACTTGCACATGAGAGCTTACATAATCTGATATTGTATTTAAGAAAGCATTAAATTTGATATCGCGTAAACCATTAATGACGTAATCTAATTTCATGTATTGCCACTAAAACGCGAGCGAAGATTAAATTTGTAAAGAGAAGTTATCAGGTGTGAAATTAAAGCTCCATTCAAGGCTCTAAGCTCTAGGTTACCGACATTGACTTAGGTATAACTTTGTGAACTAATTCGTTTTAACTTAGGACATTTTAAAGGAACCTGTGTTATTAATGAGACATTAAATAAATTAACCCTAAACTTTTTAAATTGAGAATATTATGTCTGTGTTATTAGCTTGTATAACCATGCTGGCTGGTTCAAAAAAAAATAAAAATAATTGAAAAAAAAGTAAATTCGAAAAAGGTGCTTATTTGCGTACTGCAATAAAATATAATCATTATTAAAATTTAAAGAAAATAAAACTTATGTAAAAATAACTTACAGCACATTCGGGTTCAGTAATATAGGAACCATTTTTGAAGTACTTCTTCGGACACTCGGACCACGGCAGCTCAGCTTGGAAGCTCTGAGCGAAGTAGAACAAACACCACGCTATTATGGAATTGTAGTACAATGCCACATTAAAAGAGACCACAGCTGAACTGATCCCGATACCGCCTAAATACGGAGACACCTGATGCCAGACCCCAATCGCACCCTTCCGGAGGCGCTGTCCGATGGCTAGTTCTAGGTAAAATATTGGTATCCCCTCAATTGCAAGCATCACAAAGTAAGGTATCAGAAATGCACCACCACCATTCTTCTGCGCGAGGTAAGGGAACCTCCACACATTACCCAATCCCACGGCATACCCAACGGTAGCTAAGAGAAAGGTCAACTTGCTATCCCACGACTCTCTTTCTGTTTCTCCGTTTTCGGGCTTAAAAGCCTTTTCTTCTACGGAGCTTTCCTTACTCGGTGTTTCTGATGCTTGCCTCGGGCTTGTGTCTTCGAAGGCCTGGTTTGTCGCACCGTACATAACGTGGGCTCGATGGGAGGGATGACCGTTTTCCATGTTTACAAGTCGACCACGTAGTTCTTTCATCTCCATGCGTTCCAAGGAGCGTTGGGCATATAAATCCCGCGAGCTTTGTCGACGAATCAATTGTGCTGTGTTCGCCATGTTTAATGGAATTTAAATTCAACTTCTCTTATTACTTAGTGCCTTTTCTAAGCTATATCGTATGATTCGTCATCGTGGCACATAATAACTAAAAGCACAAACGCGGAGATATTTACAACTGAGTGAATGAACTTTCTGAACGATATCGATCGAAACATTTCGGCTCTGAACGTAGGTACTAAACCGAATAAATTATAACTCTTTTATAACATATTTTCAATGTAGGATGTTACTGTTAAAACAATAAATATGAAATGCCAAAATTAATGATGACTATCGGAATTACCGAATATAACTGGCGGGAAAGTGTGGTAAAAATGAGTAAGGGATACTTAGCGCATGCGCAGAAATGAAGGCATTCAGGGTTTTTCAATCGGTACGGTAACCATTATTTTGAGCTGTCGAAGCAATATTGATAGCCTTAGGTTACATCCATTAAAAAGAGATTAATTTCTAATAGCGCTAAAAATTTTTTTTGTCATCGGGTCAGCTTATAGAAATATCCTACACTCGTTATTTTAAGTTGATTAAGTTACAACTTTGAATTGATGAGACATTTCTAATATAAACGTAACAATTAAGTATAGTTTTAGTATAAGTATTTTTTTAAACAAATATAATAACAATATACATACAGCCCAATGTTATGTTGAGACATTAGGAAAGAATAATACTATATCGAGTTTAACACATTATTTTGGAATGCATAGTAGTTTATTAGACTTTAGTATATTTAGCACCTATCAGTAGTGTAAATAAGATAACTGACAAAATATATTAAGAAAAAGGGATGAATTCCAAATTATACATTTTCATTGAAGAACTAAACATTTCACATTATCTGTGAGCGTTCTGTTGACAATTATCAAGCATAACAATTACTGACAACATTTGTCAAGTTGTCATTTAGATACATGAGACAAAATTTTCCTCTAAATAAAAATAATTATTGTGGTGACGACGTTCGATTCCGAAACGTTATTTCATTGAACTTTCAGCTTTAATTAAACAACATTATCGCGCCTAATATGTCGATGGTCTTATCAATACATATCTGTGATTGTGATCGAATAAAGTAACTGCGTATTACAGTTACAACACCGGCGATATGTATTGCTTACAATGGCTCATTCCTGTGCTCTTAATACCAAAACCTGTCAACCCGGCATTAATTAATACACACGTAATGTTTATGGTATTGTATTTAATCGGGTTTTTCCTTGAGAGGAAACCTTGTACTGTGTGTAGTGTAGTGTTCATGGCTGCAGTTATTCTTATATGTTATAGTGGTATTGGCAATTGTTTGTTTTGGGGGAGTCAGTGTGAGTCGGAAAAGTACGATACTTAGTGAAAAAGCAGTGCCTGTGAAATCTCGACTTGACTTGCTCAAATCCTGGATTTGACATGAATGTGCGGTGACCACCATGGCCAAAATATTTCTAGTGTTGTCACATTCAAACATGTTTTCAAATGTGATATGTAAATAAATGTATCTTTTGTTGAGATATTTTTTGTATAATAATTATTGTTGTATGCCATATGTATGTGCAGATTTGTAGTACTTACTTGTTATGTTGGTTATTGAGTAATAATTATTGTACAGTTATTGTTAATGTATTACATTTTAGTAGTATAATATAACTATGGCATTCATTTGATTGCAGAAATGTTTGAATATATTAACACTTTCTGAATGTTACTTACCATTATATATACATAGACTTGTATACAGAAAATCATTATAATAATCAATCCATGTAGTAAAACACACAAGTTCAAAGAGTATTAAAATTCTTATTATAATGTGGTACTGAGTTTTATTAAACACTTATTGTCTTATAATTCTCTATTATTACTAAGTAAACTAAAGACATGTTTAAGACAGGCTGTAAGAACACTTTGAAAGTAAAATATATTACATTACATGTGCACTCAACTTAACTCTTTTTCTAGAGATTTTAGAGCTCATGATAGAATTGAGTGATCATAAACTTTTCATACAGTAGGAAAAGTATTTAGTAGTTTTTTTATATATTTAGGTATAACAGATAATCTGAGTTAAGATAATTGTCACAACAACTTAATGGTGAGATAAAAAGATAATATTAATATTGAATTTAGTTTCATTTACATGAATAAAACAAAAGAAACGGTATTTAAAAGATTTTTATTACTCAAGCTGAAAGTTTACATGTTATCTTTGACGGTTTTGAAGTTCACTTATAATTTTGGATTACATAGTAAATACATTAGCCTTATACTAAAAGAATGGAATAACCTGTAACAAAGAAAAGAAAACATTAATCTTATTACAAAAATTAATAGACAGGCAAAATGCACTCAATATGTTACTTAATAATTAAATAAATTGTAATGAAAATTAAGGTTTCATATTCCTTGCAAGGCAAGTTGTTGTTTATTTTTATTTGTACTGCCAAATAAAAACTACATCATGTTTCCCCAGGATACGCACCAAGCGCCTCACTAATAAAGCAATGCCAAATGCTTTACAGATTACATTTAGAAATGTCGACCAGTAAAACAACCATACGTTATGCTTAAGTAAGCGGTAAAGATTTAAGGATATATTGTAGTTGGAATACTTTTAGGCTACAACATAGCTAGTACAATTTTAGGTTATGCTTCAATGTTGTTCTTCTTGAAATAATAGTGAACAGATAGCTGTTGTTTCATTAAGGTTATAATAAAGTACCTGTTTATCTTAGTCTCCTGGCTTCACGCTCAGATTCTAGAAGGGTTAAGATGTCGCCATCACGCACGGGGCCCTTGACATTCCTGATGATTTGACGGCTAGTTTCTCCGATAAATTCAACTTTAACCTGGGTACATTGTCCCTGAGAACCGGTACGTCCTAGAACTTTGACGACGCGGGCGAGTACATTAGGTTTATCCATTTTTATAAGATATCGAGCGAAATCGCTAAATACACGTGCAACGCAATTTAGCGTGTACGAAAAAGAAGTTTGACACGAAAAAAATTTGACAGCTGCGGTAAGTATAGACTATACCATACAACCATAGACTATAGACCCTTAGAGATGTATTAAAATCGTAATCGATTTACGATTTTAATTCATCTCTATGGGTGTAAAAGTGATCCGCATAAAAAAACTTTAACGCAGGGACACTGTCGATACATACTCCTTTATCCGAATATTTAAAAAATATTCAAATTGATCGCATTTTTATCATTAATGCACCTTTATTCCTTACATATTCCAAACACATAATTATTTGTTATACATTTACTACTGTAAACTAATTAAAACTATTAAGACAATAATTCATTTAATTTATTGAACATAAGCAGGGGCAGCCTTCATTAAGGTTAATTAAATAAGTACGTTTATTTAATCGATTTAGTTAATAACAGTGTTTTACCTGAAAATAAAACACATATTAAATACTTACCTATATTTGAAGCCTACATGATTGAGAGAGGCGCTGTTTTGTTTCCGCTTAGTATATTGACTCTCGAATATTTGCCTTCCGTTTCCGCTCACCAGGTGTCGTGTGCTTCCGGTTGTGTCAACCGAATACCTAGTCTACTTTTTCGATGCACACGCTTTTGCTCTCCATTGCGTCGAAATCATCACCAGGTAGAATTTAAATTGTAGGCTTCAAATATAGGTAAGTATTTAATATGTGTTTTATTTTCAGGTAAAACACTGTTATTAAACACTTGACCGTAATTTGAAGCCTACATGATTGAGACGTGTTTGATATCACCTGGTGACTAGGGACGCCAATGTGAACGATTAGTTACAATTTTATCATAGTTAAGAACACCAAGAACAATTAATGAAAAGAGGCAAAAATACTAGACGACTTATTTATTTGCCTTCTTTAAAAACATAACACTATGTTGTAAACAACTTGTATTATTACTACATAGTTTACAAATTGGTATTTGTAAGGGTGGAAATAACTTAGAAATATAACCAGCTATTACCATCTATTTATCCAATCGGAGTAAACATACTTTGAATATTGTGAGATTTTTATCTAGTGGCACCACTTCTTTGCAATAAAAACGAGCAAATGTGTTCAGAGATCTCCAATTCTCTTTAGACAGAATTTCATCCAGAGGACAGTTTTTAGACGAACTTTTAGACGCCACTGCAGAACGTAGGCTGCCCGGTGAAGCCTTTATTCCTGCATCAACAAGTAGGGTCTTTATCCAGCCCGCGATAAATGTACGGGAAGCAGCTTTTGGCTTTCTCCTTATGTTTAAAAATAAGTTTATTAAGTTTCTTTCTTCTCGTTTCTTCCTTAATAACGTGGTACAATGACCTACCCAGAAGACTGGATCTAAGTTTTTATGAGAATAATTTGCTAACAAGTTCCAGCCAGCCGGACTGTCTATAAGTAGCCGTGTCGGTCTTTGGACCAAAGATGGGCTATAATATAACATGGCCATTACCTTGGTGCATACGTTTTGAATCAGCTGCCAAAAGAGTCAAATCATGAATCCTTCTGCCAGAGTAGAGAATTAGTAATAGAGCTGTATGTCTGCACGATTGAAAAACATTAGCCTCATCTATAGTATAAGATTTAAGAAAAGAAATTATATCAATGTCCCAAATCTGTGGCCTTCTAGTAATCGGTTTCTTTAAAGCGATCGATTTCAATATATATGATTTACTAATACATGATTGCTTAACTTTCCAGAATCGTCGGAATTACATAAGGTCGCGACAACGGATTTATGTAAAACAATTGTGTTGTAAGCCAGACCTTCCACAACATGTGGATCTACCAGAAATCGAGCTAAAACTTCTCCAGTAGGATGTAAGGGGTTAAGACCTCGGGGTTTATTCCAATTATTCCACCTATTCCATGCGCATTCGTAGGTCTTACTGGTGGAATCACGCCAAGAGGTCTTTAAAAGATTTATCTGTTCTGTATTCTAGTTAATCAAATCTTTTGTCCACCCCCACATTTCCATACTTCCATTGTCATTGTCATGTCACCTGGGGTGAGGCTAATCCTGTTACCGCATCGATGGGGCATAAGTGTAACTTTTTTTATTGTATGAGGAGGTGCTACAGCTCGGGCCTTCAAATTCGGCCTCCAAAATACTTTCTCCCATTTTGGTACTATCAAGAGATACATTCCGACTGCCGAGTTCAGGTGTGACCTTCGGAATCAGAAATGGGGGTGGAAATACCCTCGCTAGGGAGAAATGCCAATTTCGGGAGAAAGTATCGTGATACAGAGCTTGAGGGTCTTTCAGGTCTAGTGACACATAATTTGCTACCACTTTTGCACACATCGAGGAAAACAAGCTTATCACCGGAACACCGAACTTCACGAAGATTTTTATTTTTTTTTTTTTTTTGTTCGTACACTGAGGCACAAGGTGCCATTCTGGCGGAGTCCGGTGACGCGATAGGTGATCTGCGTGACTTTTGTACTTTCCTGGTATACGATGTATTCTCAGATAAATTTTGTGAGAATAGAGAATTTGATAAATTTGCTTTGTGAACTTCAAAAGAGTAGGGGATCTTGTTCCACCTTCGTTCCTCAGGAAGGCTACAACAGTCTTGTTGTCGCACTGGACTAGTAGCGTTGAGTTGGCTATCCTTGCGACTAGCAATGTGAGTGACTTCAGAATTGCCAACATTTCTTTTGCTTTGCAATGAAGCTTCTGTTCCTTGTTTGTCTATGCTCCAGCATAGACAAACAAGGAACAAAGGAACTGTGTGGACACAGTGAACAATCGTCGATTTGAGCACCCCATGCTATATCTGATGCATCGGTTGTCATGGAGTGTGACGGGAGCGGGTAATGTATTAAGAAGGTTTTCGAAGATTTGCAAGCCACCAAACAAGATCCTCTTTTACCTTTTGAGGAATGACAGTTTCGTGTACAAGCGATTCCTTTAGTTGCCTGTTTAGGAATACAAGAGCATTTCGGAAGTGTAATCTGCCTTGTGTTACAGCAAAGCTGACGAAATTTAACAGTCCTATTAGGCTTTGAAGAACACTTATTGAAGTTATGCCCGAGTTTATCAAGGTTATAAGTATTTTCTGAAGCCGTATTGATTTGCTCTCTGGAATCGACTTTTTGTTGAGCCATGGGTTCCAGTGTATGCCTAAAACCACGAGCGATTTCGTTGGAACAGTTATCGACTTTTCCATGTTGATTCTCCAGACTAAATATTTTAGACGCTCTAATACAATTTGAACCTGCCTGCAGAGTACATTGTAGTCCTGGTGAGCTATCAAGAAATCGTCTAAGTATACTAGTACTCTTATTCCCTCGAAATGTTGCATATTAGTTAAGAGGTTAAGATAATTTTCAGGAGCCGACGGAGTTGTAGGTTCCTTTAGTTTAATCTCGAAATTCATTTTAAATTGATTTTGACTGTCGCCTTAGGAGACGATTCCTGTTCATAACGAGATCTATCACTATTTACCATAATTGAAATTTCGTCATTATCGCGATACTGGTATAAATTGTTTGTTTGTGCAATGCCACAGTCTTCAAACACTTTTTGGCGAAGATCGTTTAGATCCTTGGATAGTTTATATAATATATCGTCGTTATTTGAGCCATATTTGCCCCCCTTTTTTTTTTTTTTGTAAACGCGACGTCGACGACTACGTTTGTGATCAGACTCCGAGGAGGAAGACGAGGATGATGACGAGACAGATTTAGAGCGCGATTTATTTCGTCGGTTATTTGTATGAGTGCCTGACGGTCCAGACATCGTCTCGTCATTTTTCTCAGTGTTTGTGCCACCCAGTTTGTTGGGTTGCAAAAACGTTGGGAGCCGTGCTGAGACGAAACGGTAAACATGTCATTTCCATTAACTGCCCTTGGTGTATCAGTCTTAAAAACCTTCGGTGCGATCTGGCAATCGGCACGTTGAAGTAGGCTTGGGACAAATCCACTTTGCAGAGCCAGTCTCTTGTTTGTAGGAAATCTGGCACTCTAAGAATATTTAGGCTTTGTTTTGACAAATTTGTTTAAGGCTTTTAAGCTAAGGTTCAGAATAGGTCGATCTCTGTCATCGGGCTTTGGTACCAAAAATATTGGTAAAACGAAGCTTGGTGAGGCTGGAACCTGCTTTAAAACCTTCTGAGATAACATCTGGGCAATGGCCGCTGATGTTGTCATTGATTCTAATGTAATCCGTTGATTTTCTGGCATTAAAAGTGGTGGTTTGGTTATGAAAGGAATTCGATAACCTTTTATAATAGAGATCAGGGGCACCTAACTGCTCCCATCGATCCACGTAATGTAGCAATTGGCCCGCTATGAATTGGTTGTCAGTAACGGCCCCGCTTACTTCCTTTCTTATGGTCGGAAGACACCGGTCTTTTCTTACCTGAAGTGAAAGCTTCGTGTCTAGTATTGCCTGGTTGACCGTCTCGTTGACGAAAGGAATTTCGAAAGTTCATCGAGGCACCCCCTGATCTCCTTTTAAAATCATGTCCCTGCGTGGAACGATAATAGTTAGAGCCCTGCGTAGGCCTAAAAGTATGAGACTGCGAATTACAGCCATACGCTGGCTCCGTGACACCCTTCGCGGGTGAGTTATTTATAGCCCCTCTGGGAGTGAAAAGAGGCATTTTTCTTGTATCCGTTTGCACCACGGTTCGCGAACTACCTGAATACTTGTTCATGGGTAAGAAGGCTTTTCTAGTACCACCAGCTTTTTAAGCGCCGCAGTCAATTGTTCAGGATTAAAAATATATTTATTTGAGGGTGGTATTTTTCGTAAGGCACCCTTCAGTAAGGGTTTCCTTACATGCTTCAAAATGCCGTCCCTACGTAATTCAATCGATTCAGCTCGACGTCCACAGATTATTTGAAGTAAGTCCGATGATACTTTGTAGTATTCACCGTTTGAAAATATTTCAGTTACGTTAGCCAAGAACTGGTCTACTGAAATACTACCGGACTCTTGGGCCCAGTTAACTTATTCTGACATTCGAGATTGAAGCGCGTCTCTTTGTTTGAGGACGGCGAAAGTTAAAGCACCATATGTCTGTCTACCTTAGATAAATTATGATATATATCAAACTGTTTTAATTCGTCATTTATTTCTAGGTCAGTGAAGCCCGGTGTACAAATGTAAGACTTTTGAACTTCGGCGTATCTAACGTCGCACCATTGTGCGACGTTAGATACGCCGAATCCATGTGCATCCATCCTAATAGAAATAATTATTACTCTACTCACTACCCTTTAGGACATGATAAATATACATTAAGAAAATAATTCTTAATTTTATAAGCTTTTGCTTTAAAACGTTTGAATTGAACCCCTCAAGCAATAAAACCGTTTATAGGAAGGCTTTAGCGTAAAGTACTACTACTTCTATTCACTGCCACGTTGGCCGAACGGTAACACCGTTAAAATAATACTTTAGAATAAAATATCACTTGAAAAAAAAAAACTATAAGAACATAACATTTTGTAATTTTAACACGTGTAAAATATAAGGAATGAAAACTTACTGCTCGACGAAACAGCACACTTCACTTTTTAACAATTTTAATAACTAAGCACAAAAATTTCGGAGAGGTTGCTGGTTCTGAGGGGACAACCTCCTTCTGCGGAAATTTTGACGCCAATGGAGAGCAAAAGCGTGTGCATCGAAAAAGTAGACTAGGTATTCGGTTGACACAACCGGAAGCACACGACACCTGGTGAGCGGAAACGGAAGGCAAATATTCGAGAGTCAATATACTAAGCGGAAACAAAACAGCGCCTCTCTCAATCATGTAGGCTTCAAATTACGGTCAAGTGTTTAATGAACTATTTTACTGGGTGTAAAAAAAAGATTATAATAAAAATTTAACGTTTTTAATATTTAAATTATGTCGTCTCGTGATCGCAAACGCAACATTATTGCAAAGATATTCACACAGTTTATTCCACAATTTTCTCACACACTTAAATAAAAAACAGTCTGTTCACTTTTTATCAAATAAAATAAGAATTAAATCCCATTGAAATAATAACAGTAGTAAACAATAAACACTAAGAGGGTAGACTGGTTAGTAATAGTTTTACGAAAGCAATTAAAGTGCCCACAAATGTATCACACTTTAATGATAGTTTATATCATATTGTTAAATAAAAACTTGACTTCACAGAAAGTGAGTTGTAGATCTTGTTAAAATAATTCTTATTTTAATTGACCACCTTATTTGATCTCAACTAGTAACTAACATTCCATCAAGAAATTAGTCATCCCCAGCTGATCTCTTAGCCTTTCTCAATCGTGGAGACTGCTTTGGTGTTTTGGGTGATTTTTCTGAAATAGAAGATTAACATTAAATAGTTATTAAATAGTTTACTCTACTGTTGCCCAAACTAGCTTCTAAATCCCATAGTACGCATGTATAATTATAAAGTGTGAAAATAGCAAAAAAATCATTAATCAAACAAGTAACAATTGGAATTAAGTTAAATCTAGGAATTTGTGTTTAAAAATGTTTTCAAGTAAAGGATATAAAATCGACATACTTAGCTGATTTACAACTTCTTTAGGAAGCCAATCGTAATCAACATCATTGGCTGTTCCAGTTTCAAGTGGCTTAGGTGCAGACCTTGGGGATCTACGACGGGCAAGAGAAGAAAGGGCCTGTTGGCCAACTACGAGGATAAGCACACAAGCGGCGCCAAGGAACACATAGAGGAAGAATGTCTCTCCATCAAGACCTTCTGAGATTTCCACAATGTTTACAGTTTGGTTGTAAACAGCTTCCTAAAAATTAAAATAAATTTGATTGCTATATTAATTAAGTATTACAAAGTATATGGTGTAGGAAAAATAAGCTATCATATTGGCAATAGTAATTTATTATTATAATATATAACAAGGTAAAAGATCACCTAGTTACTGATACCTATATACACTGATAGTTTATTTAAAGAAAAAAGGATGTATTGTACCTGGTATGCATTTCCACTAGCATCTCTGTAGTTAATTTGAATATTGAGCCCAAAGGGTCTTCCAGCAAAAGCCTCATTAGGGATGAAGGAGTAAGCAAAGGTAGCTTCTTGTTTTGGCTTAACTTCGCGATTGTAAGGCAATGCTGTGAAGTTTTGGATGTAGTAAGTGTAGTCCATAGGATATCTAAAGGATGCTTCCATGGTTTCTACCAAATAGTCCTCTGATCCTTTATTAATAAAACCTACTAAAAATTCAACAGGGTTGCCAGCTTGAAGGTCTGAAAAATCAAAAAATAATATTATTATTTGTTACCCATGTAGTATAGATTTTTCTCTAGAACAACAAATAGGATATAAACATTTTACACAGTATTTCTCACACTAATCTCAAGTTGTAATTATTTTTACAATAACTCACCAAATGCCACATCACCATAACTAGTGATTGGTTTAGTAAACAACACAGTAGTATCTACATCTTGTGATGATTTGACAACAGAATCGTCTTCTTCTCCAATAACATCATCACCCACAACCTGACTATCTTCACCTTCAATGTCAACTACATCGTCTAATTCGTCTTCTTCTGCTCTTGCTAATAAAGAGTTAGCTGGAAGAATTAGAAAGTTGTCAGGTACATTCTAATGACTGTTACATAATTCTAATGATTTAAGGTAGTTGTGTATTAAGAATCAATATTACTTTTAATATAACATATTTTTTATCCATACATATTAAATGGGAAAAACATAAAGGTGTCGCGAGACTTGACTTACATCTGTCAGATGTAGGATAGTGTTATAAGCGGCAGAAAAATCTATTATTAGGACAAGATCTAGAACTAATACATTCAGAATATTAGAATGTAATTAAAACTTAGTTTTTAGAACATTTCAGTGCCACGTCCAACGCTTACTTTCTAGGACAAATAATTATTGAAGACTTACCATTTTGGAAACATAAAAGAGCTGCAGGTAATACTAATAAGGTTAAGTAAATGAGCTTCATTTTTATTTCTTACTACGTTATAACTAAGAGTAACCAAATAATATACTATATTCGATGTTAGCTAAGAGACATTCACTTCACAAAATAACCACCTCGACCGCCGCTGTAATAGCTTGATGTTCACGAATGCCACTTTTGTCTCCAACTCGATTGACGTGGAGGTGTGATTGTCAAAAGTGTTGTACTAACCACCGAAACCAAGTACCGATTTTACGATCGCAACATTCCGATTCAGATAAAAACCTTTTAATTATTATAAAATACATAATACAGTCTAATTAAAATATCTTCAGAAATGATTTTTGATATATAATAAAAATTAGCCATTTAGAGATAACAAAGTTGTATGTATATTTTACAGTCATACGTAAACATAGTTTTTTTTAATAATGCCTCCATTTTGTTCTTTCTTGGCTCGTAGGAATAACTAAAGATTTTATCACGTTTCCCCTAAATCGAACCCAAGTCCTTTCTGGCATTTTAATGTTACCGACGGTATGTCGGGTATATACTGAATTCATGATTAAAACTATGTAACAATATGTGTACCTATGTAGGTAGGACGTATATACTTACGTCTCACTCATAGATACTTTGTATAAATTCTTGATAATTAGGATAAAGTCAATTTCACACACAAACAATTATGTCCAGAGTAGATAAATTGAATAGTAATAGTAGTAGTTTAGTTGAAATGGCCACCTCTGTAGCCAAATGGTAAAACGTATTGCCGAGAATTGCGTAAAGCGCGAAAGGTCCTGGGTTCGAACCCCAGGGAAACAATAAAATTGTTTCGGTCAGGCAGGGCACAGAAGTCTGATCAACTACTTGCCTGTTGAAGAACGGATCAGTGAAACGGATACACAAATGCGTTCGCCCCATGCCCCACGAGGGGGAAACGGGATTTCACGAAATAAAAATCTATAAATTATGCAACTTAAAATTGTTAATTAATATTTTATCTTATATGACCGGCGCGGTGTCGCGGCGATGTCTTTTCGTATATCGTATCGATTTTTAATATTCGTTATACCTATCTCTTCAATGGAATAGCCGGGTTGAGCAATTCAATATAATTTATATAAATATGGATTTACTTACCTAATTTTGGTAGGTATTTCTATCTACTTCTAAAATTTAAGCAATTGAGCAATTGTGACAAAATGGTAAGAGCCGAATGTATAATTTATAGATAAGTTGTTCAATATTGCATGCTTTGTTCTATCATGAATAGTTTTCGCAGCGTATGCGACGAAAGATATACTGTGGTATATTTTTCAACACCTTGGATAACGTTAATAGAGTTTATGAAAGCATTCTTTTCTATCGTTTTTTAGAAATAAATATATAGGTTCATGTTGCTTTCTGATGGTAGAATTATTAAAAAAATCGGCGAAGTAGTTTTTGACGCCTAGGATACCTATGTTTTAAAAACATACACACAAAAATACAAGTTTGCCTCTTTAAAATATTTTATAGGGTCATTTTACTTTTCGTTTCCAATGTCTGTCTGACCTAGTTGGTAATATACAAAAATAATTAATTCAACACACAAATAGTCTGAACATGACGTCTATGTTCTAAACATTTTAATGTTGTCCTTATCTCTTTGCACGATGTGCTTCAGGTGTACCTAATATAAGATCCGCTTTATTTAATTACATTTTTCAACCATAAAATCATTTATAAATAACGGATCTAGGTAGATAGAAGGTTTTAATCAAATCTCGTTAGTAAAAGCCCGCTTTTACATACAATAATTAACTAATTAGTATAGATTTACACCAGTTATTCTACAAGAAATGTTTACATATTAAACACTGCTTTATACGGATAATGTATTCAAATGTCAACGGTCGTTTTAGTAATAGTAGTACACGAATATTGTTTAAATATTTAACATTTCTGATCAACAATGGTTAAAAGTGGTACGTGCGTAAGCTTCTTTATCTCCACTCCTATTTGTAAACTTATTGATAAAATATGATATTTCTAAAATAACTTAGCGGTCATTGTTTGGTAATTTAAGATATTATTCACTCTAAATCTGTAGTAGTCTTACTAAAACTGTACTTTTCTTTAAAGGCGCTCTGCAGCTTTTCAACTTCATTTCTCGGCGACGGAGTACACTAGCAGCGTCGATTCCAAAATGTGACTTTATACCTAAAGAATATAATGTAAGTTATAAAAGATTAATCGAAATTATTGTTAAAGTAAGAGATAAAGATCTCTCTATTTCACGCTAACAACAACTAAATAATAATGAATTTATCTCCTAACGCTAACAAGATACTTAAACGGTGTTGAAGAAAATTGATAAGTGGAGTTCCAATATTGTTGATTGTCTGTTTAATATTTTTCTTATAGGGCCCTGTTATCGGGAAATTAAACAAACTAAAAGCCGAAAATATGCCCGTCGTTATGAATGACTTTTACAAGAAGCCATTGGTACTCCACCAGGGGCGTATGCAGTGGTTGTTCGATCATGAAGGCAAGAGATATCTGGATCTATTTGCTGGTATCGTCACTGTGTCTGTTGGACATTGCCATCCGTAAGTTAAGTTAATCTAAGTTATACAAGTCAATAATATCCGGGCACGTCTAAAAACCAGCGCTCCTGAGTGTGACAAGGATTCAGCAGCACAACTGAGACTGGTACCGTTTGAATATTTAATTTAGTAGTTATAAGTTTTGTAATTTAGAAGTTAAGAATGTATTTGAAGGGCAATAAAACGTGTTGAATTTGAATAGACAACTAGTCGAATTGTGTGAATATTGAGAAATCATTGTTTATGAAGCTATGTGTCCCTTTATCCTTAGCTTAATGTAATAATAAAGTAATTAAATCTATTTTTCATTGCAGCAAAGTGACAGCAGCACTGCATGAACAAATCGATACTCTGTGGCACACAACAAGTATATACCGTCATCCAAAGATCTATGAGTATACAGAACAGTTGGCTTCAAAATTCCCGGGTGATTTAAAGGTAGATATTGTATCGAAAAAATCATTAATATGGTTCATGTTTCTACCAGCGATTCCATTTGTTTAGGAACCAGATTTAGCCATAGACGCTTTGTCCCTGAAATTGATCTTATTCGTTATCAGCGATGTATACATTGTATTTAAATGGTATATTAAAACTTTTTTTTATACCGGTAATGATTACCGTAAAAAAAAAAGCTTATATTATCGACCAATCTTCTGAAACTGCTGCAACCGCAAAATTCTGGGCAGGCATTTCAGAAATAGCGTAAAAATCAGATACCGTAAAATTCATGTTTTTTAAATAGACAGAGAGAAGGATGGGTAGCCTGCTTATGACTGTATTTTTTGGTATTTCTGAAATTCAAATTTAGAACATGCACAGCTAGGCTTTTTACTGTATCAATAATTAAGGTTCCCTGTACTGTTGACAATATGGCTACTATTTTTTTTAGGTTGTCTACTTAGTGAACAGTGGAACTGAAGCAAACGATTTAGCGACAATTCTAGCCAGAGCATACACTGGTAACTACGACATAATCTCGCTGCAAAGCTGCTACCACGGCAATTCTAGCTCATTGCTAGGATTAACTGCTACTCAAGCCTATCGTTTCCCGATACCCGCGCCGCCAGGGTTTTACCATGTAAGTATTTTGGGGCGATCCAAAAATACGTCATTCGTATTTTATGATTATTCAACCTTCATCCATGTTACATTAACATCCCCCTCACCCTACAATAAAGTTATAGATGATATAGATGCCTGAGATTTAATAATACTTGTTACACAGGCAATGTTACCGGACCCATATCGTGGTATTTGGGGTGGCTGCCGGGATTCATACTCGCAAGTCCCAGGGGCATGTTCTTGCCCAGGTGATTGTGACACATCTGATAAGTACATACACCAGCTTAACGAAGTAAGTAACGGTTCATTAGACGTAGAAATTAACAGAGGAAGTTAAAAGTGAGTTTAGTTCCAATAGTAGTAGGTATATTTAGAAAACACCTTCGCTATTGCTTCGTTAGAAATTTCTTTATGTCACAAATCGATAAGAAAGGTTGCCTATTAAAGTATTTTATGTTTTTTATTTAAGCTTTTAGAAAATTCAGTACCAAGGGGACGCATTGCAGCATTTTTTGCGGAAACCATTCAAGGCGTGAATGGGGCTATACAGTTTCCCAAAGGATACCTCAGAAAAGCCCAAGAACTAGTAAAGAAGTATGGTGGACTATATGTAGCGGATGAGGTAAGTAAACATCTCCAATAAGAGTCGTCTACAAAGTTTTTGTATTATTATTATTTCGCACGTCTCTTGATCTCCTATTATTATATTAGATTGCCTGAAAGAGTTCGCTTTTGAGAGATAAGGTCACTCATATTTTCCTTTTTAATGTTTTGCAAAAATAAGGATGAATAACTAATAAACATGTAATTTTCAAGGTACAAACAGGTTTTGGTCGAACTGGTGAAAACTTCTGGGGATTTCAAAACCATGGCGTCCAACCAGATATTGTGACACTCGCCAAAGGAATCGGTAATGGCTTTCCTCTTGCTGCTGTGGTTACTACGAAAGAAATAGCTGAAGCTCATAAGAAAGCTGCCTATTTTAATACTTTTGGAGGAAATCCGCTAGCGTCTGCGGTTGGGAAGGCTGTTTTAGATGTGCGTAGCAAGCATACACAAGCTGCACATAAGCTGTTAAAATTAATGCCCTTATATAACAATTGTAGGAATTTTTCTATTTCCAGGTGATCGAAGAAGAAAATGTTCAACAGAACAGTAAGCAAGTGGGAAAATATTTCATAGAACAATTAATGGACTTGCAAAAAAAATATCCCGTGATAGGTGATGTCAGAGGCCAAGGATTAATGCTAGGAGTGGAGCTAGTAAAAGCAGGGACAAAAGATCCTTTGAATGTAGAAGGAGTAGCAGATATTTTAGAGATGGCGAAGGATTTAGGCGTCATGATTGGGCGAGGCGGAAGATGGAACAACGTTAGTTATTTTATTTTATTAATGGATATTGAATATTATGATAATATATTAAACCAACAATATATTTTTTACAGGTACTAAGAATTAAACCTCCAATGTGTATCAACAAAGGTGACGTAGACTTTGCCATAACTGTGATGGACACGGTTTTCAAGAGCTATACTGAAAATCATTAATTGTCTGTATGTAAATAAATGACGAACTTTATATTGTAATTGCCGATATGTTTTATTTTTATGTGAAAAGATAAAACTTCTTTTTAAAATATATACGCCACATTCAAATATCAAATCGATAAATCTAACTAATAATAATGAGCATGTCTGTGGTATCGTAATCTCTATGCTACTACATTGCCAACTTTACATGGTTTAAAGGTCCCGTTACCAGGCCATAAAATATTATAAGAAAACTTGACTTTTCTAGAATTGGCAATTTTGCAGCGACAGCATTTGACATATGTTGATATCATCTGTGGGTTTCATTAATGTACTAATATTACGGTATTTATTATTTCATACCGCAAAAAAATTCAAAGACGTAAAGTAAAAAAATCATTTTACATTTAATATACATTTTTAAAACAACTAAGGCGTAAATAATTACAACACAATGGTATTTATGTGTCAAGAAAATAGTTTTTTAAAAGAAGTATGTATTATGCCTAAAACAATGTTTATAATATTCTTAACATAATATGCCCTAATTGTTATTATTGTAATGTAGTACACATCAAAAGTATTAAAATGTGAACCCACCAAAGAGCCCATAATCGAATATGGAAAATCAACGAAATTCGAAGGCTACCAAATTACTCTGGAGAATACGATTCTCTTCCCTGCTGGAGGTGGTCAGGTAGGACAATAATTCATAAATTTTTGTTACTGTTAATGAACTTGGCTGAAAATTAACCTTTATTTTGAAGCCACATGATTTGGGTTGGCTAAATGAAGTGGAAGTCTTACAAGTTCTACGAAAGGGTGAAGATGCACTTCACTTCACTAAAGAGCCCATTGAAGTTGGTACTTTTGTCACACAGAAGATTAATTGGGACAGACGGTTTGATCACATGCAGCAACATTCAGGTTAGTAGCATACTTTAAAATTCCTTAGTAACATATATCAATAAATGATAAAAATCACTGCTTTTTGCATGTATAAACAATTTTTACACCTTAAACAACCTATCAAATTTTTATATAAATAACTTGGGAGCAGTGTACATATGTTAAATAAATAGACAAGATAGAATAATTAACATAATAAGAATTTGTATAGCAGTATAAATTCCATAAAGATATGGTTTCCACAGGTAAAATTCATACACAACAAAGAAACAAATTAAATTCAGGACATCAAATAATGATTTGTAACTAGTGGATTCAAATACATGTTAGCTCAATTATAAGTACTACTTGGCTTTTATATTGCATAAAATACATATTATTAGTTTTTCTATTTGTATAGTGTTTTATTCCAAATAAATATGTTACAGGACAACACCTTCTATCAGCAATATTAGAGAAAGACTATAACTTACCTACAACAAGCTGGTGGCTCGGGTGTGATGAAAGTTATGTGGAACTTGACACTATATCAGTGGAAAATAAAACTATAGAAACGGTAGAAGAGAAATGTAATTTAATGATACGGTCTGCTCTACCTGTTGATGTTAAAATTTGTAAAGCTAGCGATCCAGATTTGAATAAGGTAGAGCATTTTTTTATTTATACTTTTTACTTCAATGAACAGTAAATTGAAAATATGTAAATGTATCAATAATATAAGCTAATATGTGGCAAATTTGTTTTATATTAAATGAGTCATAGCAACATATTTGATACTGGATTATGATCTTATAGGAACATACTAAAAGTCTACCTAAAGATTGTACAGACACCTTAAGAATAATATGCATTGGAGATGTAGATGAAAACATGTGTTGTGGTACTCATGTATCTAATTTAAGGTAAGATAGTAATCTATTAGTTATTAGACGAGTAGTCAACTTACTTATATAGTTTGTGTTTGAATGAAGTGTTGATATTTAGACTACTGACTAAGCAATCAATAATTTCAGTCAATTACAGATGATTAAACTTCTTGGTTATGAACCAGGCAAGAAAGGCAAAACAAATTTACGATTTTTAGTAGGAAATCGTGTGACAAAGGTTTTTCAATCAATGTTGGACAGGGAGAAAGTACTTGTAGGACTACTTAAGTATGTATTTATAACAATGTCACTTATATTAATACATATTCTAAACACTTTGTATTTGAGATTGATTTGATATTTATGTTTAAAAAAGAAAAAAAAAAAAAAAAAAAGGGGGGAAAAAAACACAAAAAAAAATTAAAAAATGCCCAAAAAAAATCCGCAAAATTTTCTCACAGAGCTAGCTCAATTCGAAATGACAAAATAAAGAATATTACCTCCCGAATTCAATAGGGCAATATGCAAGGGCTTGGAAAATGATGGCTTATTTATATTCTGCGCATCTGAAGAGCCTGATAAGACAAAAGAAGGGCAAATTATTATTCAAGGCGCAGAGGAGCATTGTAATATTTTGGGCCCTCAGTGAGTTACTATAAATATATTTTTTACTAATGTATTAGAAACTTCTTTTTAAGGTCTTTCTTATTTTATAATGTCATAATCCAAAAGTTAATACTACCAAGAATCAACATAAATGTTTTAAATAATTAACAACTATTGTTGGAAACATTTTCACCAAAGTAGTAAATGTCTTTTTAATTTAAAAGTAAATACCAAAGATATTTTTTTTATTGGTTCTAGATTTGTATAATAAAAACTTGTCTCTTTCAGAGTTATTGAAGTACTTAAGGCGAAAGGAGCTTTTAAAAATGGAAAATTTCAAGGAAAAGCGACAGACTTAAGTGGCATAAATAAATGTAGGAAAATCATTGAAGATTACTTCTGTAAGAAATAACAAGTTAAATAAATAAAGCATTATTTGTTACTGTTTATAGTTTTATTTTAACAAATATTCCTCTATTTCCCTAAAAATAACTTCATAAAGAACATAAGAATAATGTAAATAAATACATGGCATACCCATAAACATTAAACTAAACATATTTCAATGAATCAATCACATGTGTTTCAAAAATGCACATTTTTCCAAGGTACCATAATTCTTATTGGACTATTGGTATAAAATACTTTTTCATACTACAGAAGTTATTCTCCACTATCTCTATTAACTGCATCAATTTTCTCCACAACTTTCTCAATAGCAACATTGCTCCAGTCCTGCGTCATATCATCAAGGTAGTTGTCAAAATCTACCAGGTCCTTGTACCCTTCCCATTCGAGTAGGTGTGATACAGTTTCTAATACAAAAGGTGTATCTGAAAGGGCATCTTGTTTTATTAAATATTTCTACTAGAGGTTAGCAAAGGCAGTAAAGGGTGACCGCATTATTGCTACATGTTAATTGTTGCCCCTTTGTCTGATAGATTTTTGAAGACAAAAATATAAGATGTAAAATATATTATTGAAAACAACATACCAAAGGACACTTTGTTATTGTCTTGCAGTTTCCACTTTCCATCATTATATCTATGGATTTTGATAGCTGGTGATGTTAAATGTTTTACTAGCTTCTTGTTCTCAACCTAGAAATGATTGCATATAGTAAATACCTAAGCTAAAATGTTAAAAGAAAGAATACATCTCATTGTAATGGCATGAATTCGAGTACATCCTTACCCCTCTTTAAATCCACTTACTTATTTATTTCATCTATCTTAGTTTTGTGCTAAAAAGTAAATATATTACCACAACAAATAAAGCTGATGGAAAGTATTCAGCAATTTTCTCAGCAATTTTTTGTCCTGGGCACTTCTCTACAGTGTTATCATTAAAATTTTCACAAGCAGCATAATATCCTGCTATCACATAATTTTCTGTTTGTGCTAAATTTTCTATCTGGAATAAAGTTTCAATATTTGTTATGTTAAAAAAAAGTTACAGAAATTTATTTTCGTCTATAACTGATTCTGCTTTGAGAGCGCAACTACAAGTAATATTGATAGAGTTGATTACCTGTGTGAGTGCAACCTCTGCCATTGGTGATAAATTATGGCTATGATGGAAAAGTGGCATTGCATTTACAATATCTAAATCGGGACTCTTCGAACCATCTTTAATTTTACTTCCATCTGCGAGAAGGATTCCGTTCACCGCGCAATGAGAGTATTTTACAGCGTGGAGTATGATTTTGGCATAAGCGCTTGTATTAAATGTTACTTCGCCCATTGTTATTCACGTCAATGTAATATGAATTTAATATACTACTGATTTATATGAACAGATTATGTTTTTTATTCTTTACTTTACTCGTAACTCGACAAACTTTAAATCCAATTTTAGTATTATCCTATCGAACCCTAATGAATTCATATATAAATAATTAAATAGGAACACAGACTACTACACACGCAGCATATAGAAGGATATTATATATAGACACGCGTCAATGGGTTTTATCACTGTCAGGTTGTTACTACATCTGTGATAAAAAGTGTAAAATTGTTTCTATTTGATCTGTAGAAATAAATGGTAAATTGTAATCTTTGTAATTGTAAATACAATGTATGAACTGAACAAAAGTTACCAAATAAACACTATTTCGGTATTTAATTCTAGAATAATATTATAAAAAATACATATTATACTTGAAATTTTGTTGATAAAATATTAAAGACAATGGATAAAAATGATACATCGCAACTCACAGAATTTCCGCGCTTTGAGTCAACATCGACTCAAAGTGGAGTAACAATGTTTTTTAATAAGTTATGGAAGCTACCTTTATTTTCCCCAAGTGAAAACATCGATAATCCTGAAATTAAAGCATTGGGGGAAAGAAAAGACTCAAGTATTGATGATGGAAGTAAACGGGAAGCTGATAGTAGGGCTGATCTGAGTGGTCCCAGTATAGAAGGACGGAATGTTATTAGAAAAATAAGTGCTTTTAGCTCTGGGGTGAGTAAATACAAATAATCTACAGAGAATTTACAGGAGCCCATTTTCAGTTTTATTTTGTTGTAGAGTGGGGCCCGCTATGCTGATACAGATCTCGCTAGATATTGGATGCCAGATGATATATCCCGGGAATGTTATGAATGCGCTGCTCGTTTTGGCGCGTTACGTCGTCGACACCATTGTAGGGTATGTGGACAGATATTCTGTTCACGCTGCTGCAGTCAACGTGTTCCAGGTGAAAATGTATTAATTATATCTAGAACAACTAATTCTCCCCAAAGAAGATACCAGTAGGCGGAACCCGACCACACTGATCTGGAAACACTACAATATATAACTTATATTTCCATTAATATACAACATTTTATTATTATTTAACTGGGTTTAAATTCTCTAGGTCAAATTTTTGGTTGTGGTGGTGACCTGCGAGTGTGTACATATTGTTGCAATGTTGTACTCAGCTACCTGAGGGAGAATGACATTACAGGAGAAATATCACCAGATTTACGTATTTTGCAAGAGAATTTACAGGTAAAAAAACTTTGTTAAATAATAAACTATGTGTTTTACTTTTACTTCTAAACTACTATACGTTTTAGCTTCATCTTGTATATGTATAGTTTTTTAAATATCCTTTATCTTATCAATATTTTATGACATTGAAATCTAATCCTTTTGCAGACAAAATTTCCAGAGAACAAACAAAGTGCATCTGTTAGCCGCGACTTTGTCTTTCATCGGGAACAAGAAAATTGTGAAGTTAGAAATACTTCAAAGGACATACATGATATCTACAGACAGTTATCATTCTCATTACCAACCCAACAGCATAGGTTTGATTTTAGTTACTTTTACACAAGACCTGTATTCCATAATTGCAAAATATAGTCTTAAGTGCAAGATGTCCTTTTTTGATGTTACACTACTTGCACTGCTTTGGTTTGGATGTCACCCCAAGTCAAGTAGCTTTACATTATAATTATATTTTATTTTGCTTCTTATATTATATACTAATACATTTCTTTTCAGATATCGTTTAGTTAGATATAATAATGTTTGGCGTGGATGTGATATTATTCAGTGGGTTATGGAGAATACTGCAAATAAGACGAGGTTAGTCTTGCAAAGCAGTTATTATTTTATCTAATTTCAATAAACTTCATAATTTCAAGTCCAACTGTTCATCAGATAAGAAGTAAATTTGGAGCATACTGGGATATAGTCTAGTAGATTTAAATCTTTTGGTGAAGTCTTAAACCTAGCAGTCCACTAAATAGGAGGAAAGTAACTTCCATAATCATTTTGCATCGTATTTCCTGATTTTTTAGAGCTCAAGCGTCAATGTTCTGTCAGAGTCTACTCCAACAAGGCTACATGGATCGTGTTACAGACCCACCTTACTTTGCGGATTATGGACTCTACAAGCCCCTAAACTTGGCTTGCACCGACAGTAATTCGCCCTGTATGTAACTTTTTTATATGACTATTTTCTATTGTATTGTGGTATTTTTTGGGATTCGTTTTTTTTGTTGTTAATTTATCAGACTTTTCTATGCACTATTAATGTTGAGGTTTCTGTTAGAGGAGGACATACAAACATGGTGTTTACTTAATGATAGGTGAAATACTCCAGCTATAGAACCTCTAAATAAGATATGCTGTCGACCTATTTTGGCTTTAGATATTTAGAAATACACAAGCTGAAACCGAAACGCGATTAAACTTGGCGTCAATTTGTGCAATAATTCTCGACTTGTCAATTTGTATAAATCTTACTTAATATATACCGAAAATATGTGTATGTCAAAATTGTTTTTATAAAAGAGAACAAATGGTAAATGGTTCCTCACTCCGTTTCTTTATTTCTTCTATGGTCTGTGTATTTCCCCATATTATGCCCCAGTAAAAAGACACACGAATAGATTATCCTACAATGCATTGAACCATTCTTGATTACTTCTTTACATTTTAGCGGAAGAACAGAGTGAACAGACGGAACCTGCGAGATTGGTGGAAAGCATATCGTCATATTGTCTAGACTTGAACTTGGGAGACAGTTCAGCTCGGCTTATTAAATCTACAAAAAGAGGTAGGTATTGTACAAACTAGCTTTCTCAGCGACTTCGTCCGCGTAGAATGTTTATTTTGGGCATCAAATTTTGTTTTTTATACAAACCTTCTCTTTATCTTTATAAATTAAAGCTGTTACCTAAGACGTTAATCTTAAAAGATAGACATATAATGTCACAAACATTTTATTAGATCATTTAAAGAGATATCATTCTTTGATACATATTTTTTGGGTACCTATAACCGTTTTCGCTGCGTAGGCAACGGCAACACACAAAGATGAATAATTTTCCACGTTTCTTTCACATTTCTCGCTGTGACTTCGCTCTTATTAGTCGCAGCGACGTGACGTTTTATAGTCTAACCAACACAAAAATAATTAAATACTGTTATTATACACTTTAAAAAAACACTTTAACGGTTTAACGCGATATATTAGTTAAATTTTTGTTTAGTTTAGTTAAAAATCATTTTCAAATAAGAACCAATATATTGCGTTTAAAACCGTAAAAGTGTTTTATTTAAACTGTATTGAATCACTAGCTGAGACGTACAAAAAACAATAAAACAAAGTCAAGCATTATATATTAGTCTAGATTTCATGTAATATGATCCAATAAGAAATGTTTGTATTACTTTTAGAGACAGCTGTTCAAGAACCAGAAGAAGAAGAACATCAGGATAGAGAAGACAGTGAAAGTAAGTATGCTTAATCGTAACGATTAAAAAAAAGTTATGAATACATAAATTGACATTAGTCCAGTATTTCTTTATCTCACTATAATTCTGATTTTAATTACATATTGTTTCGTTTTTACGAATAGTACACGTTTAAAAAAAACTTAACTGTTTAAAATGCGAAATTTATAAACTTATTTACAAATGATTGTATTATTTTAATGAATTATTTTACCTAATATCGTAGTATTTTTCACTTTTCAGTTATCAATGCACCAAAGCCAGTTTGCAAAGCGATAGAAGAATCTGGGATGGAACATCTTGGTCTGCTGCTCCGGCAGTGTCTCGCTAGACAAGCGCTTTCCGCAAGCTGGGCGGATGTGTTGTTTCCTCTCTGTGTACAAGCTGCCCATATTACTGTCCCTGGTTAGTATACAAATGAAGTAATCAGTTATTTAAAAAAAGAACACACTAGAAAATTAAAGATTGATTAGAAAAATGTTGCATCCGATGGGGAAATCGAACCCACGACCACCTGATTACCGACATTGCTACCGTTACACTAACGAGCATGTCAAAAATTAATACAATTTTTTTTAACTATGTGACATAAACTAAATAATCTGTCAAAGAGTTAATATGTTTTGTCTCTTTCGTTCATATCTAGAAGATAACTCACATGACAGAGACAACATATATGTTCATTGCAGACATAATGGGCGCGGACATTGACGTACGCAATTACGTACAAGTGAAGAAAGTGGCAGGCGGGGACATGCGGGATAGCGTCGTTATACCTGGTGTCGTTATAACGAAGAATGTCGTACATAGGTTTGTGTTCAGTGTATTTATTTATTTATTATAGTATGATACATTTGATAACGAAGTTTATACGAGTATAGTATATTGGTTAAATGTTATATGGCTGGGGTGTTTCACCTACCATAAATTTAACCCTAGAGGGTTCTATTTCTTTTTATTATAGATAATAAAAAGAAATAGGTGACTTATGTTTAATGTATTATAACTAACCCCCCCCCCTCCCAATGGGTTGATGGTGCAATATTTCGCGTCTTAAACCGTTTAAAATGATCATAAATAAAATACACTTGCTGTGCCAAAACGACACACACCACGACACCACTGTTAATATATTAGTCAGTTCTTCAAAATTAGTTTTCAAAATTATACAGACTGATGATTCTTTAGGCTTAAGTGTGGTGACGTGTCCACGAAGATTTCTTTTTACGTCACACATGTCATTTGTCACGTAGAAGACGTCTTAAGACACGTGTCCGTATAACTTGTGTGTAAGCAAGTATTAAGGTTGAAATTACATTGCGCGAGAGGTGCATGTCTTAATTCGACAATGTCGTTTAAGACGCGGTAGGCGATCCCAGCCCTGCCCATAAATTTTTTTCAATCTAAAATCGATTTTTAAATTTCATGTTATCCATTTAGATTATCTTACCATGTTTTTAGAGTCATTCTTTTGTTAACAGGGGAATGCCACGACAGATAACGAACCCGACAGTCTTGCTCCTAGATTGCTCTATAGCGTATCAAAGAGTAGAGGGAAAACTCACTTCGCTGGAGCCGGTTCTTATGCAGGTAAATAAGCGCAGGATCTACTTTAGAAGTCATTTTTAAAGTGTAATATTTTGTAATCTTCAGTATTACATAAGTTATTATTATGTCTGTAGTTTACACGAGTTGTACACAAAATAAAACACTTTTAACAGTATTAGTCAAGTTGTTTACAATTTATTTACATCGCTCAACGTTTCGGAGCTTCGCGCCAGCCGTGGTAACAGTATAAACTAACTAATACATTACATTATACATTTTGAACCGTTACAAGTGTTTTATTTATATACCCGATAGTTATAAATGAAGCGACGTAACGAAGTATGAATCATTATTACTCGAGTCGTACTGATCCGAACTCTGCACGATAGTATCAAAATAAAACTATATCAGTCTGGTTGTCCGTTGGTAGTGGGATCAAGTCCTATGTGTGTCATAGATGTATTTCTTTACTTTAATATTGTGTAAAATGTAGGAACAAGAATACTTAGTCCGATGTGCAGCGCGCATATCCGCCCTTCGTCCGCGAGTGGTGCTGGTCAAAGGTGGAGTCGCGCGCGCCGTTCAGGACGCTCTTCGAGAACAAGGTACATTCGTTAACGAAAAGTAATCAATTACAGACAGAATTAGAGCGATCATGTTTAGATGCTATATGACTGGAGTATTTCAGCTTCCGTCATTATCTAGCATAAAAACAGTTTATGGTAATCTATGAAGTGAAAATCCATCAAATATTTATTACTTAACGTTTTTACAAAACTGGAGGGTGTTGCTTTTGATACGATTGAACGGCTTAATTATTAAAATTAAATTTATTTTCCATGAACGACTCGAAGATATACACTGCTATTATTGTTATATATCATTCACAGGTGTGGCTCTCGCTATCGGCGTACGCGACAGAGCCTTGCGTAGAGTGGCCAGATGCGCACGCGCAGATCTCGTAGCATCTATTGACGCGAGGATTGGTATGCCAAGACTGGGAACTTGCAAGAACTTCTATATAAGTAATTGTGAGTGGCAAAATTTTTTTTTTTGAATTTTGAAAAAATACTATATAGTTCATACCTTATATTTACGAGGGTAGTCCGATAAGTACTTAGCCTACAGAAGAAAAACGAACATTTAAAAGAATTGGCAATTTATTTTTAACATTTTTTTCTATTTTTCTAAAATCCGCGTCCACTCCAAATCCAACCTGGTTGAAATTTTTATAGTACCTGTCTAAATGCATGTACTACAAGATAATAAATATCTCTTACGATAGTGGCGCCATCGGGCGGTGAGGCCAAGTATTTGTCGGATCATAATATGATAAAGCTAGAGTTTGTTTGTTTCTTTGAACGTCTACATGTACTACTGGTTCGATTTTTTTTGTGTTAAATTAGAGCCTTTTTCGAGGAAGGCTTTAGTAGGCTATAAAACAACACACTGTGATGACACGACCAATAGCATCTAAGAAAAAGTGGGAAATGTGGAAAAAAACATTGAAAAAATATTCTTCTTCGAGGGCTTCCGTTGCAGGCGCTGTGGGAACGGTTCAAAAACTATGTAAAAATGAATGATTTCTTTGTGTCTATCGTTTGAAGACGACAAGACACGACTGGCATCATGGGTTACAACTATAATTTATAAAAATGAGAAAGAGGATTGCAAAAACAAATGTTTATGCCCAAAATAACTACAATTAAACTCGTATGATAATGAAATAAGTGCTTCTGTAACTCACAATAAACATAATGTACTATTTTCAGATTCAAGCAAAACCCTGATGGTATTAGAAGGCTGTGCAGAACCCAATTTAGGCTGTTGCATTTTATTGCGCGGCGCATCTCAACAAGAGCTGATTCGCGTGAAGAAAGTTGTCAAATTCATGTTGCTCGCCTGCTATAATTGGAAATTAGAGAAGGCGTTCTTGGGTGACATTGAAGCAGTGTTACCAGAACCGGGGATGAGTTTCATCGATGATCAACCAACGGATCCCAAGGCAGACGCAGAAGAGAAAGGTGATGGCATAGAATTGGCTGAAGCTGTACTTGAAAGAGTCAATACAAATGTCTCGGATGATAGTGATGACATTTTCATGAATGTCAAAAGTAATACTTTGGAAGACAAGCACGATGTTGAGGAAATGAAACAATTGGAAAATAAAGAAAACGATACAAATACTGAATTGACAGATGACATAACTAATGATAATTCAAATCGATTAAGTGAAACAACGAAAGAGGTTAAAGAAATCGATGATCCGTTAATGTCTAAACAATTCGGGCGTAAAACTGAGAGTGACAAAACACTAAGTTGCGGAGTCCCTATCAGAGATTTTAGTGACCCACTACGGTCTACGATGTCGATGGAAGACGACGTGTTTTTGACGGAAGAAGCAGAGTTAAAAGCAGACACCAAGAGTGAGAGGTGAGTGTTCATATATTTGTGAGCTTTTCTCGTTAAATTTATACTATATACTACTATACACTTTCGTATACTTTTTTAAATTTTGTAAATTATTTTAGTCAAACTTAAAAAGTCTCAAACTTTCTTTAGCTTTAGTTTTTGTAAAAAATATAACAATACATATTTGGTACACGCAGGTGGTGTACAGATGACGTGATTTTGTCGATGTCTCCCAACATTGTGATTCCAGCACCATCTCGCCCTTTGAAGCCTCAACCACCCGTCACTCCCCGAGATTTACGAGTGCAAGATGGTACCAAACCAAATTCACCGGTATTAAAGGTAAATCCATAAACCATTTGTTTACTAGGTTGCATAATATAAGTTTGCCATTTGAATAAAGAATTTTTAAAATTTAACGAATAATTGATTGCTTTCGTCTTCTATAAGTTGTAACAACATAATACCCGGGAAATAGATATGTACTTTGTTTTTTTTATTTTTATATAACAGACGAGAACAGACAAGCAATATACTTGATGAAAGGTGAAACACCCCACTAAATATTAATAATACATCGCGTTTTAAACCGTTAAAGTGTTTTATTTAAATGTGTACTACTCGCGTAAACTATAGACAGTATACATTAGAGCAATTATACCGTTTAGGTGATTATAATTGGTAGCTATTTTTTATAGGACCCACATCCATTCGTGAAGTTACCTATCACGTCACCTGCGGATGACATGTCGACGAGGAGACTTCTAGCAAACTTCAGAGCAACGGGTTCGCGTCTGGTCTGTGATAAACATAAACGTATGTACATTAAGTTATTGGCATTAATTAGTATGCTACTTGATGGTGTCCCGATTCTAACTTTTTTCTCTCTCATTGATCTCATTGAATCTATGATAGTTAATCGTGTAACGGTGTATCACATTTTTTCTTTAGATTAAAAATAATATTTCAAAGGCTTGATTTGGACCTACGACCAGCAATGTCCTGCTGTTGCTTTACCAATTGAGATATTAATTAAAGTTACATAGCGCTTTTCACATTGACGCGTAAAGATATGGAAAAACAAGTCATGGTCTATTCTCGTTGCGTTTTTGATAACAAATACAATAAATAAAAACAACAGACTCGCACGTTTTTTCTTGCAAGTGTTATTTAAGACTAGCTATGCCAGTAACTTCATTCGCATAGAATAGTTATTTTGGGCATCGAAATTCGTTTTTGCAAAATTCCTCCTCTTTTGTGTCTCATCGTTCTTGCAAGTAAATAATAATAAAGCTTATAAGATAGACATATATTGTCGCTAACACACATTTCCTACTTTTTCTTATCTCTTATTAGTCGCCGCCTGATGTTTTGTAGCCTAAAGCCTTCCTCAATAATTGTCTAAACAACAAAAAATGCTTTCTCAAGTGGAAACAGTAGGTCCTGAGATTAGCGCGTTGGAACAAACAACCTCTTCAGATTTATATAGTTTAGATGTAATATGTCATAATTCGTGCTTTTCGACAGCCCAGTGCCCCAGATACAATCCATTCATATTAAAACCGACACAAAGTGAGAGTGAGGTGAACAAGAAGAAGGATGTTGTGGAGTCCTTAAATCCACTGGACCCGGAGAACCATCAGAAGCTCAGTTTGTTGCTTTATAGTTACAGCAACAAGTCGCCCAATGTTCCTGACTTCTGCGTGAATCCTTGGTATGTATATTTTTACTAGAACGCTAGGAACGCTGCCTGACTCTGTAACGCGTTACGTAACGAGATGGGTACATATAGACACACTATTCTGAATGACATTCCTTTTACTTTTAAGAACGCTTTTGAACTTCCTTTAAACTCTATTTGGAACTTCACACCCAGACCTGTATGTTTTTCATTTTATTATATTGTATATTAAATTTTGTATTGTATAAAACCTTTAACTTTTACTGTATAAAGACATAAGGATCTCATTGAATGGTTAAATTTTCTCTCTTTATTTTATAAGTGAAAACTTTCCTATTATTTCTTACTTCCTAGTACTAAATTGTTTACCAAATATTATAAAAAAAGATTGTAGAGTATTAAATAATATATATATGTAAGAAATTAATGTCATATCCATAAAAACATGCATATATACATAAGTAAAGCATTACTCGTTAGAATCCAGCCACTTTTGACCTTAAATGATTGTTTGACAAACATATTTGTTATCCGACAAACGGTATCGTTAGTCAAATCTTCCATTTATATATCTTATTTTGATCACATTTAATCGTTCTTGTTACAGGATAGTAACGATGGAAATGTATGGACGTCACGACATATCGTTGGGCGCTTTCTTAGAGAAATACTGCTTTAACTCAGATCACAAGTGTCCTTCTCCTAATTGTCACGTGCCTATGAATCAGCACATCCGCAGGTTCGATTTGTAATACTCATGAATATTTACTTTGAACTTTAAATATGGTCCTTCGAGCCGGATAAACTACAAAAAAGTTATTTATGTATTAATGTTTATATTTTTACAATAGATTTGTTCATGGCGACGTGTGTATCACAATCACGTGTAATACTATTGGACATAGCAATGTCGACAAAACAAGAGATGATCAGAATAAACAGGTTTTTATATTTATAACTTTTACATAGAAATAGTACCATTATTTATTTAGTACATATTGTGTTCACTGGTTACGCATTTAAAAAGGAAATATTATTTTAACACATTTTTATTTAAATTGAGTATTTTATAAAGATTGAACCACATAGATGGGCTCGAACCCACGACCTTGGATGTCTTGATCTAATCATAGTTCCTCAAAACGTATTTTTCCCCATTTCTTTTTCAAACCTTACTTAATATTTATAAGGTCTAATATAGATATATATATTCGAATGTTCAATGGTTCTTCACAGGTGATGTTCTGGTCTCGATGCGAGGTCTGCAGTTCGATATCCCGCGGTGTGCCCTTGTCCCGGTCGTCTTTAGGTCTCTCACTAGCTCAGTACGTTAGACAACGCGTCGCAGCGCCGCGTTATGGGAGAAAGCTATGCGCACATCCGCTGAACAAACACTCGCATGCGTTTGTTACTCGTTTGACTACTGCCTGCTTCAGGTATGATATCGCACAGAACAGTGGGTCCATTGGCAGTATGATCCGGTTCATTTGATCCGTTTGTTTGAGCTAGTAGTTAAATTGATTAAATCGAACGATCTATGACCCGTGTGCCCATGATTGACACTAAAATGACTCCGGCATCGATTAAATAAATCATTTATAATTAACTAACTAAACAAGTGTGGTTTACTTTTTTTTTTCGTTCTATAAAAACCTTATTATTAAAGTAAATGTTCTAAGTTTTTGTCTTTGTTATGCAGACGTTATTTAAAAAATAAATAAAAACTTAACATGTAAGAGATAATGTTAAATTCAGATTAAAATTCAACGACTTAGTCGGGGCTGGAACTGACATCCACAGCGTTCCGTGCCGCTGCTTTATCCAATTGAACTATACGCCATCGTCTTGTTTTTTCTGAGTTCTATATCTTAAGAAATCATTGCAGATAAAATTAAAGAGTTTAACGTTAGTTAGAGCACGTGGATGCCGTTTCAATGCCCGCCCTTGTCGTAAAATTTGTTTAATAAATTAAAAAAAGCTTAAAAATATTCTTTCAGGTATAACAAGATCAAAACGTATGGTATCCAACTACCTCCGGATGTGATAGCGATCGACTATGACACAAAGCAAATGCGCGATTCGCTTATAGCACATCTAAATGAACTCATGCTTAAAGGTAAGCTGACAACAACTCTCTGCCTTACTTAAAGCTCTTTTATTTTACGCTCCCTTTAAAATCATGCAGGGCATAGACTAGTTCAAGATTATGATTTAAGTGTAGAAATAAATAATAATATTTGATAGTCTTTGGTTGCGTTTTCTTCCGACAAATTGCAAAAATTACCATGTGGTTGAATACTGTCTATATTTTACGCGAGTAGTACACATTTAAATAAAACACTTTAACCACTTGTCACCACGGCTGCTGCAAAGCGTCCGAAACGTCGGGCCGAAGTTAAAAATCATTTTCAAATAAGTTTAACTAATATATCGCGCTTAAGCATAAAAGCACTTTAACGGTTTAAAACGCGATATATTAGTTAAACTTATTTGCCCCCAGAATGATTGGCGTTTGTCAACTTCGATACATAGGGAAGCTACACGCTTGCAGATGCTGGTGGAAACAGTCCGTGGTGCATCCGCAAAATGCTCGACGCACTACAGTATCCAAATAAGTTTAACTAATATATCGCGTTTTAAACCATTAAAGTGTTTTATTTGAACCACTTGTGACCGCGGCTGCTGCAAAGCATCCGAGTCGGGCCGAGTTAAAATCATTCAGACAAGTAACTTAATATATCGCGTTTGAAACCGTTTAAGTGTTCTATTTAAATACCATATGGTTATTTAAGTAAAAACGTACTTGAGTGTCACGATATATCTACGTAAGGTTTAGCGGCATTTCAAAACTAACAATATTGAAACACTTTAATTACTTCAAAGTATAAACAAAGTTTAAGTACAGTACAATACGTATGATCCATGAAGATACTGTCTGTTGTTAACGCGTTTAGAGTACATTTAAATACAACACGTGAAACTTTGAACGTTTTAATATACATATTAAACTTACTTAAAAAATATTTTATATACGGCCCGACGTTTCTGTGAAGATTTTTTAAAGATATCGGTGCACAACTAAACAAATACTTACCTCTTTTATTATAACTTTGTATGAAAACGAATATATACTTTTTTTACTGATGGTGTGAATGCCTAATGCACGCCCACGTCGCGCACGTGTGACGTGGGGAGTGTGGTAAATCGTATAGCCGACCAGAACCACTAAACACACCACCAGCCCTCTACGGTGCTTTGAGAGAGCACTGGGAACACGTTTGTACGACTCCAAAGCTCCCAACAAAAATGCCCATTTTAGACAATTTAGACATTTTAGACAAATGCTCCTTGATCCCCGTCCCGCCGCTCGCAGTGGGTCAGTAGATGCCATCTCTCTTGCTTTTTCAGCCGCCTCCTTCTGCAGCAGCATCACCAGCTCACAGAAGAACGGTTATATCCTAGCAGCAAAGCAGTACTAAAGCATACATTATACTTTTATAAAATACCACTGTTCTTTCAGGTCACGAAGCTTTAAGTGGTCCAGAAAAAGGAGAAGCAGAACGCGAATACTTAGCCTTTAAACAGCACATGGAACAGATACATCTAGGGCTCACCGCTCCTGCACATCCTAATACTTCTGTGACAGGTACTCGGGCGCAGGTGCTAAAATTATTAAAAAATATTTCAGTAATCATTTTTTAACTAACAATGTTAATTTTACCACAGAATGAATTTAGATAAAAAAGAGAAAAAAAAGAAAAAAAAAAAAACCGAAAAATGCCCCAACCAAACAAAAAAAAATTTTTCAATTTGAACCAGTAGTGCCTGAGATAAGCGCGTTCAAACAAACAAACTCTTGAGACTTTATATATTAATATAGATTTTATTTATGCAGAGGTCGTACGACGGCTGTGGAACGTGTATGACAATATAATAACTGGCGAGAAAATGCTGCGAGACGCGCAGGACAAATTTTCCATTAGTATGAAGACAAAGGTCCAAATTGAAGCTAATGGTAAGGATTCAATGTTTTCATGTGTGAATATAATAACAATTTACTTAATTATAAAGTCTTTGTATATAAACTGATATAATTTTAGTGGAAGAGAGGACGGACTCGGAAGACTCCACTGGCGACTCTTCAAATGAAATTACAGGTATTTATCATTTATAATATTCACTATCACTGACTATGTTGTATTAAAAATAGTATTTTTTATAACAATTTAGATAAATATCCATGTTCTTTTTATTTAATTTCAGATGTAAATTCAGAGAAAGAACATACAGGTTTGTACATTTTATATTAAACTGTAACCTATAAATATAATTTACTAAAATTGTAGTGGTGTAAATTTTTGCACCACACCAACACCACTAGTTATATTTTTTCTATTCAAAATAATTTTATGCCACCATTAACCATTTACGGTTATAACATGTAAAAAATAATGGCGATTCATTGGTATTTTTACATAGGTACCTTACATTTATTTTTATTAAACCGATTAATGTTTCAGGTACGGAGGAAGAAGAAGAACGCGGCGATAAGAAAACAGTGAAACAGATTCTGTCTCAACTTCTCACTAACAACCAGCCATCTAATCAGGTACAAGGTTCCTTCGGGATGTAAAGTCATATTTTTTTTACCTAATCTGCAATGTTTATCTAGGACATTTAATTATAAATTAATAATAAAAATGCTTCACTGTAATAGCAACGAAAATTTTGAAAGATATTTTTTTATTTAAAAATGTTTCCTATACTATTACATTGCAATTTTACTACTTATCTATTTGAAAATTTAGCTAAGAATGTATTTTTAGGCCGGCATGATAATATCGAGTGGAGTGTTACCAGTTTTGGTGAAAGCGGGCGAAATTGGATCTGTTATTGCGGCAACATTGGCCTCGGTTACCTATCAACTTTCTTTACAACAACATAAGCATCGACACAGGTATCATGTTTATTAGATTTGATCTTATTTACAAAAAAAGGAAAGTCAAATTTGACGTCTTCAAAATTTGCAGTCTTTTAATTGTCGCTATAACTTACTCTGTATAATAAAGCGGCAGAATTTGTAATAAATACACGAATGAACAATGTTACTTCATTTCTTATTGCCAATTCTATACAAAATATATAATTTGAGCCGCGTTTCCACTAAGCTAGTGGCTTAAACACAATGATCGATCAAGTGTTGAGCAAGCGATGTATGAATGAACGGTCTATTGTCTCGAGAGTGAAAGATCAGTAATCGAGATTACATATACCGCAATACGTGTTATAATCCGTGGTTTGGTGTTTGGCTTGCTGACAAAGCTGGTTGCTGGCCGGAATAGTTGGCTTGGCGTATATGACGGCCTAGCTCAATATTCTAGATAGGTTTAAATCTTTCTTTATTATTAGGCATAATGTTTTTGTTGATGTTTTCAGCACTCAAACGGAGCAAGAAGAACACGATTTGACGTCTAGTAAAGATAAAGTTGACGGGGATAAAGCGAAAGCAAAGTCAAACGAACATATTGAAGTCCTGCTAAAGGTATTTTCAATACTAATTAGTACCAACTCGTGTTTTGTTGTTTCTGATATTCTGAAATTTTAAGACTAAAACGTGTGTTATAAAATATGTATTCCACCTATATCTATGTGCTTACTTGTACGCCACCTTGGTCACATTCGTTTAAATTTGAGGAGATATTCTTCAACATACCTCAGGAGACTTTTTACATCACAAAAAATATTCATTCAAGACATGCCGGTTACGTTATATAGTTAAGTCTACCCGCTTTACCGTATAAGGTAGGTTATATTTTAATAATAAATCGATTGTTGCCGTATTCTTTGACTGATTACGACTGTATCAAAATAGCCTTTTGATATTGTATGTCCTTCTACAAGGCTTCTTTGTGCTAAATTATTGTTCTCCACAGGACGGCTTGGTATGTCGCGTGTATTACGCGGTGCAGTTCCACAAATTGCGACACATGTTACTAGCAGGCATAAGTGGTGAACAAAAGACCGAAAGAGATGAGAGTAGATGCTGTGATCCGCATAGGGAGAAAGAAAGTTAGTTAATTATTTATAATTTTCGCAGGCATAATCGTAAAAATAAATTAATAAGTGACAGCTTATCTATAATGAGAAATTATTAAAAAAATATATTAATTTACTTTTTATCAAAATGAGATTATATTTTAAAATACGTAATAAAAGTTTATCTACATATTTCCCAAAGTCTTTAATTGAAATATTAGACAAAGAAGTTAGAAATTACTACAACAAGAGAGAATTAAACAATGATTGGGTATTGTTGTGTCGTACCAACAAAATGCATGTTTTTTCGTAAAATTATTCCCACCTCATTGGATTAAATCTATATATAAAATAGAAATATCCCTAAAAATATCGTGTTAGGCTTAAAATACCCCCCCCCCCACCCCCCACCACAAAAAAAAAAAAGGGGGGAAAAAAAAAAAAAAAAAAATTTTTTTCCCCCCCCCAAAAAAAGGGGGGTTTCCCCCCCAAAAATTAAAAAAAAAATTTTTTTTTTTAGGGGGGAAAAAAAAAAAAAAACCACCCCCCATTTCCACCATCCTTTTTTTTCACCAACCCCCATTTTTTTTAGCCATTTTTGTAAAATTATTTATATGGCAAAACAACGTTTGCCGGATCAGCTAGTTGATTTATAAAAATCTTATTTAATTTATAGATAAGGGCGTTTGCGAAATAGAAGAGGGCTTCATTCGTTCGTTAGCTCAATGTGTGCCCTGGGCAACGAGAGGGGGGAAATCTGGTTCGACTTTTTGTAAAACGAAAGGTACATTACTTATCTCGTTTGGTTGAATACAAATTGTATTTATCGTAATATCTATCCAATAGCTAAATCATGAAGTGCCATTTCTTGAAGTAATCTTATGTTTGTTTCAAGTGATTTTCGATAAACTTGCATGAAATTTAGTTTATATGTTCAATAACTCTGTCTTCCATAAGGTAGAGTAATGAATGAAATGGTTTCCCAGATGATAGATATGTCCTAAAGGAGATGACGAAACCGGAGTGGCAACAGTTTTTGGAGTTTGCCCCACATTATTTCAACTATGTCACCAATTGCCGAACGAACAAGTTGCCTAGCCTACTTGGTGAGTTGGTAAAGCCATGATTTCTCTTCTCCTTTCACCTTTCCTCGACTTCTTGAATACTCTAATTATAACTGACAAGATATTTTTGTAAGTCGTATCTGTGTAGTGGACCTATCATTTTTTCTTTAACCTTGATCAAATGTAAAATGCCCCAGTCATATTCTTATATGCGAGAATAGTATATCGTGGCTTTGGTTATTCGGAAATAAGTTAATAAATCCATTTAAATAAAACACTTTAACGGTTTAAAACGCTATATATTAGTTAAACTTATTTGAAAATGATTAACTTAGAAATAGAACTTCGGCCCGACGTTTCGGATGCTTTGCAGCAGCCGTGGTCACGGGGAGACATTTTCAAATAAGTTTAACTAATATATCGCGTTTTAAACCGTTAAAGTGTTTTATTTAAATGTAATCTACTCGCGTAAACTATAGACAGTATTTAATAAATCCAGTTTACCATCTTTATTTTCTTATTTTGTTTAGCGCGTATCCTGGGCGTGTTCAGCGTCGGAGGGGCGGGTAGCGGCGTGCTTGTTATAGAACACGTGTGGTATGGACCTTCTCGTGGTGTCCTCTCAAGATTTGATCTCAAGGTGAGCTTTTTAAAGTAATTTTCATCACTTGACCTAGACCTGTTTGACGCTTTATGAATGAATAAATACACCATACATGTCAGTTGTAAACACCGTTGGAAGAGCACAAACACCTGAGTTCGAACTTTGGGACACACCGCGGTTTCGGTGGCCACGGTCCTTCTAACCGGTCTTTTCTAAAACATATTTCGTCTTATATGTGATGCAGGAGTGACTCTTCTTATTGTAGACTATATTTTTTTTACACCATTAGACTTTAATTGTACTTTTAAAGGGTGCCGCTCGACACCGCCTGGCCATGGGGGCCGCTTCAGCGCCACCGCACCAGGCAGTACTCGTCGACGATAATCTTTTGGCGTGTATGTATATTCAGTGAAGTAAATTAAAAATACTCTAAACTCACTAACAGTTCTATGTAATTTAATATGCGCTAAGAAAGAGAACTGGCGCTCTAATTTCGCCATTTTCATTGTCAAGTAAATGTTTTGACAACCTCACTAAAAACTACTAGGAAATTAACCTATGAAAGAATACTGAATACGCCATTCTTTAGAGAATATGAATTTGAATAATACATAATATACAATTATTGTTCTGTTATTGAGAATGTTAAAAGTAAAAAATATATAATGTTGTGAGGAAAAATAGCATTAGTAGCGTTTGAACGAAAAGCAATAAAATAACTAGTGCTTTTTAATAAGCAATTTTCAATCTGTTAAAAGCGAATCCAAAACTTCAGACTAATTTTGCATGCCAATCCCAAAATTGTATGTAAATATTGTAAATTTCAGTTATTTAAAACTAACATTATATTTAGGTATATGTCTGAAAAAGCTAATAAGCAATTTTTTTTTTTAACATAACGTTTTAATTCGTTGTAATTTTAAAGCCAGGCGAAACTTATAACCGTATTTATTTTTAGTGCGCTGGGAGCGACAATTGTACGTAGAGAGTACTACTGGCAGCAGACTCTGGGCCAGTCTCGAGCGTGACACGTCGTTCCTCGCTCAGCACCACGTGATGGACTATTCGCTGTTGCTCGGCATTCAAGACGACACCCTTGTGTTGGGAATTATCGGTGAGTGCAGATAAGATTATTTAAATGAGACAAAGCCAACTTCAAAAAGGCTTATAACAAGGCAGAGAGAAAGTAATAGTAGCTTATGTCATGCATCTTAATTTTGTCTTATATTTTTCTTAGTATATTTTAAAATATAGCGAGACATAAATCGATAATCAGCATACGTTTTATTACCAAATAAACAGTTTTATTTCACTAAAATCGAATGTAAAACACAAATGTTGTCCGATTGTACTTACCAGATTAATAAGATAAATTTAAAATTAGTTCTATTTTGTCTTTCTAATTGGTGATATGATAGCGCCCTTAGTTTAAAAAATGTATAAATTAAAATCGTTTTTACATTGAAAAAAAAAAAGTCACGTTCCGCGCTCTTACCAATTGAGCTACCATGTCCTACACGTCGTCGTCGTTTTTTCTTAACCCAATGATATATTATATACAATCTCTCTATTATAAAAATCTAACTTGTTTGAAAGATCAATGTGAGCGAGAAGAGGTTCTCGACGTTTCGCCATCACGTGTGGACGGCATCATTAGGAGATGTTAACTCCTCGATTGCTCAAAGAATTATAGTATGTGGTGGGACGCGTCGAGAACCTCTTCTGGCTCACGTCGGCCGAACAGCCCGAAAGATATGCTAAACGATGGCCGTGAAAGCCTTATACAATTTATTAGTTTGAAAGAAATTGATAACACGCCGGCGCTTGACCCGACACCCACAGCGTTCCTTGCTGCTAGGCAGTGTCGTAATTTTATTACACTCTAAATCGACTTTAAAATCTTATTTTATAGATTACATTCGAACATTCACCTGGGACAAGAAGTTAGAACACCTGGTGAAGAAGAACCTTGGCTCCGGTCAACCGACGGTGGTTTCGCCGGAGCAGTACAAGAGGCGCTTCTGTGCTGCCGCGCGGAAGTACTTCCTCCAGTGCCCTGAACATTGGCACCAACTGTACGAACAGGAATCTTAGTGATGTTAAAGCCAAAAACTAGTTTATGAAGACGATGGACCAGCTGAGATGATTAAAAACTAAAGAAAATAATAATTGAAGATAATTTAGTTAAGCATTTTGACGGTTTTAACCATGACATATATAAATTAAACTTATTTGAAAAGCAGCCGTGGTCACGGACAGACGGCTGATTTAAAGCATCTGAAACGTCCGGCCGTAGTTAAAAATACTTTTCAAATAAGTTTTACTAATATATTTCGCGTTTTAAACCGTTAAAGTGTTTTATCTAAAAGTGTATTCGCGTAAACTACAGACAGTATTTAATCGAAGATAATGTACTGAAACCCCTTTGCTTAACACAAAGCTAAAAAATATTATCTTTTTAGTTTAATAAGCATGACTAAATAGTGATTTGAACACCAACAATCAACATTGTGGTTTTCTCAATTAGTACAGCAACAGCAGTACGCTGTTGGTCGCAGGTTCAAGTCCTGAGTGATAAAAATTCTCAATCTCCTCCGAAATAACAGTACTTATAAGATCTGGTAAATAAAGATTATTCGAATTTAACTGTTTCTTGTAAGAATCGAAATATTGTTACTTCTATATTTTAATTTGTAGTTTTTTGTTGCATAATAATCGTGTTAGACAACCTATTTATTAATATATATCTGTGATAGCACATCGATTTGTGCGTATGAAATTATTTTATACATTCCTTGTATTCGAAATATATCAAAAAATTACATACAAGTTGTTTTATGTACTTACCTTATTCAATGGAACGACTACATACATCGAGGTACTGAAAGTGACATATATACATACAAACTAACTAACCCCCCCCCCACCTTTTGGGTTCTTCCTGAAACCAAATTATCCGGTGTCATAGCACAGTTGAAATTTTCACTAATTATGTACTTATGTTACCGCTAAAACAAAAACGAAAAAATTTCAAACACTTATTTTAAACGTAATTTTATTATCAGGCTCACATAAGTTACATTCTGAGTTCTGTAAACACTCCCATACACACTTATTACATTTACGTAAGATTCATTGTGATATTCTCATCAAGTAGGATATTACTGAGTATTAAAGTACTTTGAGACATCTACATAAATAAAATACTAAAACATTTATCTACCCAAGTATCCTTTTTAACATTAGGGGTCGTCCATTAATCACGTGAGGCTTGAAAGGGGGGGGGGAGGGGTTTGGTAAAAATCACGAAAATAACAAAAAGGGGGTATAAGTAAGACATCTCGTGTATTTATTTTTTCGTCAAACGCGCGATTTTTAAACAAATGGTGTAGACATTTTTATTATGGTCCTTAATTTCAGAATAAAATAAGATAATAGTTTATACATGTATTTATATTAAAATAATATTCAGAAAATTTTAAGATTCTTTGTAGGTACTAAATAAAAATACACGTAATGTTGAGAAGGGGGACGGGGGGTGGTCTTAACCTCACTACGTATCACCAATGGGTGAGGGGGGGGGGGTTTAAAAATTCTAAAAAAAGGTCACGTGATAAATGGACAACCCCTTACACCAAGCCTTTACGATTGAACACAAGACATTCAAAATTAAAGTAACTAAATCCATCCCTAACTTGATTTTTAATACATAAGATCACAGCAGACTATAAGAGTGGGCGACTAAACGATTAAGATATTTGTCCCCAAGTTCATAGTACCACAGATATCGGTCTATCCATAGATAGCATGATTAAAAACCTCATTAATACAATAATATGATAGTGCATAGCTATTGAAGGTTATCTTGTTTTAAATTCATGCAATCTGTTACTATCATTATATTCCTTCAATAACTTAATAAAATTTTAAATTAACGAAAGTTTAGCATTATGTATGTACACACATAACTTCAGACTGAGTATGAACGAACTAGGAACATTTCAAATAAGTTATTTCATTACCTTCCTTGACATTGACAGTTAATTTTTTTTTAGCAAATTTTGATTTAAACTGAAAACAATGTGTGGATTGAGAATTTCAAAATGTTTTCCGATCATATTCTGAGAGTGCTAAATGTACAAAAAATAAACTTCTCTTATCCAAAACTATCTAAACCTTATCTTGAATATGATTTGAAATCACGAGAATTTGCGTTCATCTAAGCAGGATATGAACCCACTGTACAGTTTATAAAGCTAAGCGTTACGAAGTAATATGTACAATCCTCAAAATTTTGTCAATATTTGGGGAAACCTTATTTAGATTTTAGATTAAAATATTGCTAGTAACATTGAGACCGTTCAAATATTACGTAAGCACTATAGGGATGGTTTAAGGGCTCATTTAGATGGTATTAACATACCGTAACGTTTAAATGAAACACTTTAACTATGAATTTAATAATTTTGAAATAAGTTTAACTAATATGTATCGCGTCTTAAACCGTGAGTGTTATTTTAATCGGAATTACATCATTATTTAAGGGAAGGCAACAGCTTTGCTAACTAACGCTTGCAATGGAAGGAGGGGGGGGGGATTGTCAATATTTTTATGTGCTCACGTTATACTCGAACGCCCCCTGTGAGAATAACTACGCAACTACATAGCGGCCCCGTTTCATGAACTAAAAGTACACGTTCAATATACAACGTCGTATGATTCACAATATAAGCCCCAATAGCTTAGAGTATTATTCTAAATGAATATGAGTTGGGACTTGCGTTTTAGATGCAATTTCACCGAAAACTAATGACATTGTTTAACTGACAGACCGTTAAACTGGATCTTTATATGAAGCATAAACATGCGATAAATTGTGTGTAGATGTCATCATTTGGTGAAAGTGGACCTACAACTAGCAGCAAGGCCAATCATGAACATGGTTTAACTTCAAAGAAAGCTATTCCAAGTAAAATAATCAGTAAATTAACAAATGTCACTAAATAATACTGCCAAAGTGTATAAGTGACTTTGGAACATTCAGATTACGACATATTAGTGTGGATTATACAACAATGAAACAATACATTCTACTTAGACAATAAAGTATTTAATATCAAGTAGGATCCAGTGTGGAGCGCAGAGATCTAAGTCTTTCCAATCCTGATAATAATTCCCTGAAAAAAAAAAGTAGTTTGTACAACTGAACTAAATAGACATGACCACTGCAACTCCAAAAGGCGAAATTAAAATAACTTATAAATTTCATGTTGTAAACGGTTTAATTCGATGTGTACAGTCCTTAGTAAATTATTATGATAATAATTCTTTATTCAAGTACAAACCCACATCTTACAAATATGTCATAAAATGAAAAACGATAATACGAATCAGTTAACATTACTGTTTGCGGTTGCTGTCAGCGTGCACTTTTGCCCAGTTCATTAAAATGGGATTGCTTAGGTACTCGGAGAAAGTTTGAACTATGAGATTCGGTGATGTGTTAACGCGACTCCAAAATGATGCGAGCCTCGATCTTACAATCGCGTAATAGTCCGATACCCTTGCCTCAGCGAACATGCCGGACGCACTGCAAAGCCTCGGAAGCCCCATTAAAATACGAAAGGCATCATCCAAAGTTGACAGGTGTAAAAACTTTGTATTGCCAGAGTGCCAGCTTTAAAGTAAAAGGATTACCTCCTTATCACACCTGGCAAAGCGACGCGCCAGCATGTTACATCTTATGGCAAGTGATCGTCTTTCACGTTCAATGTCAGCATCGTCAAGTCAAGTACCTAAACTTATCAACCATTTTTATCGCCTCGCCGTTCATATATGCCTTGGACACATAATTCAGATAATCTGTCCACATGCAAACATACCTTATACAAAGCATATTTTTATTTGTATAGAGGTTACAACTGTCGTAGAATGGAAACAGAGATTCTGCATTTTATGTCATCCCGTTTCCCCTTTCGGTCATGACAGACATAATTTCCCGTAAGTACCCGTATAGTCTCCCGAACCCGTAGTTCCCGAGATTGGCGCGTTTAAACATACAAACTTTTCAGCTTTATATATTAGTATAGACTATAGATGTTAGACTCACCTAAGCGAAGTTTCGGCGACTGTTGTGGCGTGTCGCAAGTCAACGGCTGCATTCACTTGCACGTTCCGCAGCGAACGAACCTCCTCTTGAGACGCCGACAACTCTTCCTATAAAGTAAAAATTTATAATTAATATTATTCTATGTGGGGGCAACGATTGATAGTCGGGTACTCATTTAAAATAAAACACTTTAACGGTTTAAAACGCGATTATAAGTTAAACAATAATATATCGCGTTTTAGACCGTTAAAGTGTTTTATTTAAATGTGTACTACTCGCGTAAACTATAGACAGTATTTAGTCGGGTACTCCCCCATTTCCCCATTGCGATGTAAATGTTTTCATTGGAAAAAATATATAATTATAAAAGATCTGTTAAATGCGAGTATGAGTCGCACATATGGGTTCCGTATCATTATTAAAAAACAGGATTCTTCATTGAAAAGTGAAAATCCGTTTCTCGGCGTGGAGCATGGAGTGAACACGTGTATCCATATTACACTGATCGGGTCTTTTTAGGCAAGTAGTTGATCAGACTTTTGCCCGATCGAAGCAATCTATTTAATTTACAGTGTAAGTTACACCCTGATAGAATTTAAATTAACATAATGCCATCAGTTGCAACAATGTAATAAATATACCGGAAACTGAGGAAAAGAAATGTAAAAACATACCTTTAGTCTTTTAATTTCATTTTTCAGTCCACTCACTGTACAATCAGCCTCAGAAGCATGACACTGAAATATTTTTTTTTAATAAATTATAATTTCTAATATTTTTATTTTCCATTTGTTAGATCTGTAATTGGAAAATCTTCGATTCGATCCTTCGATTTTTAGTTTACATATAATCATCTTTGACTGCACGCTTAATTAGATTATCCAATACTGAGTTTCTCCATGTGAGCGTACTAAAATGAATGATAATGAATCAAATATTGAGACAACAATCAGTATTTAAATGATAAAAATGCTTGGGGTGTGGAGGAACCCGCTCTTACAAGGAAAAATATGTAGTGCACTAAAAGTAAATCAAGAATGTAAAATGAAACTGGGCGATAAAAGGAGTGACGGCGAGTTTATTGCCAGTTCTTCTCGTTCGTTCTACGCCCTTGATTTGAGAACTGGTACTAAATGTGAAGTTAGAATCTTTAGTATTGTGACGCTCATAAGTGTACCTAGTTGAATAAATACCTCCATAAATTATATCAAAATAAAATTTTGACTTTGGCTTCTGTTAGTCCTAAAGATACAGCCATTTATAGACTTTGATAAAGACAGTTATAAGTAATAGTCTGGCTTACTCACAGCAGCGTCCAATAAATTGTGGTCAGTCCGTTGGGTTCCCGACTCCATCGTACTGACATAGTCGCGGTCAGCTTGCCTCACATCACTGAGTTGTGTCCTTAACGCTGCCTCAGATGCCCTGACGGCACTCAGTTCCGCTCTTAACAACCTAATTTCTTCTCTTCCTGAGTTCAATTCCTCCTCTGCGCGTAATCTTCGATTGCGTTCCATAAACAATTCGGATCTGTAATTTATATGTTTGTCTTTAATCTACACTAATATAAAACTGAAGAGTTTGTTTGTTTGAACCGTCGTGGTTCGAATTGAAAAATTCTCGTGTTAGTTGGAACATTTATCGAGGCAGGCTATAGGGTATAAAACATCACGCTGTGACTTATAGGAGTAAAGAAGCACAGGGAAATATGAAGAAAGCGGGGAAAATCATCATCTTTGTGGGTTTCCGTTGCTAACGATGCGAAAGCGGTTCAAAATAAACAAATAATATGTAGAAATGAATGACCTCTCTTTAAATAATCAAATCATATATCATTCCTTTAAGATTAACTGGTAGGAACGAAGGGCGCCGAAGTACGGGGACGCGACCGACCGCGACCGGTCGTGGGTAACAGCTAATATTTCTAAAGACGAAGAGGAGGTTTGAAAAAACAAATTTGGATGTCCAAAATAACTATTGTACGCAGACGAAGTCGCTGACACAGCTAGTTCATTGTATTCTTGATTTTGGTGAAACATAATTTGTAAGCAGACACTGGAGATAGGTTCTCACACATGCTATAAACTTGGTATTAGCACAAACACTAATAAAATACTAAATAATTGGTGGAAGAGTCGTTAGCGATAAGGCCGCCCATTACTCCATATATTTAGTATATAAGTTTATATTTTTCATTTTTTTGTGCAATAAAGTGTATATAAATAAATAAAATAAAAATAATTATCCGCAAATGGCACACTTCGTACCTAGTCCTTTCTAACTCAACAAGTTGTTGTAATTGCTCTTCCTGAGGCTGCGGTTCTGGAGATGTTCTGCCCGGATGTACTGGTAGGAAGTCAGGTAATCGCATAGACTCTGCCCCTGTAAAGTAATAGTAAAACTATAAAATAAAATATTGGTAAAATATATTTACAGTGTTTGTTATTTTTTCACCCTTAAACTTTTATTGAGTCAAGAGAGTATAGAAATATTTTTGGCTGCATCTATTGTTCAGGCTTATTTATAAAACTTCCCTAACATTGGTTTATGGTATGAGAGATCGTGAATTTAAATCTTGCGAAAACAAGTAATGGTTACTGTCTATAGTTTATGGGAGTAGTACACATTTGTTTCGTTTCGGATGCTTTGCAGCACCCGGGGCCACGGCTGCTGCAAAGCACCCGAAACGTCGGACCGAAGTTAAAAATAATTTCACAGTTTAACTAATATTTTAAACCGTTAAAGTGTTTTATTTAATAGTAATGTTTTTGTTCAGTCAAGGTAGAGAAGTAAATAAAATCTCTCAGGAAAAATAAACATGTGTTCATCGCGACAGGTGCAAGAGGAAACTAGACTTCACACACATTTTGGAAATCTTGCTTATTATATATAGATAATCATTTACAAACGAAAGAAAAGTCTAATTAAACAATCAATTCAGCTTGAGATCAAACTACAGATTATTACAAGTCACTAATAAAAACAAAACAAAAAAGATAATTCTATCATGATATAATTAATTGTTAGTTCTCTTGCATAATACATTTTATTTAAATTTTTAGTAAAAACAGTATGTTAATTAACAAATTGTCATAGTCATTGCTGATGTAAGTAGGAAAAAAACACAGCAAAGCTTAGCATAAAATAGGAATAAATTAGAATAACTAAAGTTTGTAAAAAAGGTCATACCCTTCATTATATATATTTATTTACTATAAATTAAATCCACAAATCGTTGATTATTCAATCTTCCGAATTAATTAATTAAAAACCAGGCATGCACACTTACCAGCATTTAGCGGGAGATCCAAAGGAAAGTTGTCCCTCGGAGACACATTCCTTCTGTCAACTGGATTCACCGACTCAGTAAGATCTAAGTTGAGATGCACCAAGTCCAATGGTGGAGCTGCCTCTGCCTCGATAGGCAGATCTAATGGTACACTACGATTTGAAGGTCCAGACTCTGCAGATGAGGTGGCCACTCCCAGATATGCATCATAGTCATAATTTCTTGTACCGTAATTGTTTTTATTTCTTCTATTTAAAGATGAAGATGACACAGTACTATAATTGTTGTTTGTATATGTAAAATCAGGTAAATTATCTAAATCAACTGATATAGGTCCATTGGAATTTAAATATGCCTGCTCCACTAAAATATGATCTTGTACAAAGTCTGGTAGTGAAGGCATACCCAATGGCTCAGATGCTAAATTTGGCCGATGGAAAAATGGACCATCAGAACTGTCCGCATAGAAATTATGCTTAGATTCAGATTCCTCAACTACACTAAATGGTATTTCTACAGAACTACTGGAAGAAGCGTCATCACTGTTACGCATAACACTGTTCGTCTTAGATTCTTTGGCTTTATTTTCATTGAAGCGACTCTTCTCTCGTCTCGAATCACTACTAATGTCTAGTTTGTCTAATCTCGTGGGAGAGTGTTGCACCGTGTTAGCATAAACTTTAGGCCTAGCACCGGTGTTTTCATACGTCGAATTCCCTGGGAGTGACAGATCCCTCTTCAGGAAGTGACGAAACGAAAATGGATTATCTTCTTTACGCATAGCTCCCGTCGATTCTGTGAAAATTAATAACGCTAATTACTTAGGAATGTCTCTATTTCAAGAATAAAAAACAACTGTCCAAAACACTTACTTGTCGTCGAACTCGAAGGTTCTGCAGGTGATTTATAGCCATTTTCTTTGCTGTCATATTTTACTTCTTCAATCCCTAAGTCAGGCTTTGATACATTTTCTTGGTTTTGTTCGGGTAAGCTTGCATTATTTAAATTTGGAGATGATTTTTTATCCGAAACACCATCTTCGTCTTCCGCCATGATAACGAAAATGACAATTTTATATTATGACTGTCAATCATAATAATATAAAGTCATATGTCAAAACCGTATGCGAACATAGATAATACAAGATATTGCATAGTCTATAAAGTCGGTCTATAAGATTGCAGAATGACTTGTCGTTGTATGTATGTCTACTAGTAAAAAATACTATTTAAATCCGATTAGAAGGGTTTATTTCGGTGTCTAAGTACTTTTTTTCGGTTTTTTCTTTAAATTTCTTCAGGTGGCTCTATATGTTTACAGATAAATAACGCTTAAATAACGCTACGTTGATGAAATGATAACAAAAGATATTTTAACATTAATTTATTATGATTGTCATAAAGTTTTGAACATAACAGTGGATAGTTTAAACACAAAATAAATTCGTTTACAATATAAATGCACATATAATTTAAAGTTAATACAAAATATAGATTACATTCTATTTTAATATAGAGTGAGCATAGTTTTAGCTTTACAAGCATCACGCTTTTCTTACTTAATAATTTAATACAGTTTACTTACAAATATTGAACTATCCTATGAAATACATAAATATTAATGTATGCACATAATTTAATACATTCTTAACTATAAAGATCTGTAGAGATTAATTAACTGTTTAATAAGCTACCATTCAAAACAATTAGTACACAAATTCTTACATACCACTTTCCAAAATAAATTTAAGTTGAGAAGAACAAATTTTTGGCACCAATAATTTCATAACAATATAAGTATGTACCTACCAAAAATATGAAACTATAACATTTTCTATGATTTTCCCATAACATTATTACTTTTAATAGGTATGGCACTTTAACATTTTTTAGTAAAATAATTTATTTTATATTACAACAGACTTTTTTCTCTGAAACGAACCTACATCAAAGTGGTGTTCAAAGGAAGCTCGAAATTAACATAAAATATATTAATCTGAAATTAGTAGAATACAAGTTCCGTACTGTCTCATTATAAATACATTTTTCAGGTTTGTGTGGGAAATGTGGGGAAGGCAGAATATGTTTATATTTATCCTTAAATTATGAGATTATTGAGTACTGTTAAGTTTAATTGATAATAATTTAATAATATACTGAACGATTACAGATTTTTTGTCGAAAAATAAATATAATTATAAATTTATAAACGGTCTACTTGATTCCACTCCTTTTAACATTACGCAGATTTAACATACTCTATAGGCTTACACGTATATAGGCAGTGCGATTGTTTAATTTTAAACGCGAAAAATTATAGTACGGAACTTACCATTTTAAACAAGTATATATATGAATATAATGAATTTATAAAAACCTAAAATAAATAACGTTATCAGTCTTTGGGATCCAGGAAAGACGTTTTATGATACCCTTAAAAATCGTGAATAACATAGTGTAATTTGTAGGTATAAAAAAATAAATAATGACTTTTGGTGTTTATAAGGAACCCTAAAAACATAAGTACATATAAAATGATATATTGCCCTTTTCACCGCACTGTAATAAATTTAATGAATTAAAATATGTTTCCCAATTTATTCTTCTGCACCCATTTCTTGCTTTAAATACAAACTCTTTAGTTTCATTGATGTTTTATATATTAAATTAAACAAAATTGTTAGGTAAATATAAGCAGATACATTGTGTTCTCTCGTGTCTTGTTAATTACTTATATGTCAGAATCTACGAATGCTGTGATGATATAAATGTCTGTAGTTACCGCAAGCGGAACGCATTAAATAAAACTTTTAATCATTTAGAGCGAGAAAAGTAAATCGTTTTTTTTTTTGTTTAGTGGTAAGCCACCCTAGAACATTTTAATGTAATTTGCTTTTTAAACAAAGGTATTATTGTCCAACAAAAGATGGTCAAAATTGCCAAAAATGCCTTTGTTGTAAACAGTTGTAAGCGTGGTCCCCATTCACAGAATTTGTACGAAGCATCAAAAAACATCTACGTGTTTTGAAATAACAATTATATATAAACCCCAAAAATAAAAATGTTGACTCATATTGGTAACAGATTATCTTTTTCATGCACATGTTATTTCAAGGAAAATAATTTTATATTTCTCGCGTTGACTGTAAGGATTGCTCACAATGATTAGGCCGCCTGTTGCTCTCGTAGCAGCTTTGTTTTATGTGTCACTATTTGAGTTAAAGTAATCATTAATAAAAACGAACGAAACATAAGCTTTATGTTCATTAGATTATAATGGAATATAACTTTTGTTGTTGTCTGTCAAATCAATCAAAAGAAAGGACATTGTGTTCTCGTGATGTAAAGTAAAACACCCCAGCTACATAACCCCTAAACAAGATGTTATCGACCTATTGGCTTCGTCTTTTAAATTTAGATCCGATAATATAGTGTATATGTGGATGTTTTATAATATTTATAGACGACCTTCGCTCACACATCGTTATGAGATTCAGAAACATTATCTGCGATATAAAGATAACGCGTGAATTTGCTGAATAACCACAATAAACGTTATAATCTATGGGTGATCGCTCTGGTGCTCAAGATAAAAACTAGTTATTTCTGTCTTGTTATTTAAAAGAAACACGTTAACGGTTTGAAACGCGATATGTATTAGTGAATCTTATTTGGATATAATTTTAACTACGGTATCCCCGCAGCCACGGCTGCTACAAAGCACTCGAAACGTCGGGCCGTAGTTAAAATAATTTCAAAATAAGTTTAACTAATATATATCGCGTTTAAACAGTGTCTTATTTAAAATTATATTATTACAGTATTTTATAACAATGATGTAGCTTCACAAATGGAAGAAAATTTAAAGCTTAGCTTAATAAATTATGTAAGGCTTACACGGCCTGTTCATCATTCAGCATATCACTGCTTTTCGGGCTGTTCGGCCGAAGTGAGCGAGAAGGGTTTCTCGACGTTTCGTCACCATGAGCGATAATTCTTCGAGCAATCTGTGAGTTAATATCTCTTGATGATACAGGCCGAAAAACAAAGACTTAGCTTAGTTTAGTTTGTTTTGAGAGTACGTCAGCTGATCGCGGTTTAGTAAATAATTTTCTTACGCATCATCTTATATATCTCGTGTCGCAGTATACGACTTGGATCGCCTCCAACATATATAAAAAGAAAAAATATTTTAACACAAACAAAGAGAGGAATTCGAAATTTTATTAGCGTACGTGCCGTAAACATTCCAGATTATTCGTCGATAGATGAGCTCAGACAAGTATGGGGGTTCGCTTGATGGAAATCTCCAGCCATATCACAATTAAACAATACTCGACCTATGTCCGCATTGGACATTCAGAGAATTTATGTAAAGCCTTTGAAATAAAAAAAAGTTTTATTTGTAATCAAGTAGTATAACTGTTAAAGACCTTTAGTTCAAACTTGACGTCTCCGGTGCGACAAGTTTCGTTCCGTAGATAAATTCGATGTTCTGTAAATGATAAATTAAATGACCATGTGCTGCATAAGTATCCGAAACGTCGTGCCGTAGTTAACATAATTGTTATATAGGTTCAACTAATAGATTGCGCATTTTAAACCGTTAAAGTGTTCTATTTATATGTGTACCACACGCGTAAACTACAGACAGTATTTAATGCAAAAAAGATAGATCTCATTTGAATAAAACACATTAACGGTTTAAAACACGGAATATATATTAGTTAAAATTATTTGGACATTATTCTAACTACGGCCTGTCGTTTTGGGTGCTTTGCAGCACCCGTGGTTGCGGGAAGTTATGTAATTATTTTAAAATAAGTTTAACTAATACATATCGCGTTTTAAACCGTTAAAGTGTTTTATTTAAATGTGTACTACTTGGGCAAACTATAGACAGATGGATTTAAATTAAATAACTTACTTAAATTGGTCTTGCAACTCGATAATTTTGTATTGTTAATTGCCAGTTCCGAAAATCTTTTAAAAGTCAGAAAAACCGTAAAAATATCTACGTTTCAATATTTAAAATGAACACAAATAGCACGGTAGAAGTATTAGCTATGCCTCAATGAATTCTCGTGACAAACTTTATTACCTACTTTAGTGAAATCGTAAAATGTTTGTAAATCAGCGAATGCTTACCTCGCGTGCTCTGATAAGGGTAAATGTACGATTCCTGTATTACATTTTCAAATCTTGACTATTTTGCATATTACGTATCGACTCGTCGTTCAGGGTTGCTTTTTAACTGATGTCGAAGGCAAAACGAAGGGTAAGGTGTTTTCGTTGTTAGCGCTAACACTGAGTTGATTATAACCAAACATTGGGCGACATTAGTTTACATATTAAATATTATGTACTGTGAACCTGCAATCTTTTTTTAAATAATCAAATCAAATCAAAAGAATTGTCCCGGTTTGCACATAGCTCGAATTATTACTACTTTAACTTACAGTGTTAAAATCTGTTTACTGATTTCGACTTCAATAGAAGTTTTACAACCTACCTTCTTGTTATGTGCGAATCTTGGTTATTAATATCGCTTATTTCAAACGTCAAATGAAAATTTTCCATTTACCTATACTCAATGCGCATTTAAGATAGCAAAATGCAGGTGTTTAACCAACAATTACATTTACATCTATACTAATATATAAAGCTGAAGAGTTTGTTTGTTTGTTTGAGTGCGCTAATCTCCGGAACTACGGGTTCGAATTGAAAAATTCTTTTTATGTTGATTAGATCATTTATCGAGGAAGGCTAAGACGAAGATACAGTGGGAAATGTGAAAAAAATAATGGGAATGTCATTTATCATATTGGTTCTTGAGACGTACGCTGCAAAAACAGTTCAATATACCCAAAAAAAATTCCCTCTTTAAATGATGTAAAAAACTCCGCGACCCTCTGTGTGTATCTTTTAAGATTAAGTTGCAAGAAAGACGGGAAAGGACGCGACCGACGTTGTGGGTTACAGCTTTGTATAAAGATGAAGAAAGGGGTTTGCAAAAACGACTTTAGATGCCCAAAATAATATTCTTAGCGGACGAAGTCCCTGCAATATGTTGGTTAAACTATTTATGAATTGTTATGGCGAAAACGTTTCACCCTATTTAAAGATAATACAATAAATGTTTAATACACAGCACGCAACGAACATTTTTAATTACAAAACTTTGCGGGTTAGTTAATAATAATCCTATCGTTGTGTTGTAGGATTCTCCATATTACGACCAGTAGCGGAGCCAAGACTAATAAACTTGTATTACGCAATGCTTCAAGTTATCTTTTAAGTCATATTAAGGACAGATTACTCTCAAATTGGTCTAACACCATCCCCCCTGTCAACGCTCCTGCTTATGAAACGATAAATGCAAAGTACGTTGGCTAGGCAATATAAATAAAAAATAAACAGCCAATTTTTAGATCACGACGATAATAGTAACTTAACATTCCCGAGTAACAATGGATGATGATAAAAACGGTTAAAACATTGCTACATCTTGTACACCGGCCGTTTTCAGAAGTTAACCACCAACCTTCAGTAATGCACAAGAAGAACATTACCCACATAATGATGTAGTAACCAAATCAATGTTTAAACAATCAACCGCATCTAACTCTTACCACATACATGTATCATAAAATATCACAGTTCACACATAGGTCTCTAGGGGGTAGTCAAAGCACCCCGTGGCGCGGTCCTAGCTGCCACCGCCGCTGTCCACCTCCGAGGAGTGGGCCGTGGGCTAGCTGGACGAGCTGCTCGTGGATAAGGTGTCTCTGCCTAGTTCCGCTGCCATAATCGCTATTGTCAGCTCCTTTCGAGCCTTTTGCACCACCCACACCATGAGAGTGATGCCGATGAGAATCTGGAAGCAAAGATATCACTGACTTTTCTAACACTTCTGAGAAAAAAAAATTGTAAGTCCTTTCCCAGAATTCTAAGTTATCTAACGCGTTCACCGAAATTTATTATCAGTCGATATCTAAAGGACTATCGACAAATGGCTTTGTAATTTACCAAACATAACGCATTAGATAGATAAATAATTCATTTGTTCCCAATAGATAAGATCTTTTACAAAGTTTATGTATATTGTGAGTTATATTAGTTTGCATGGGAGGTAGGGATCGGGGAAATACCCCAGCCATCAACGTCTCAATAAGACGCACTGTCGACCAATTTTGGCTTATCACAAAACGCGAAACGCGATTAAAATTGATGGCTTTTTCATGTGTACGGTGGTTTGAGACCTGAACGAAATTTCGAGATGTCTAGCACCCATATAATCTGCAGATTCCCAGACGAAGCCTAACATTAAAACATATAATTGATAAGAAACATGTTTGACTTGTTGGGGATGGAACCACGTCCTGTTGATTATTTATTAGCTAAACATTGCTAACATTACACCAACGATCCCGTCAAAGAATTCATTCAAATCTTAGTGCACGTTATAAATATGAGCTACTTAAAAATGGAGCGTTTTTAAATTGAAATAGCCACTTTTGCCCTCGACCGAAACCAATTTTGTCAACCGAGACACGAACCCAGTAACCAGTGCCACAAAGCATTCCGTTTTGTACTGATATCTGAAGGAATACTAACTCAAACCTATTATTTCCGTATTTTCTCATACTAATAACACATAAATACGGCTAGGCCAATAAAAGTACCTGATGCACGTGACATCAGAGTGACCGATAAATATCCTAATGTCATTGACAAACGATATAAGTTGATAACATTAATTATGATCGCCTAATTAAGCCCTATTTCTTATCACTGTAATTAAGGAAAAATTATATATTTGAAACTATGTAGATAACTGAATTTGTTAGTAATTTGCATATCTAATGAATATAATAATTCCTAATTGCAAAAAAATATATAGCTTTCATTGTAAAAAAAAAAGGAAGATTGGTTCTAATAACGGCGAGGATCAACGGGGAGTGAAACAAAAAATTTTCTAAAACAATTGTTTTAATCTGAATGGGTGAAAGAGCAGTGAAGTGTTTCGCGTTTCAGTCAGTGGATTTCCGAATATACAAAGCCAATATAGATCGACAGCACATCCTCCTCCCCCCTAAAAAAAAAACCCCCCCGGCCGGGGGGAAAAAAAGCCGGCAAAAAAACCCCAAAACCGCGGGCCAAGGGAAAAAAAAATTTTAAAAAAAGTTTAACAAAAAAATCGCGGTTTAAACCGTTAAAGTGTTTTATTTAAAGTGGGGGTATTTCGACTTACCATCGAGTGAGCAATATTTGAACTTTACTGCTCGTAACTGAGTTTGGTACTCATTTGCATACTTAAAGCGTCGATGTTTTCGATCACGCTATTATTGGAAAATTGGCTACGGCCGACAAGTCGAAGCAATAAAATGCAATTGGTGTCAATGCTTTGAGATTTCATTGAGTGTGTGCGGTGTTTTCTATGGCGTAAGATTTGCTAGACGGGAAAAATGTAACAAAGACATGAGTAACGGCATTGTTTCCGATGGTACACAACTTCGAAACGATCTGTCAACAAAGATATCGGTATATTATAGTTTATCTATCAATGGATCTTGTTGTTTGTAATCATTGTAAAGTTTGTAATCATAAAGTATGACTATTATATTTTCCCCCTCCAAATAATGTATCAACTCAAAATGTTATTTTTAAAATGTAAACTTTTAATGATTGCTCGGCTCGTGTCGTAAATTTTTCAATTTACAATCGATTTTTATTTTATATAGCGCCATCTAGTACAATAACATTTGAAAAATATAAAAATTTTCAAACGTTACTTTGTAATTTCATCTTCAATAATTTTCTTCAGCTGCAAAGCATAAGCCGTTGAATATTAATACGCAAGTGAAATAACATTGCGCGAGAGGTGCCATGTATCAATATGTTGAAAAAAAAAATTCGACAGAGACGTCTAGGACACGGTAGCTCAATTGTTTAGAGCAACAGCACGGAATCATTGATTTTTAACATTTTAATCTATCTAAAAAAGGAATCCTAACATTTCTTTACTATTCCCAAGTCGAAAGATGTAAAGAAATGTTATTCTTTACTATTCCCAAGTACTTAAATGTTTAAAAGAAATTAATTCGATTAAAATTTTATCAATGTAAGATACATTTTATTAAATTGGATAATAGTATACATCCTTATTATCTGCATTTTATACTAGTATCTATTTAGCCCTATATAGATTAAACAGCACTCAGCAGAGGGGATTTTTAACTAGGTCAATTATATTAAAGACACTAGCTGTGCCCGCGACTCCGTTCGCTTGAAATAGTTATTAGTTACTATTTTTGCAAACAACCTTCTCAGTTTTATAAATTACTAGCTGTTGTACACGACGTCGTCCGCGTCCCGTCGATCTTGGGAGTTGATCTGAAAGGATAGACATGTACTGTCGCGGAAATTTTTGTTTTGTTATTTTAGAGAGCAATCATTGTTTTATGAATGTTTTTTATTATCTTTGACCGTTTTCGCAGCGGACACGGTCATAATTTTTCAAGGCTGAAGAATATTTTCCCCATTTTCACCACATTTTCCTCTATTCCTTCACTCCTATTGGTCGTAGCCTGATGTTTTATAGCGTTCCTCGATAAATGGTCCAACCAACACAAAAATAATTTTTCAATTCGAACCACTAGTTCCTAAGGTTAGCGGTCTCAAGCAAACAAACAAACAAACTCTTCAGCTTTCTAATATTAGTATAAATTATATGATGTCTGTCTGATATACTGCCGTCAGTCAGTCTTTTTAGAACTATTTTATACTGGACATTATTTCACACTTAACAACTTAATGCAAATAGAAACTCAAGCGCAATTATCATATTTATCCAATGAAGGAGATAATTGAACGATCTTAAACAAACGAGTTGTTATCTTCGATAAACTACTAGTTCAGTGCATCTATAGAACTATATACCGAGTTAAGAACTAGTTTTAAGAACCGGAATTTGGTTCGCATCCCTTCAAACCGAATTTTCGCTTTAGCGAACTTTAGCATTCCCTTGTGAAATTCAGTTTCTATTTTAAAAATCCTAGTTATAGTTCAATCTATACTTATATTATAAAGCTGGAGAGTTTACTTGTTTGTTTGTAACGCGCTGATCTGGAACTACTAGTTCGAATTGAAAAAATATTTTTTTTTGGTTAGAACATTTATCGAGAAAGGCTTTAGGATATATAAGATAACGTTGCGACCAATAGGGAGAAGAAAATGGGAAATTTGGAATACTCGGGGAAACTATAGATCTTTAGGGATTTCCGTTCCGTTCGATGCGAATACGGTTCAAGATACCCAAAAATATGTATGAAAGAATGATTTAAAAAAATTACCACGACAGTAGGTTATATGTCTATCTTTTAATAAAATGTAAATTATAGTCTTTCTTTTTAGAGGAAATAATTAGATCATATATCAAATTGCATCAACAACGTACCTGAAACGCGAAGACTACGTATCCAGTGACGTGTGATTCATGCAGTACATCGTGCATGGACCTCAGAGTGGAGCCAAGGTACACGTTGATGACCTGCGCCGGTAATAGACCCAGCAGAGTAGCCATGTGATAGCCGCATCCGCGGACGTCGCTCACCTGAGGAACAAAACAAATATCTTAAGTGTCAGCATATCATTGTTCTTCGGGCTGTTTGGCCGACGTGAGCGAGAAGAGCTTCTCGACGTGTTCGCCATCATCAGCGGACGGCATCATTAGGTGATGTTAGCTCCTCGATTGCTCGAAAAAACTTCGAACAGCCCAAAATACAATGATATGCTGAACGATGAGGCTTTCATGGCCGCCTTACACAATTTATCGTGAGTGTCGTTTACAACATAATTTAATATAAAAATTGTACAATTCACAACATTATTTTTCTATAGTTTACAAGTTGTACACATTTAAATAAAACACTTACTGGGGAACCCCCGTGATGACAGTTTCGAAAAAGCATCCGAAGCGTCAGACCACAGTTAAAATTTATTATAAAAATGATTCGCTAAAGTAAGACGTTCCATTATTATTACAAGTATAAGTAGAAATAAATACATGCAGCCCCTTGCATGTCATTACATAGAGGTTATACTGTCTTCAGAATGTATTTTTAGCATAGCTTCATATAAAATTAACTTTCAATTTCCTTCAGCCGCAGAGAATCAAGACGTTCGCTTTATTGGCTAAATAAATCTCAGCCTTGTGGCGGATTGCCATATACAATAAAATACCGGGAATGCCCCTGCCAACGTTTATCACAACGAATCTTATCTAATTACCTACGCCGACAAACACTTGTCATCAAAACCTTATAGAAATTAAAAATCGAGCTAACGAGTCCTACAACTCCTGTGTCATCCTAAGTCCTGCGCCCGAGTCGTAATTTTTTTTATGTATTTCGATTTTTGTGTTTGGTTGACATGTGAAAAATATTAAAGTTTTCAAAACCGTATAGATTAGACTACAACACAGCATAAACGTAGTGAATGCAATTAATTTCCAGTTTTTACTATACTTAGTTATGTTACGTTACACGTTCAGTTTAAAAAAATTTTTAACGATTTGAAACGTGAACTAGTAGATTTCTAACTACGACTTGATGTTTCGATTAGTACAGTAGTGGTTATTAAATTAGATTATATATCGTTTTAAACTGTTAATGGTGTTTTTTTTATTATAACGCTATATTATAATCTTTTAAGACTTTGCTACGTAAAAGCTCTCTATCTATAGCTTTTTACATTAGTGTAAAGAGTGCCTAACAGTAAAGTGGTTCAGAACCTTTTATATCATAGTTTTAAGTTTAAAACTTAGGCTTTGTATTCGAGCCAAGGCCAGAACATATAACAAAAGGTTGAAGTGTAACCCCTTATGCTAATAGACCCACAATGAGACAAAGCTCAGAGGTCAGGTGCAAAAGGTGACTGGATCTAATTCAATGTTCTCATTTAATTTCGTCCTTCTTCCATTTTATGTGACCTATAAACATACATCTTCTTACATAATACTGACACAAAAATATTAATAAAACTATACTAATGTATAAAGCTGAAGAGTTTTGTTCGTTTGATTGAACGCGCTAATCTCAGGAACTACTAGTTCGAATTGACATTTTTTTTTTGTGTTTGTTAGAATATTTATCGAGGAAACGTGAAAATACGGAGAAACGGGTTTTCGCCGCGTGCGCTGCGAACACGGTTCATGATACCCAAAAAATATGTATCAAGGAATGATTCCACATTAAAATATAGTTAGCAAAAACAAATTTAGATGGCCAAAATCACTATTCCACGCAGACGAAGCCCCCGGACACAGCTAGTGACCTATAAAAATACATCCTCTTATAAATTTCTTACACAAAAATGTTAATAAATTTTCTGTATAATATTTTTTTTAACCCGACGTTGAGAAACGATCTATGAAGAGAAAGGTCTGACTAGAAGGAATTGACAATCGACTTGGACGGCTTGACATTAAAGAGACCTTGACCTTTAAGTAGCATGTAGGTAAATCCTTTTCTTAAGGAAAAACGCTCGATTCTAGATAGCATTACACTTGACTATGACAGCAAGACATTCATATCAACATAGGATTAAAGGAGTGGCGGCGAGTTTCACGCCAATTCTTCTCGTTGGATCTACACCCTTCATTACACAACTGGTAATTCATTTAGATCTAGAGTCAATTGTCTGTATGTAGTTTACGCAAGTGGTAAACATTTTACACGCTTTAAACCGTGAAAAGTGTTTTATTTGAATTAACAATTCTACCTACCTAAGCTACTAAAGATTTTCTCATAATATTTCCAATAATAATAATAACATAGTATTAAACTGATTATTTAGGCTGTTTATTAATTTATGTAAGGATGCATTTAAGGCAGCCAGTGCTACTTTGTCGCAACACTTTCACCACACATCACTCATCTTAACTCCCACTCTAATTCATACACGTGAGAGTGAGTGGGTTAAGTGGGGTGAGTTTGGAAACAAGATCGGAATCCTATTCCCAAAAAGCCAAAGAAGAAAGTTTCATTGTTCTAGCTTCAAGAACCACAAATTTCAATACAAACTTTCATCCCCTTTTTTCAACACCTATCAACCATTTTTTGGCATCAAAAAGTAGCCTTTCTCAGGCTCTAAAATATCTGTCTATTAAAATTCATTTCAATCAGTTCAGTAGTTTCGGAGTTAAATCCGGACAGACAGACAGAGTTAAATTCGCATTTATAATATTTTTGTATAGATATAGATAATTGAGCTAAAGCCATAATTATTAACAAATGTAGTACCTAGTTATTTTTGGATCTTACTATTGTTATTTAGGTACAAAAATAACCTATTTACAAACTACCGCGACCCATTTTATGCTACTCAAGAGCGATATTAGACGGCAAGTGACGCCAACAACATTTGAGACGACGCTGTCAAATGTCAATTCTAGTACATAAGCTTCAATTGTCGAGTTATTGCACATTTTTTCCTTTGTGCTTGTTAAAAAATAACAGCGTAATTGATTACGCGAGTAGAACAAATCTTAATTTAAAAATCGAAAATAAATTGAAAAAAAAAATTTCGACTCGGGCAGGACTTGAACCGGCATCGTTAGCGTCGTAACTATCAAATTATCATGTTACATATAAGCATAACTATTTTTAAATTTTGTCGTAAACTCGACTTGTCGTCTCGTTTACTTATTCCGATTGAAATATTAAAAATTAAACACTTAGCTTAATTGTAAAACGCGAAACACGCCAGTTAACTTATTTTTAACTACGACCCGACAAACCCCCCGTGGCATGAATATAATGAGCAAGTAATTAATGCATTTTGCGTTTTCAATTCTGAACAGTGTTTTATTATAATTATTTATATTCTTAAATAAGTACTTGTCTTTAGCGGCCAGTTTTTCTATTGTTATGTAAAAACATTTTTAAGGTGATAGTCAAAGTTCACTCTCTTCTCTGTAGTGTATAAAAATAATAGTTTACTAAATGATATGGTGCGCTGTCGGCCTATTTTGGCTTTCGATATTCGGAAATCAAGAGTCTGAAACCGAAACGTATACGTAATAAATTGATTAGAATAATGTTGGCCCCGGTGGGGATCGAATCCACGATATTAGATACTGTCTATAGTTTACGCGAGTAGTATACATTTAAATAAAACACTTTAACGGTTTAAAACGCGATATATTAGTTAATATAATAAGTTTAACTGCGTTTAAATGCGTTCACTCTTAACGACAAACGAAATTTTACATGACATTCGTGCAAATAGAATATGTCAATACGATCAATATTAATAAGCTCGTATTTTAATGAAAACATTTCAAGACAACAATATTTTTACAAAAACATGTTGAAATAGCAAGGCGGCTGGCAGTCGAGACATTTTATATTGGTCGCACAACATAACAGTGTAAACGTGGACAACGTAATCAAGTGATACACATAAGATAATGTTTGCTGTTTTACAAAAATCTTCTCTAAAAGAGTTGCCGTTTTATAGCCTTGCTAACTGCGAAGCCTTGAAATTATTTTTAGGAGATTCTATAGTGGCCTCATGTTTGTTGCATACTATACACTAAGCCCGTTGCCCAAGTAATAATGACAAACTCCTTTATTGAAATAGGCAACTTGTAAATACAGTAGAAACTACGAAATCGTATTTATAGGCTTAGAATTGATTAAAAATGGTCTAGTAGTAGTCCTGCTCGAGCCAAAACAATTTTTTCAATTGACTCGGTAGCTCAATTGTTAGAGCAACAGTACGGAACGCTGACGTTGCCGGCTCAAATCCTGCCTGAGTCGAAAAAAATTTCAATTAATTTTAGATCTAAATAGTGCAATAATGTAAAACATATTATAGTTTAAATACTGTCTATAGTTTACGCGAGTAGTACAAATTTAAATAAACAGTATCTTTGTTTCAGAGCGCCGCCGTCTCTGTGATGCTGCCCACTTAAATGAGGAGTTACAGCATGTCAAGCAGGTCCTATGCAAGAACAAGCTGAGAGTCCCTCCGCAGCATCCCAGGAACAGGAATAAGCCACCCACAGTCAAACGTCAGCCCGCCTACCTACCATATGTGAAGGGAGTTACAGATAGAATTAGCAGAGTCCTAAATCGAGCTTCTATTGACACAATTTTCAAGCCGCACAAGAAGATTCAGCAATTCCTGAAACCAAGCAAGTGTACTATCCCTTTACAAGATGCAGGCGTTTACAGACTGGATTGTGATTGTGGCCTATCCTACATCGGCCAAACAAAGCGTAGCATCTCAAACAGAATTAAAGAACACGTCGCGGATATAAAACATAAACGTCTCTCCAAATCTGCGGTATGCCAACACTCATCAGAAGGGCCCAATCACTACATTCGCTTTGACCAACCAAAAATCCTCGCAAAGGAGAGTCGATTTTTTCCAAGATTGGTACGCGAAGCAATTGAAATCAAAAAACACCGAAATTTCAATAGGGAGGACGGCCTCAAACTATCAAACACCTGGGATCCCATATTAAAAACTCTGGATCCCAATAAACAGCATACCAGCAAACGCGAAGACACCGTTAGTCAATTCTGTAAGGACCCGGCCAGTTTCGCCAAATACCAACTTCGACGGAACAGATGGCGCTAGCGTAGCAATTCTTTACTTTGACGTCAGAGACATCCTCCATCTTTAGTCTCCCCGACCACGACCACGGCTGCTGCAAAGCATCCGAAACGTCGGGCCGAAGTTAAAAATCATTTTCAAATAAGTTTAACTAATATATCGCGTTTTAAACCGTTAAAGTGTTTTATTTAAATATTATAGTTTTCTAAGGTTTAGAATTTATTAATTTAAATTTGGAACACAGCTTTATTATAAATGATTTGTTTTTTATATATTTTAGATAATCCTATCTGACTACGCTTGTCTATAGACGTACATATTTTCGTACTATGTGCTATGTACTGTGTAGGTATGTAATATTTCCAATATACACAATGACTTCAGTTATGCAGCTTGTTATCTTGACTAGTACTATACTTAATATACTAGTGTAATGTAGGAAATACTAATCCGCAGTGGATATAAGCGCACACAAGAAAACCGTGACGTTATTGTTGTAATTACGATTAATAATAATTTGTTTTTACGCTACATTATAATCTCGCAATTGACGTAATTAAATTTATTACAAAAGATAATTTGAATTTAAACGATTTTGATTATAAATGATTACAGATTATTCTTTAGTGCCTACTTTATTTCAGTTTCGAGGTAATTCCGGTTTTAATTAAATATTTTCGCGTTTCCACGAAAAGGTAGCATGAGCAAGATTCTGAAAATGTATTTTTTTTATTGAATATAGATCAAGATCGGTCTTATAATATTCCTTGTATGTTTATTAAATTCCTTTCTTATGACTAAAGTAAAAAGTTTTAGAAAAATGTCTAGTTCTGTACCATAATAGGATCGCATGCAAGTAATATGGTACTTTATAAATATTTAACGGCAATTTTCATTTTCCTCTAGTGTTATGTGTATATGCACGGCTGAGGCAAAGTGCCAGTTAGACATAAATGGATTAAGTGCATGTTTTGTTTTCTGTTACAGTACAAAATGCGACGTACTTTTCTAATCCTTTTAAACTTCAAATACATTACAATTTTATTAACTTAATATATTATGTGTTATGTAAGTCTTTATGCTGTGTAAACTAGTGCATCAAATAGGTTTCATATTTAAAAACAGCACTATACAGTACACTTAGCACTTTTAGTTCATATCTTTTATTAAAAGGGCAGTTACAAGCAAAAAATGTTGTAGTTAACTATGACTTGACATTTCAGACACTTTGCAGTATTTGAAACTGTTAAAAGTGGTTTATTTAAATGCGTACTTGTGTAAACAATAGCAAAAAAATCTTGGTTTAAGATGTATGTTGTTGGATTATTGTCGTATTATTAGTTTAACTAAAAAAAACAATTAAACAAGATTTTGAAATAGTTAATTATAAGTAGAAGAAGTTATTTCTCTTTCAATCTACCTACATTTCATAAGCAATTGAAAGTGTTTAACATAAAATTTATAAGTGTAGTTTTAAAGAAGGTCTTGAGAATAGATAGAGATAGGTAAATCTGAACAACTTATAATATCTTATTTTAAGAGGTTAACAAGAATAGATGTGATTTTATGAAACAGATGCTAATAAATGATAATCATCTTAACTACTATTTTAATGTACATAAAATATTAATAAACTCACCGCAAATATTGTATTCTGCAAACCAAATGGTATAGGTGTTAGCCTTGCAAAAAACACTATCTTGAATGCTTGAGGACCAGCAATAACCTTGAGTAAGGCTCTCGCAGTATCAGACTTTAATAGCCGGTCCAGGGGAAGATAGGCGCGGAGCATCTTAAGAGTAAAATGAGCCACAGCTACTCCGAAGTTTGCACTGACCACAACAGTTCCCAACCCCTTCACTATACCAAACAAATACCCACTAGTAATTATTAACACTAAATAACCAATTGTCACTGGAAAACTTACTATCAAAAACAATCCCATAAATAATAAAAATACTATCCACGGATCCTGAGCGTCTACCCAGTACAAAATTGTCTTTAAATATTCCTTAAAGAAATATAATATTAATACCAAGCATGTTAGTAATATAATAGATATTACGATGTTGACTAAATAACTGTACGTTGTTCTGTTGTTTATTTTAGACCAGACACTTTTCTTTCGCGTTACCGCTGCTTGGTCTGGTTGTCCGTCCTCAACGTTCACTATTTCCATTTTGAGAACGATTTCTGTGTTAACACTCCGCGATTACTTTATGAGGCACAAAAGGACAGTGCGTAAATGAGAATAATTGTCGCCATGGCCTAGTTTTGGGACTGTTTATTTTAGCACGGGATAAATTTCAGATATTTGACCGTGAATGTAAGTCCTCTGTGAGACGATCGGAGAAATAACAAAACCAAAATTGAATGCCAATATTTGACATATAGAATTTTGACATAGAGAAATGTCTTTGAGCGATAGACCATAGGTAAAAATCATTTAAGTTATGATCACAGACATCCAAGTATCAGCTAAAACTTTTTTGGCTTAATATTAGAGGCGGGCGATTATGAGATATACTGACGAAATCATTCAATTATGAAAATGTCTCGAGATATTTCGATTATAGCGGTTAGTAGTTACTAATATCATGTACTAGTAAGTAGAGTTGGGTCGATTATGAGATATATGTACTAATGAAATTATTCGAATGAAATGTTAGTAGTTACTAATACTAGTAAGAAGAGGTGGGTCGATTATGAGATATACTAATGAAATCATTCGGTTATGAAATGTTAGTAGTTTCAATATAGAAGGATAATTAGTAGTTACTAATACTTCTAAGTTAGGACAACGCACTATGGCTTCTCGCTCGCATTCACGCCACACACCGTTTAGTATAATGTTGGATGTGACCCTTTTACTATTTTTATTACGAGCATTTCTATTAAGATGGTAAAATAACAATAAAATAGTGGAAATTTAATATTTGTTGTTTTCCTTTTTATTATTTTTTTGATAAGTTTAAATGAGTCAGTCTGAAATATATCGGTTTTAAACATTTCTTGGATTAAATACAAAGACATAGGTTATGAAATATTTTTCAGAATTTAAAAAAAATACAAAATTGTCAAGTAATACATGAAGGAATTTAACATTTAATCATTAATAGGTTATTTAATACTAAAACTCATATTTACATTTTTAGACAGAATTAAAAGACGTCGGTCAAGTTACTTTTAAATATGATAAGTCCACGAAAAAGTGAAAAGTGCCACGTCTCACAATATCGTAGTAAACAAAACAAACTACATCAGTAAAAAAGTAAAAGTATCTATTATTGTTTAAACAACTAAAGTCAAGGAGTGCACGATTCGTATTACAAATTAGTAACATCATTCGATTATGAAAACAAATTAGTTACTAATCCCATAATCGATTACCAACATTAGTAATACAAAATAGTTCGATTATGCCGATCATTCATAATCGCCCACCTCTGCTTAAGACCTTGTTGACATGCCATTAAATCTTATTACAATATTATACATGCGTAAATGCCAATGTCAATATAGAATTTTGACACCTCCATGTTGTCAATACAATAAAAAAATCATTTGCTCACGTTTTGCATTTGCAATTTGCAACCAAACTGACGAGGATTCTTAATTCATAAATGTTCTATTATTTGTAATGTTTATACCAATTTATTGAAATTTGGCGAACCTATAGACGTAGGGTTTTGCCCTATTTTTATTTCTTACAAAGTCGTTTCTTATAAAAATCAACCATGCCGCCGAAAAAGGCACCAGCGTCTAGTAAAAAGACGGAGCAGAAGAAAAAAGAAAAAGTAATTGAGGTATGTATATTTAGTTTTATTTCAACACAAATAATTAGGTTATTATACTTTATCCTTGCTTATTGTAAATTTTTATTATTTCTTTTGCGATCTACGAAATTAAATATATATTACAACCATGTCTTACAGGATAAAACATTTGGTTTGAAAAACAAGAAAGGTGCTAAGCAACAAAAGTTTATTCAGCAAGTGGAGAAGCAGGTTAAAAGTGGTGGGATTCATCCTGCCAAGCCTATGGATGATAAGAAAAAGGAGAAAGATCAGAAACTAAAGGAACAGAAAGAATTAGCTGCACTTTTCAAGCCAGTACAGACACAAAAGGTTGAAAAAGGTAACTTCTCATAAATAAGTGAATTTAGTAGTTCAATTTGATAGATCAAAAATTTCTCATTTTTTCATATTACATTACATCGCTGGGATTGAATCTGCTAACCAAGCACAAACAGGCAATCAATAAAGAGCTCTAATTTGCTTTTACTGATTTTAAGCAAGCCGTAATAGCTAGTCGTACAAAGAACACCTGTTGAAAGAAATAAAATATTTTAACCTTTTTTATCAGGTATTGATCCAAAGTCTGTGGTGTGTGCATTCTTCAAGCAAGGGCAATGTGCAAAGGGTGATCGCTGTAAATTCTCACATGACTTAACAATTGAGAGGAGGGTAAATATTCTTTATACTTTGTTAGTATGACTTTCATTTACAAAATGAAACTAAATTGCAAGTAAATTTTAGGCTGAGAAACGGTCCCTTTATGTGGACATGCGAGATGATGATGATGATAACATGGACAATTGGGATGAGGATAAACTGAAGGAAGTTGTTGAAAAGAAACATGGAGAAGGAAATAAGGAACGCCCTACAACTGATATTGTATGTATAATGTTGATAATATGATTGATTTAAAAAGGGTAAAGTAAGCTTTAATTAAAAAATTAAGCTGTGGATCTGGAACTTAGAAGCTGTATGATATAGTTTCATTAAACACTCACTGGTTCACTTTGTTCATAAGAAGTCTGGGTTTTAACACAAAATCATAATACTTATTTATAATTACTTCTTCAATGTGAATCAATCACTGAAAGAGATCCATTCTGAATTCAAAATTATACTTTAAGTGACTTTTTGGGTTTTGTAACAAAAGGGACTAAATTGTTATCAGGGTGTAACATTATATGTAGTGGCCTATCAGTATCATTCAAACTCGCTGAAATAACTACATATCATGATTATTTTGAAACAACTAATCAACTTTATCAATATTTTCAGATATGTAAACATTTCCTTGAAGCTGTAGAAAAGTCAAAATATGGATGGTTTTGGGAATGTCCAGCTGGTACTAAATGTATTTACAGGCATGCTTTGCCACCTGGCTTTGTCCTTAAACGAGACAAAAAGAAAATGGAGGAGAAGAGTAATGAGATTTCTCTTGTGGATCTCATAGAAAGAGAAAGAGCTGCACTTGGTCCTAATCAAACTAAGATCACTTTGGAAACTTTCTTAGCATGGAAGAAGAAAAAAATTAAAGAAAAACAGGTGAAAAGCAATATTTTAGTTCTTCTAATTTATAATATTCTCAAAGGGATACAAAGGTTATTTTTTTTATTGAGTCTTCAAATATGTAATTAAATAATTCCTTAGGAAATCCTTAACAAAGCTGAAGAACAACGTCGCACTGATTATAAAGCTGGGCGTGCGGTTGGTCTATCTGGACGAGAAATGTTCTCCTTCGACCCGGCCATGGCGGCTGATGCGGATGATGGCGACGAAGCCTTCGACTTGGGCAAGTTTCACGATGAAGACGAGGATGAAAAGACGGTTGAATATAGAAATATCGAACTCGACCTTATTGGGAACGAAGCTTGCGAGGTGAGTTATAACTGTAATAATAAACATGTAACAGAATGACTGTTTTAATTAGTAGTATTAATTTGTTTTAAGAATATTTTTAATACCAACCTGGAGATAAGTAAGAATTGATATAATTCATGTCTCAGTACATGCTCCACTGATTACTACTCCACTCCACTACTTTCATTGTGTTAGTTGTTAGAGCGAACCTTCAGTTGATAAATAGCTAGTCTGAGCTCATATCAATCTATTATAAATACAACAATTTTTTTCTTCAGGTATTTTTCTAAGATTTAATTTATTACATCTCAACTATATGTAACAAATAATTATTTTGTAGGTTGATGACTCTGGCACTAAAGCGAAGTCAGATAGGTTAGAGCAATTAGGCAAAGATCTCTCAAATGGTGAGAAAAATGAAGAAGAAGCCACAGACGGAGCGGTTCCTATCAATGAAAACCTTTTCTTGGCTGAAGATCTTGATGAAGAATTGGAGAATTTAGAGTTAGATGACTAGCTCTTGGTTATCAGAAGACTCAGTACATACAAAACATAATATTTTCTTTTTCTAAGTAAAAAATGCTGGAACAGTTATTTAATTATTAAATCACATTACGTTTACGTTTGTTTTACATGTATTCATTTAAATTGCGGGCCCCCCCCGGTCCAAACCTTTTGGACTTCACATTGTGGGAATAGTAATAATACTATTATTCAAAATAAAAATATTTTGTATTTATTAATGGTTTCTCAAATGCGAGAGGTGCATGTATCAATAACAGTTAATTTTCCCAAACCCCAAAACAAAAAAAAAAAACCCCCCCCCCCCCTTTTTTTGGGGGGGAAATCCGGGGCCCTTCCCCCCCCCCCCCCCTTCCCCCCCCCCCACAATTCGGAGAAAAAAAAACCCCTTTCGCCCCAGAAGGCCCATCAGTTTTGGTGTTTTTGGCGGGAAGAAAAAAACCCCCACCCCGAAAATCAAACTATTTCGACGATGAGGTGTAGGACTCGGTAGCAACAGCCCAAAAAGGGGGGGGGGGTTAAAAAAAAAAAATTTTTTTCCCCCCCCCCCCCCCCCCCCAAAAAAAAAAAAAAAAAAAAAAAACAAAAAAAGAAAAACACCGCGATTTTTTTTAAAACCAGGGGGGGGGGGGGGGGAAGGAAAAAAAAAATTTGGGTAAAAATTTTTTATTTTTTTTTGGGTTGGAAAAAAAAAAAAAAAGGGAAAAAAAGGGGACAAACCGTTTTTGTCTGCCCTGCCACCAGCCTCAGTAAAAAGTCTTATAATTCAATTGGTAGAGCAACAGCACGGAAAGCTGACGATGCCGGTTCAAGTCTACTTGCCACAACCCAACTGAGATTGAACCTCACCAGTGCTTTATTCTAACGAGTCGAAAATTTTTTTTAAAAAAAAAAAAAAAAAAAAAAAAAAAAAAACCCCCCCAAAAAAAACCCCACCCCCCCCCCCCCCCCCCAAAAACCCCCCCCCAAAAAAAAAAAAAAAAAAAAACCCCCAAAAAAAAAAAAAAAAAAAAAAAAAAAAAAAACCCAAAAAAAAAAAAAAAAAAAAAAAACAAAAAAAAAAAAAAAAAAAAAAAAGCCCGGTTCCAGCTATTAACGCAATTTATTTTCGATTTTTTGTAAAATTATATAGTGCCTTCATGTGCAATAGGTGTTTTTTTCCCCAATAAAATAAAGAAGAAAAAAAAAAATTTTTTTTAATCAAGTATAATTTGTTGTCTACATGTGAAAAAATATTTAATGTTTTCTTAACCATGATCTATATTTTTTTATAAAAAAGAGCCCCCCCCCCCCCCCCAAAAAAAAAAAAAAAAAAAAAAAAAAAGGGGGGGGGGGGGGTGAAAAAAAAAAAAAAAAATGGGGGGGGAAAAACCCCGAAAAAAATTTTACGGGGGGGGGGGGGGGGGGGTCCGGGGAAAAAAAAAAAAAAACCCCCCCCCCGGGCCCGGGGGGGGGGGGTTTTCCCCCAAAAAAGAATTTAAAAACAACCCCCCCCACAAAAAAAAAAAAAAAAAAAAAAAAATTTTTTTTTTTAAGTCTTAGGTAGATACATTTTCCTCAGACAACGGAAATAGTGTGTAAATAGAATATTATATCTTACCTGTTTGCACACTCATTTTTAGTTAGGTGCCAACTTAAACTATTGTGCATAAATTGTATTTTTTTTATTAATTTCCTGATAACCTTATCCAGTACTTGTTTTGATGTTGACAATGTTTGCCTAGAATAAAACACAAGAAAGAAATCATTATTACGAAAAAAATATATATTTTTTAAATTATGTACCTACTTATCTCTAATGAGGAAATACTTTTCACATTATTTTGAAATAAAATAGAAGTATTATTGTACATACCTCGTAAAGATTAGTTTGATTTTAGGTAAAAAATAAGAAATATGCAGGTTTCTCGCGTACATTTAATTGAATAAGTATCAAGTAAGATAACTCACTGTTTGTCAAATCACAATAACAGCTGATAAGCAGTCAGATGACGTGCTGTGGTTATATTTTGTTACGTAATCAAATAGTACCGGCGCACGCGCATTTGTATATACTTTACTATTACTCCATTATTTCGAATAAGAAAATGCAACAGATTTTATAAGTGTTAATTTTAATTTAAAATAATGTAATCGACGAGTCAAAGAGTATACCTACATAATTATAGGTGTACCTACAGGGAATAGAGATATATTATAATAGGTTTTCGATACACCTACAAGGCCTAAGATTCAGAGTTTTTCTTTACGTTCACTTGGACGTCAGTCTGGATTTAACATTTCTTATCACAATTTCTTAGCTAATGTGATATATTATATAAGTAACGTATTAACGTGTTGCTTTAATAGGCACAACAAGTTTGTCGGCTTTTAAACCGGAACCTATTTTTTTTAAACTGACTTTGAGGGAGCCCTGGGAACACGCTTTTGAACTTGAACCCAAGGAACCAAGTAGGTAGTTTTATCTTATAGACAAGAAAAGACTACGATCAGTTACGTGGTTTTTGGAGAATATATTTGCTAAGGAAATCGGTACACAATCTGTGCGCATTTTAGTCAATAACCATGGTAACCTGTAAACAGGTATTACGTTTGAAAAGAAACACTAAATCGACTTTAATTTAAGAAAATACAAAAATGCCAATATTAGTTAAAGATTTTACCTGGACCCAAACTCTTAACTCAGTACATTTAAGAATTCCGTTGGATCCTGTATACCGAGAAAAAGTTGATATTTTCACCACTGATTATTATATTAAGGCAAATTTTAATCCCTTTTTATTTGAAATATTTCTTCAACACGATATCAACGGTGATAAAAGTAAATGCACAGTACAAGAGGATCAATTAGTTTTTGATCTGACCAAAAAAGAGGATTTAGAATGGAGTGCTTTAGAAAAATCGTTAACTAAAGAAGAAAAGGCAAAACTTAGAGAAAATATGTTGGTAGAAAGTCAAGAACAGGCAAAGAAAGAATCAGAAGAGCGAGCTATAAGAAAAAGTCAGTTGAACAGATATGCAGTTCAACAAGCAATGGAAATAGATAATAAACAGCATTCACTCATGGAATCCCGAAGAGATGAAGAACGTACTAAAGCTATGAATGATCTTGAAAAGTGGAGACAAACTGCATCCGTAGATAATCAAATTAAAAGCTTCAATCGCAAGAGCACAGTTTCTGGTGCGAAGATAGTAGAATTACCTGATGACTCACCTACAGATTCAAAACCCAAGAGATGTGCACCAGTGAATAAGCCAGCCAAAACTCCAGTTCAATCCGATTACATAAACAAAAAGAAAGAAGAAAATATAAAACGAGTTCTGCCAAAGTTACGGGAATCCGGGCAGGTTGAAGTAAAACACACCCCGAGGACATTTCCGACACCAAGTAGGGAGTCCACGGCGCGAGAAGAAGAGGCTTGGTTAAGAAATATCACGCATGCAAGGAGAGCCACTGGTAGCAAATTTCCACAGTTCTATCAAACCTTTTTGGCCGTGTTGAAGTTAGCGCGACCAACTTGCGCTTGGTACTGTAGATTTTAAGCAAAGAAATCGAGTTGCCCGCGCACCCCCTTTGTAGCAACTGATACCTGCTTTTTGTGTTCTGCGCAACTATCCGCGCTAACTTCAGCCCGGCCAAAAAGTTTGGAGAGCAATTAAAGTACCATCACCGAAATAGTAAAATCAGGTACTCTTATTACCTTTCAGGCTTCGTGTCCGAAGACCTGCGGCCCGAAGAACATGATCCTCAGTGGTGTAAAGAGAAGGGCGATGAATTTTTCCGCAATGGCAATTTTCTTGGTGCTGTTAGTGCTTATACACATGGGATAACACTTTCAGACAAACTACCTAGTTTATATGCGAATAGGGCTGCAACCCATTTTGCTTTGGGTAATTTTAACAAATGCGTAAGTATTCCTTTAAGATGTCGGTACTGTAATATATTAGGCTTTTTATATTGTTCAGATGGCTTACCATATCGTGTACCTAATGATCGGAATAGTAATTCAGTAAACCTCTTTGCAAATAATTGTGTAACCGCGAATTGACCATCACATACTAATTGTAATAATAATAAAAAAAACATAGTTATCACTTTAAGAAATTGTAACTTTCATTTTCTATCGCTTTAATTTTTTTCTTAATTTTAAATATTTTTATGAAACTAAAATATGTTACTGATATGCAATAACGCATTGTGAACGTGTCAATTGACAAGAGCGCCATCTGTTGTTAAATTATCGAACTAAATTTATATTCCTTAATTCAACACTTTTATGTGGTACCAATTCATTTTATGTTTTCTAAAAGACCGTAGGGATCAATTCATTTTATTACATAGGCAATAAGATAAGAAAATATCATTAACATATTTTTTACTGGCATTTAATTCTATAAAAAAATCTTATATTGTGCCCCAGGTAAGCCTAATAGCTAAAACCGCAAACGTTGGCTGATAAGATAAATCGAAATGAATTATGCGTTTTTATATATCTTTCTATATCGCCTAATCATGTAAATTTTGTGTTCAATAGTATTTGTATACTTACTAGAGCAACACATATTATTTATTGTTATTAAAATTTGTATGAATAATCTTCAATTCAAACAGGTGACAGACTGTTCTTCAGCTCTTGATTTAATGAAGCCAGTTTGTGAAGGCAATAGACGAAGTCGCGCAAAGTGCATCGCGCGCCGTGCTGCGGGCCTAGCGCGCTTAGGTCTATTAAATAAAGCCATAGACGAAATGAAAGCTGCAGCAAAACTTCTGCCAGATGACGAAAATATAAAAAATGACATCTACGACATGGAAAGAGCATGGGAACAAAACCCCGACTCCGACTAAGTACGCTCTCTTTAATTTTTATTTTATTTCTAATAACCAGAACATAAATAACTTCTCGTAGGAATAAATATATAATACATTGCTTGAAATTATCTTGCTTTTTACTCTTCCAATACTATTGGCTCATTTGATAAACCAAGATTATTTAATAAAGCTTGGGGCGATGGATCCCTTCCGCGGAAACGCCTGAATACTTCACTGGGATGACAACTACCTCCAACGGCTAGAAAACATTCTTTATATCTTTTGCTGATTGTGAGGATATCTTGGTCGGCAGCTTTTGCTTCTTCAAATGCACTATAGATATCGGCAGCGATCATTTTTGACCATAAGTGGCAGTAGTAGGCAGCTCCCCACTCTTCCGAAAAAATTTTAGTAAAAGAGAGAACATGCGAGTCATATTTGTCAAAAGGCAGCGCCTGATATTTGGGCCATAATTCTTTTACTAAGTCACGCCAAAACGTCTTCTTTGAATATAGCTCTAAATCTAATCGGGAGTAATAGAGTTCCTGGCACAAGTTATACCCTGACATGTGACTTCTGACTTTTTGCAAATTTTCAATAATTTCATCAGGGAGTGGCTCCTCTGTGTTATGGTGACCGCTGATTGCGCGTATGGTGTTGGGATCATAAAGCCAGTGTGTCATCACTTGACCACAGACATCAGCTGCATCCCATTCAACATTTGACAAACCTGCGACTTCAGAATAGTTGGCCTTTGTTAGCAAATGGCGTAAGGCATGTCCAAACCTTTGAAATAAGACACTGACCTCTTTAAAGGATAATAGTGACTGCTGTCCTTCAGTCGGGGCTTGGAAGTTAAATATTAATGCTGATAAAGGATGCGTTGAAGTAAGTGAACATTTGTTGCGAATGGACACATGCCAACCAGCATCGTCATAAATACGGATTTTTTCATTTTGTCGAGCATATGGATCTAGGTAAAAGCCAGCAATTGGTGTGTTACTTGACTCATCATAAATATCATAAAACTTAACGTCTTTGTGCCATGTATGTACATTGGATCTTTCAACAATTTGTATCTTAAAGAGTGTGCTGCATAAGTTAAATAGACTAGTGATAACCCTTGGCAGGGGAAAGAATTCGCGAATTTTATCATCATCAAAATTGAAAAGTGACCATTTTTGTTTCCTTTGCCAGTATGGAATATCCCACCGCTCCAACTTCCTATCAAACCCTCTTTCGTTTGCAAAGCTTTGTAATGATTCTAGTTCAATATCCTGCACTGGTCTCGCACTATTACGCAATGTGTCGAGGCAGTTATAAATACTCTCTACAGAACCAGCCATTTTAGTTTCCATGCTCATGTCAGCATAAGTCTCAAAACCCAATATATTGGCTTGTTGCGTCCTAAATTTTCTTATTTGTTCCACATGTGTACTGGTTTCAAGATCTTTATTACTATATCCAGAGCAGCGTTGTACATGAGCTTGCCATGTATTCCATCTCAATGTTTGCTCTGGGCAATATTGCATAAATGGTTCATATATATGTGGCTGGAGGGTAATCTTCCAAGGCCCTTTAGTGGCATTATTATTCACAGACATTGCTTTTGCTAAACTCTCTGGAAGTTCTTTAGCTAACTGCTCGTCATTGATAAAACTACTAAACATGTTTGTAGCCATATTCACTTTATCTCTCAGCAATTGCCTTTCTTTTTGTAATAAGTTTAGAATGTTATCTAATTGTTCACGTTTCAATCCTTTAATGTCAAGTCCATTGAGTTTACCTTCAAGAATGTATTTATCTAAAAGTCTTTGTTCTTCATCTGTTAATTTTTTTAGGCGATTCTTTTCATTTATAGCAGCATTATATATAAGGATACTATTAAATTTACATGACCTTGCTCTGTGTGCTCTTTGGTGAATTTGAATGTATGAAGCTGTCGGCATTAGTGAACTATTCCCTAAATATAATGTTTTTGCGACACCCCATGTTAATTCTAAATGGTTATCTATCTTTTCTAGCGGTTGAAATATTTCAACAAAAGCATTTTTGCAGTCAGCACAGGAATCTTCTATTTGTTTTACTCCAGTTTCATATTCTAAGCTGAGCTTGCTAATTGCTGCAATGCATTTTTCAATGGTAACATCATTAAACTCTGGCAAACCATTATCAGTTAGTAGAACATTCTTGTCGGAATCTTCACCTATTTCTGGAATTCTGAAAATAATGACGAGAAAAATATTATGCTTTATCACCATTGAGATAATAATGTTGTAACATTAGGGATTCCTTCTTTGGATTATTTAATAATGTGGGATGGTAATTATAGACAAAACTTATGTTCTGAGTAATATTAAAAACATTACTATTTTAAACAAGGTTAGGTTTTGATAAGACAGGTATCATTGCAGCAACTTATTTTTTAATAATTCATGATTGCAGGTAAATTAATTTAATAATTATTGTCACTTAGGATAATGATACTTACAATACAACATATCCTGAATTACGTTTATTTTGTAAGAATGGTCTCTTCAAATATCGTGCTAAAACACTTGTCCGCAAAAACGATGCCATTTTTATAAATACAACACTATTTAATTCTTTATATACATAAACCGTTTTATTTCATAATAATAAGTAATTGACGAGCAGAAAAATTAAAAATATTTTAGCCGACTGCAATGTTTTTACAAAAACGATGACCATAGAGTGTAGAACACAGATTCCTGTCATTTGAATCGAACTAAATTATGTATACGAAGAAGAAGAAAGTTACGTTTGACATTTTGTTTTGTGCCAGTTAAAATGAAACAATATAATATTTTTTTCTTGCTTTTGGCATAATTAAAGAAAATAGCTTCCTAAATAAAGAGATTTATTATTACAGGCTAGTATCCATAGAATATAATATTTACTTTGACGATTATATTTATTATTACAGTCTATGTACTTGATATAATGATAAATCTATACTAATATATAAAGCTAAAGAATTTGTTTGTTTAAATTGAGTAAGGCTTTCAATAATTTGTTTGTTTGTTTGAACGGAACTACGGGCACGAATTGAAAAAATATTCTTGTGTTAGTTAGAGCATGTATCGATGAAGGCTATAGGGTATATAACATACTACGCCCTGTTGCTTATACAAGTGAAGATACAGCAAGAAATGTTAAAAATTAGGAAAATTATCCATCATTATCGGTTTCCGAGGCGTATGCTGCAAAAACGGTTTAAGATAGCCAAAAATTATGTATGACGGAATAATTCCTCTTTAAATGATCTAAAAAAAGTACGCGGTCCGCTATATGTCTATCTTTTAGGATTAGATTAGGATAGGTTAGGATTAACTTGCAAGAACGACGGGACGGGACGCGACCGACGTCGTGGGTAACAGCTTAAGATTATAAAGATGAAGGGGTTTGCAAAAACGAGATTTTATGCCCAAAGTAACAATTCTCGGTGACGAAGTTGCTGACTCAGCTATTAAAAAAAAAAATTAATATTTAAATCCGTTAAAATTACATTAACGGAAATGGATTTTGGGCCATTCATAATACTCAATATTTATACATATTAAATTAAATTCGTTTCTCGGAATATTTTAAAGGTGTAATAAAACTAGAAAGCTATTTTACTAGTGTAATCCTTTAAATATTATTTCACTAAAATAAATTCAACAGCTTGCAATTCCTTTTCGGTGCTAACATTTTCAACTAAAGGTATGCTAACAATTTGGCACGAACAAAGAGCATTACATTTATTGCAAGTTTTCTCATTCTCCCCGTCATTCTTAGGCTCTTTAACGGGTGGACTGCAACAAAAATCTGTATCCAATCCCATTTTTTCACCGTCCTCCAAAGTCTGTGGGAGATGTTGGTTTAGAGTTTCTGGAAGAAGTAAGCTAGCAATGCCTCCTGCGACCAATAAAGCGCCCATAATGATTAAAGGTAGAACCATTATGTCAGAACCCTGTAATGAGCATAAAAGTTAAAAAATAGAGGAATTTTAAAATAAAAGTAAAAGATAAAATATGTGCATGCTTTCTATAAAACCAGTGAGTAGTAGTAGAAGTCTTAGGGGCCGTTCAAGTATTACGTAAGCAGATTTATTACAATTATTTACCCCCCCATCCGCCTTGTCAGCAAAAGTAAGCAAAGCTTTTACCCCCTCCCCCGTGATTACGTAAAATTTTTCAATTAAAAATGTGGTGGTTGCCATTCGTTAAAATAGTAAATAAATATATACGTAATCATATTGACTCCCCTACCCCCATGTATCAAAATAAAAAACAAACCCCCACCCCTATATTTAGTAACTAATCCCTTAATCACCGTGAGAATAAATCCTCAAGTACATTATTTAATTAAATACTGTCTATAGTTTACGCGAGTAGTACACATTTAAATAAAACACTTTAACGGTTTAAAACGCGATATATTAGTGAAACTTATTTGAAAATGATTTTTAACTTCGTGGTCACGGGACCACGGCTGCTGCAAAGCATCCGAAACTCGGGCCGAAGTTAAAAATCATTTTCAAATAAGTTTAACTAATATATCGCTTTTAAACTTAAATTTTTATTTAAATAATTATTTAATGATAATGGAGAATAGACAAGCATTACACAAATTCTATTATCAGGCTGCTTTTACCAAATAATTGACTAATGGTATAAAAATAGGTCCCAGCATTCCCAAAACGGAGCTTAAGCTCATGCCCAAGCCTCGGACAACTGTTGGGTACAATTCGGATGCCATAAGAGGTAGAACGACGAATGATGAAGATATCCCCATCTTTCCAACACAGTATAGTGCCAGGGTTACGTTGGTTTCTAAAAAATATCATATTAAAGTGTAATGTTATCATAGTAATAAAAATATTTTGTACTTAGTGGAAGATTAAGCAAACTTGAATTGAACACGGTATGATGTATAAAGTGTTACCTATTATAAAATTAAGGACCCTAGATCTTTCTCGTAGGCCTTTTATGATACTTTTTTTAAGTTTGCCATTGCAGACTTTTTAAACTTATTAGTTACAATGATGGCTGTTCCACACGCTCCCACTTTTTCACACCATACGAAATATAATGGGATAAAGACGTTTTTTTTGTAACTTACCGTGTTGCACCAAGAATGTAGTCAGGCAAGCTACCCCGCCAACTACCATGCTCATGCACAGAGTCCAACGCCTCCCCAACCTTTCCATAGACGGCCACAAGAACAAATACGTCGGCAGTTCCACAACACCAGCCAGAAAGAAGTTCAAAAATTCATCACCACCAAGCACTGGAGCATAATAGGACAATCCAACATACACGCTCGTGTTTGTAAACCAGATAAATGTTATGATTATAGTCTTCTTCCTCATGTTCGGAGTCCTAAATAGGTCGAGGATGCCATATTTTCTAGATTTCTTCTCTTTCTAGATCTTGTTGGAGCTTGTCCGATTCGTACTTCCGTCGTAGGTGGACCATGTAGTTCTTTGGCAGTGATTTTCCGTTTATCCTGTAAAGAAGTAAATTGTTACTATTTGCCGTCAAATATTTGAAAGTAGCTGTATCAGCGACTTTGTCCGCGTAGAATAGTTTTTGGGCATCAAATTTGTTTTTGCAAACCTCCTGTTTAACTCCATAAATTTAGGCTGTTATCCACGATGTCTTCCGCGTCGCGTCGTGTTTGCTGGTTAATCTTAAAAGATTGGCATATACTGTTGCGGACAATTTTTCAGACCATTAGAGGGAAATCATTCTTCAATACATTTTTTCGGAACTATCATTGCAGCGTACCAGAAACCAACATTTTTTTTTCCCACATTTCACATTTATAGCCTTCCTCGATAAATGGTCTAAACAACACAAAAATAATTTTTCAATTCGAACCAATAGTTCTTGAGATGAGCGCGTTCAAACAAACAATAAAGAAACAAACTCTATAGCTTTGCATTTAAGTATAGATATTAAACAAGCCTACCGGGCCATTTTCTTCAGAATTACTTCAGCCTTTTCAAATTGCCCTCTAGCGAGCAGCCATCGAGGGCTTTCGGGCATCGGCCAAATGTATAAAAAGAAAACAATGAAAGGCAAAGTGGTTGCCAAAGCCAGATAGCGCCAGTCTCTGACCAGGTAGACAACACCAGCTAAGAGAATGAGACCCAGCGAGTAGGCGATATTGGAAAGGATTGTGCAAAGAGTACGACATCTTGGACCCACTAGTTCGATCGCTGTAAAAAACAGAATTATTATTTTCGATATACCCACTTTGGCTTTTTACTATTGGCTACCGTCAGTATATTTTCTACATATCATTGTCTTTTGGGCTGTGGGCAAAGCGAGCAAGAATAGGTTCTCGATGTTTTGCCATTACATGTGGACGGCATCATCAGGAGAGGTTAACTCCTCGATTGCTCGAAGAATTAACCTGTCTAATTAACCTCTTCTCGCTCACATGGGCCGAACAGCCCGAAAGACAATGATTTACTAAACGATGGCCGCGAAAGCCTTACACAATTTATCTAGTATACTTTCTGTTACTATATAGTTGATTTAACAAACAAGAACACAATTTCTACAATATTTTGTGATAGTATACAAGAAAGGTAATACAAGAAAAGTGATATCTAATTATTGAAAAATTCAGAGACAAGCGGGACTAATTTATCGAGCCTACGTGTTGTGGGTTCGGCTCCCATTTACGTCAATAAATGTAACAGCATTTAAACTAATCTCTACAGCTTTTAATATTCAATGCATTTACCTAAAACGTAAGGAGTTGCCATAATAGCTGGAACAGTAAAACCAACGCCAAACCTAAATAAGACCCAGATGTAATAATTCTGTGCTAATGCTGTTGCCACTCCAAAAATGCACTCTATCAAGAGGTAAATAAAGAATGAGGGCTTCCGTCCAAACGTATCTTGAAGATATCCAAAAATGTAGTTTCCAATGATTCCTCCAACGGCCAGAAGTACCAATCCTAACGTTGGGAAGAAATCTTTGTCACAGACCAGATCCCACTAGAAACATGAATGACATATAATTCTTTACAACAACAAAATGTTCTAAGCTTAAAAACAATACATTCAAACTTCTTAATAAATAAAAACTAAAGTAAGAATAGTACATATGAATGAAGTAAAACATTTTAACGGTTTCAAACGCGAAACATATTAGCTGCAGTTATAACAGCTATAATCACGTGTATAGCCGTTACCGTAGCTGGAAAACATCCGACATTTGGCGTGTGGTACTTGTAAATAAATTGACATAAGTTAAGTGAAGAACGACGATGACGCTGATGAACTCTGCGGATGCCGGTTTAAGTACTGCCCGTGTCGTAAATGTTATTCAATCTTAATAGATGTTTAATTAGTAAGTTAACTAATAATATTCGCGTTTTAAACCGTTAAAACTCTAATCAAAATATAATATAGATATTAGTAAAATAGAAGAATTTTTCCAGAACAAAACGCATGCTAGCTTCAACAGCTTTGAAAGTACACGTCGTAATAAGAAAAATAATACCTCTGTTACAACTGTACTCTGATAAACTGTATTTTCATACACCCAACCATTTTGACAAGGGACCACATCCGCTGAACCCTCTTGCGGGAACACATCGATAGGATATTGCGTCAAAATATCCGTATAGTTCATATTGTACATCTCGCATTGCGAGTACTCCAAAATTCCGTTACGTAGTTCTTTCGGTATACTGGGCAAAATACATCGCTATTAATTTAACGGAGACGTAGGCAATAACTTTAACACTGCATTAGAAACATATGTATAAACAATATGACTACTATAACACGATTAACATCTCGTTCATTAAAATCGATATAATCTTTGAGACTAAATTATGAGCATTCCTTTTCGTGAGTTTAAAGTGTATATTCTCTATTTTAAATACATGTAACTCAATTTTACAATACAGCTTTTAACGAAACAAATATTGACATATACAAAAAGAATTATTCTATAGTTTATAGTGAATGCGCTCAATGCATTTATTATTTTCGAATATCGAAAGCCAAATAGTTGGACAGCGGTAGGCCACTCGATAGAGCGACGAATTGCTCGGTCGTGAGTTCTTGTTCCGCCCGTGTCATTTTTTCAATGTTTAAGCCATAATACAACACACCGCGGGCATTAAAACAAACAAATGGCGCGCACCTAAAATTTTTCGCGAATTCCAAATCTTGGCCTTCCAACTCCGGCACTTTGCACCAATGCTTGACTTCGCCAGCCATAAAGAGTTGCGCATACGCATGAAACCCGCACGGTATTACGGCGGGAAGTAGCATAAAGTATATCACCAGCTTCTGGTAACGACCGAACTCTCCCACGTCTTCTAGGATAGCATCGAAATCCATAATTGTCTTCTATTAAGTATAATTACGTTTTTACAGAATCTGAAATTAACAATAGCTCCTTTACATCCTTGTTAGCATGCAAAATAGACATTAACGAACAGGACACACTTTCAATGACACTACAATTAAAATATTTAATAACTTTTATTATACTGTGTTTGTTACGGTTCAGGAAAGTATTTTGAACGAAAAGAACGAAAAATATATTTTCCCGTAAAAACTGTTTTACCTTCATCATAACATTTAAAGTTAGTGGATACGGTGGATTTAAATTATCTTAAATGAAAAGGTTTACTGACAAAATTTTGCAGCAATTTTAAGTTGTTCGAGTTTTATTGTTGTTTGAATAGTTGCAGTATAAAAAAATTTGCCAGTTTCCCGTTGGACCAAATAGCGATCAGCTCTGAACACTGATTTTCAGTGTTCTAAATAGAGAGAATTTTAATTTAATTCATAACATTACCTGTTTTAAATCCTCAAATCCTGATTGAAGAGCGTTAACGATGCATCCAGGTTGACTGACGTGGTCACAACTAGTCGCCGTACCGGACATTCGGACTAAACGTGAAACTTGTCCTATGTTATATAGGGTGTTGCATTTTTTATTTCCTACTACATATTTATAACATAATAAGTGCAGAATTGTAATCCACCATTTGAATAACATCTTTTTTGTCATTTTTTCTCTAAACATTAATAAATGAAAATAATACAATTTGGCGAGTAGACAGAAATACTACTTAGTACTTAGACAAAGTCTAAGGTATTGTAAGGTATTATAATTCGTTATATTGTTCAGTTCTCTGGTATAACTACTCGTCGTCCTATGTTATATACAATTTTCATGTAAAATTAAGGATTTAATGATTAATATTTACTTGTAAAAGTCCGCATCACCCAATAGAACCTATGGGATGCGCGTGCGCAATTATCTCATTGGCCGGGCGCAGTCAGTCAATTCGATTAGCGATATAATTTAGCAGCGAAAGGACAACTTCTGACCCCTCAGTCCAAGGCTAAAGTACAGGAATACATTGTTTAACAAAGTAGTAAAACTCACAGGTACACAATTATTGTAATTTTTACAACGTGTACTTTTGTGATTAAAGTTGTAGTCGTGCAAATTTGGTTATATTAACACATATTTTGTTAACTTCACGAGTGGTGGAGTCCTGTCTGTAGTTTACGTGAGTATTACACATTTTAATAAAACGGGTATTAACGGTTTAAAACGCGAAATATAGTATATTAATTAACTGTTACGAGTAATCCGAAACATCGGGTCCTATTAAATAAGTTAACTATCATAGCAGAAACCGTGACCGCAGCAAAGGATCCCAAACGTCGGGTCGTTGTTAAAATAAATGTTTATAAGTTAACTAATCAATTTCGCGTTTATAGCCGTTAAAAAGTCTTTTATCAAAAAGTGTAAAAGTCCATAAATTATGCTTACACGTTATCATAATTCGTATATTGTGTAGGTAATATTTAAATAAAACACTTTAACGGTTTAAAACGCGATATATTAATTAAACTTATTTGAAAATGATTTTTAACTTCGGCCCGACGTTTCGGATGCTTTGCAGCAGCCGTGGTCACGGGAAGACTAAAGATGGAGGATGTCTCTGACGTCAAAGTAAAAAATTGCTACGCTAGCGCCATCTGTTCCGTCGAAGTTGGTATTTGGCGAAACTGGCCGGGTCCTTACAGAATTGACTAACGGTGTCTTCGCGTTTGCTGGTATGCTGTTTATTGGGATCTAGAGTTTTTAATATGGGATCCCAGGTGTTGGTAGGTACCAGTAGGTAATATTACTAAGTAGGAATGTTACTAAGACGTGTAATAATTTAACCCGATTCCACAATGATAACCCCCATTTTGACAAAACATCTAGATTTATTGTACCATTATAGTTCCAATAGTGCTAGTTCAGATGAAACTCATGAATATTTGATGAAGATGAATGGATTAGTCTGAATAATAAAACAACTAAGTATACAAAACGCATGTTAATATTACATTATCAATGTTAAATAAAGTAATGGTAATGTTATCATTTAAATTTTTAAATCAGATAAGTTAAATCTTATGACACATCTTTCTGTACCACTCGGGGTCTGTTTTCGCCGCAGATTCTGGTCTTCCATCTTTGTGCCGGTAGTGGAATTCAGACACGCCTCTTCCCGAGATTCCATTGACGATATATTTACAAAATCTTTCCCTCATCTTCGCTTCCCACTCCTGCGATACGTAGTGGATGGATTCGTATTCGACAAGCACCTGAAAAAAAAAGAAATATTAAAAAAATAAAATAAATTGTGTAAGACTAAATTCTGTCTATAGTTTACGCGAGGAGTACACATTTAAATAAAACACTTTAACGGTTTAAAACGCAATATATGAAAGCATCCGAAACGTCGGGCCGAAGTTAAAAATCATTTTCAAATAAGTTTAACTAATATATCGCGTTTTAAACCGTTAAAGTGTTTTATTTAATTGTGTAAGACTTTCATAGCCATCGTTCAGCATATCATTGTTTTTCGGAAAAGAGAAGCTAACAACATCTCACGTCGAGAATCTCTTCTCGCTTACGTCGGCCGAACACGAAACATAATTATATGATAAGAATTATCTGTATTTCACGCTATACTCACCTTTAAATAAAACAATTTAACGACTTAAAACGCGAAATATACTGTTATTAATTTTTACAAGGACTGCTACAAAGAATTCAAAACATCAGGTCCTAGTAAATAGATTGACTAATATATTTCGCGTAATAAGCTTTTCGTATTACAAATTTATGTATTGTATTTTTAAATATTAATAGTAATATATAATAACTAAGTAGATAAAATAAAATAAAATATTCTTTGTCCTCTTTAAAATTATAAAAATTATTTAGATTCGTCAAAATTTATTTTTGTTTGTCTGTCTGTTTGTTGTGATTCTACAGAGTGTTCAAAAGAGCAACATAACTGAGAAGAATACCCAAGAAACTCAATCCGGCTTTTTTAAACTTGTCTTATAAACTAATAAATTGTCAATTTATTAACTTAGGGAGTGATTCATATTACTGCTAGGCGTTGTCATTAAAGAAATCGTTTAGACAATAATACGCCTTTTGAGACAATCTAAATTTTATAACTTTTTAAAATTTATTTATCGATAAATTTGACACCTCAACTGGCAATGAATTGTACATACGAATACAATTCCCCGCAAATGAATTAGATATTTTATGGATCCTATATTTGGGGATAGCTAGGTTATCCTTATTTCGTAAGTTCACATTATGCCTATTCTTGCTAAACATGCTTTAAATATTTAAGTCCAAAAGATAATATCAAATACGTAGATAAGCTGACCTTTTTGACACTGAAATTTTCTGCTCCACAGTTTACGCTTACCAAATCATAGTTTAAGAAAAATAAGATTAGCAACTATGTACTAATATCAAGGAATGGCAACAGTAATTATTAATACATCTTCCAGTTGAGTTCGTCCTGCTGCCCCCTTCGGGGCACCGCCAGTCTCTGTGCAAACACGCAGTGCCAAACCCAACATCTGTTTAATTTTATTGGCTACGGGTCAACATTAATATGTAATTATTATTTATAATCCATACCTGAATAGTATACTCGTTTTCACCAGCTTTACATCTAAAAGCGTAGTCGTTCGGTGAATCCCCCCCTTCTCCATGCTGCCAAAGTTCAAGATCCACCCACTCTACAGGAAATACTTCACCGTTGGCCAGTGCTAGTACTCCGACCTCAAACCTGGTGGAAAGACAGATATAAGTAAATAGTCCGTTTATTACATTACATTCTCTTAAAGTAAAAAAGAAGAGATTCATGTATTTGATTGATTAATCGGCTCATAGGTTTAGCAGATTTATTAGAAGTAAAAATATAATAACATTATTTGATAATGACAATAGTGACCTATGGTTGCAAGCGCGGCGTCGGATTATATTTAAAAATAAATATTATATACTAATATTATAAAACGTAAAAGTTTCTTTGTTAGAATATTTTTGTATTGGTTGCCCAATTTAATGCGGAAGGCTTACGGCTATAGCACATCAGGGTGGGACCAATAAGAGCGCGGAAACAGAAGGAAATGTGGAAAATACATTTTCCTCGGCGAAAACGGTGAAAAATATATCTTTGAGTGCTTTCATTTCGGCTGCAACGAAAACTGTTCAAGTAACTAAAACAGATGTATTAAAGATATATTTTTATTATCATTGATAAGAATGACGGTCTATTACGCCAACGGGTAATATCTTTAATTTATTAATGGCGTTTGCTATAACATCCACGCTGACAAAGTCGCTGCTATTTATTTATAACACAGATTTTCGAATTGTTGAAGTAATTTTTCCTTAATTTTGGATCTAGTAATCTCGTTTATAGATTTTCTTACCTAGTGGCAGTGCATGGTTGGCAGATCACTCCAACGCTTAAGCTTATGCCATTGTCCAGAAAGATGTGGTGGAAAGCATAGCGATGCATCAAGGACCAGTCGCGTTTCTGACCTATAAGATTATTAGTAAGCAGCGTCAAGCCAAACAAAAGTAAACATCTTTTAAAAGTCTTTTATCAAAATTTGTGTTAAATTGTACGGACGCACACCAACACAATAATACACATCCTTGCATAAACTTTGATTACTTTACACTCCCTATTTTATTGTTTTAAAAGTAAATAAGTCTAACTATATTAAAAGATAAGTAACTATCATTGGAGTGTAACAGACGCCAAAGACTCAATTTGTAAATAGGGTTTTAAAAAAATCACTATTTTATAAACACACTGACACTCTTCATAATATTTTAAATAAAATACTTTTAACGGTTTAAAACGCGAAATATATTAGTAAATCGATATAATAGATTCTTTGTAGCAGTCCTTTTTATAATTTAACGAATACATTTCACGTTTTAAACCGTGTTTTATTTAAACAATGATACATACCAAAGCTGTGATCCCGGAAAGACGGTAGAGTCATGTGGAAGTTTTCGTTTTCAATCGTGAAATCGCATTTTAATATTCCAAACTGTTCATAGTGCGATTGGTGTGCTCTGGAAACCAAAGAGGGTAGGCCAATTTTTATGTAATAATTTATTATCTAAAAAATATGTATGAAAGAGTATTACTAATGTTCAATTAAGCAAAAAAGATGTATGAAAGAATGATTTCTTATCGGCTCGTTGGTAGCAATATATGGCTAATGATCAATGGCTCGTGGCTTCGATCCCCACCAGGGCCAACATGTTTCTGATTTTTCAATTTATAATTTTTCTGGAACAGCTGGACTTTGAAAACCTGGATATTAAATGGGTGGTAGGAATATAGAAATTCCATTCGGGTCGTGAACCACCGTCCACAGATGAAAAATTCGAGAAGCTTGACAGTGCATCTTGTTTAGATACTGGCTGGGGTATATCGCCTACCACCAAGTGTTAAATACTGTCTATAGTTTACGCGAGTAGTACACATTCAAATAAAACACTTTAACGGTTTAAAACGCGATATATTAGTTAAACTTATTTGGAAATGATTTTTAACTTCGGCCCGACGTTTGCAGCATCATAAGTTTAACTAATATATCTCGTTTTAAACCGTTAAAGTGTTTTATTTAAATATCATACGTTTTCAGTCCTTCGAAGTATTCGCGACTCCACTTTTCCCTCGAGATCGATCTAATGACTGCTGGTGGATAGAGATCTGTATCATAGTCGAAATGCTTGCTGTTAGCTGTCCATTCCGCATTGAACTCTACGTCCACCATTCTGCTTGGATCGTTCTGATACCTGTAATTCAATTATAAAAGTCTGGGTAAATATTGAAATAGCTTTTAATTCATATAAGTTGTCATCTATAATAATATACATTATAAAGCTGCAAAGATTGTTTTTAACGCGCCAATGTCAGGAAATACGTAGTAATAAATAGGTTCGAAATGAATAATTATTTTTGTGTTGGTTAGAGCATTTATCGAGGAAGGCTTTAGGCCAAAAAACATCACGCTACAATGAATAGGAGCGACGAAACACTAGGAAATAGCCTAAAACCTTACTCTATAAATGTTCTAACTAACATAAAAATATTTTTTTTAGTAAACTTCCTGAGATGGCGCGTTCAAAAAAACTAAATACACTTCACTTTATAGTTCGATAGATTTACAAGCTATTGGAATTAGAATATATATCAGCTAATAGGTTTATTAGTGAAAATCACTTTAAGTATATCAAGAGAAAATGTAAACATTTCATTAAGATAACAAACCATTATTAATTCTATCCACAGTCCTAATTACCTCGAATTGTTAACTCATGAATATTGATAATTCTTTTGTTTTCAAAATTTCTTCAACCAATCCGATTTTATCAGTTAACGTAATGTTCAAACAACTATAGTAATTAGATTAATATATAAATATGTAATTGATTTATAATATAAAATCTAAATTTTTTTTGCTAGTCTCAGGATACTACTAATTTGAAAAAAATATTATTGTGTTTGTTACAACATTTGTCGAGAAAGGCCTATAAAACTTTGCGCTGTGACATATATGTTCTAATACTCACCACATTTGACCTTTATACGAAAGACTCCATCTTTTCATGGTCTCAACCGGTGTTATTTTGATGCCCTCCGCGCCAAATTCCCCAATCTCAGCACCGAACAAGACTGTATCTGGGATTTTCTTGCTACAGAGCATGCCTTTTTCTGGTAACTGAAATACATTATAAATTGTACGTGCCCAAAAGCTTAAAATAAATCTATACTAATGTAACAAAGCCGAAGAGGTTGTATGTCTAATTAAAATTTAATAGTTAATATTTATTAGTTGTGACCATTGGACCATTCGAGGAGGTCGTTTGCAAGAACAAATAATATGATTTCCAAAACAACTATTCTACGCGAACGAAGTCACGGGCACAACCAGTACTTCTTTATATCCATAAAATGCCCTTTACAACGCAGACACATTTCTATAGGTAGACTTGTACCATGTCCGACTGTAACTATAATCTATACTAATATTATAAAGCCGAAGAGTGGTATGTCTGGACGCGCAAATCTCAGAATTTTTGCGTTAGGTAACACCTGATATATTATGGAGAAAGGCTTTACGCTATCTAACATTACGCTGGTTCTAATAAGAGCAAAGAACCAGTGAATAATGTGAAAAAAAACGTATAAAAGATAAAAGAATAAATAATACCTAGGACGAAACAATATGACTCACCCCAATATAAAACAGTCCATTGCACATTCCCATTGGTCTGCGTTCACAGCCCATCACCACGTAGATACCTTTGTCCTTTTCGTTTTTAGATGCGGATATAAAGAATACAGCATCGAAGGCCTGTAATTATAGTTTTATTGCAGAGAAGAACAGAAACGGTCACTAGATGGATGGTAAAATATGTTCGGTCGAAGTAAGCGAGAATAAACAATGATAAGCTGAACGATGGTCGTGAAAGCCTTACACTTCATGGCTATTCCATCTGCGGATGAACGACATACCTACTAAATGTACGTATTTTTCGTCGCTATTTCAAATATGTTTTGAAACTTTAATTAAAATGCTGGACCCCATGGCAACTGAACCGAATGAGTTAGTAACCTCTACATCTTACTAATTTAGCCTTACCCAAAATGGGCATTGGTGCTGGGAACTTTGGAGTCCTCCAAACGTGTTCTCAAGTTCCCTAGAATTGAATGAACTGGTGTTCAGTGGTTCTGGTCTAATTTTGTATCCTGTAGGGTTAGGCTTGTGAAGAGTAGAACACCCCACGTTATAAATACCCGACGTAATCGTACATTTTACACTCACACCACCAGTTAAAGAAAGGTTCTACTATAGGAATTAAAGATACCTTAGCATGTTCGCTCAGGGGCTGTTCTCGGTCCATTTCATTTATATTCGCTATAGCTTTAACACCCTGACCGGGTCTCGTATTGGTGTCGGCAGCTTTGTATTGGTTAGCATACTACGAAAAAAAAAACACTATTAAAATGTACTATGGGGAAAAAAAATAAAACAATTTCAACACTTTAAAAAACCGAATATAACTTAATTTATTTTAAATATCTATTTGATGGTTGCTAACGCTTCTGTTCCGTTTTAAACAGTTAAAAATGCTTTATTTAATGTATATAGCTCTGTGTGTGTATTCGCATGACAGTGTTGATAACAAAATGTCTGTGATTTGTCTATTCTTTATTATGTTTTCTTGTTTCAAACTGCTCTTGCGTTTAACGCTTCTTTGGGCAACTCGTTAAAATAAGCATGTGCTTTTACATGTTTAAATAATAACATATTCTTGTAAGAATATCTTATCTCTATTTTTGCTTTGAATTAATTAATTATAATTAGTAGCAGTTAGCAATATGTGCAAATGCAACATAGACTCACCTTTCTAAAATAGTACAAGCACGAGAACGCAGCATATTTCAAATAATACCACTTTCCCGGCACAGAATATATGCCGAATATGGGTGTCGGGTCATCTTTCGTGAAGTAATACCAAACGATAAAGGCGAAAATCGCACCCGCTATGACGTTTATCATGTTGGACAGTCGTGTCACTGACTGTAGTTTTGTTAATTAAAGATAGCGATATGAGATTGACAGGGCCGTATTAGAGACAATTTAAATTACAGATAGGTATAATAAGTGAATACACACTTCGCTCGCGGGGCTGAATCCTGATGTCATCAATCGGTATTTATATACAAGTAGTTGATACAGATGTCTGGTACATCTGTGTCTTGCGTGTCAGTAATTTTTTTCTTATCCCTGTCAACACAAGACATAACCACTTAATTACAACAATAACAATTTTATTACAAAAGCCTTCTCCTCCAGACATCATCACGTTATCAATTCCTTATTGCATTGTCTACGATATAAAGCGTTCACGTATAGTTCTTTATTTGCGTATTAATTTGACTACCTCAATTTCTATACATTCGTAATCTATATTATTGAAACAAATATGGAATTTTTATGGTATTTGCATTCAAATTTTACGGGTAGTTGCAATATTATTTTATTATCTGGCAGATGACATAAGCGTCAAAGTATTAATGTAACTTTTCAAATAAAAGATTTCAATATTAACATTAAATACCGTTTAAAATTATTCTCAAAAGTTAATTGGATACAACAGTGTAATGTTTGACACATTTTATTTAATAAAGATCAGAAAGCAAATGAAAGTATATTTCGACTCGGGCAGGATACAAGACGTTGTCAGACCGTGGGGGAGGAACGGGAAGGGGAGGGGGGGGGGGGGGGGGGGGGGCCGGGGGGGGAAATCGATTTGAAAATTTCATATTTTGAACCCAAAGTAAATTTGAAAACAGTGTAATGTTTGACACATTTGCATCTGAAACGTCGGGCCTAAGCTTTAAAAAGATTCATATTAGTGTTAAAAAAGTTAAATAACGATAATATATCGACGTTGTCAGACGTTAGAAGTGTTTTATTTTCTGGGTCCCAAAAAAGACTATCTATACTCTATATTAAAAAGCTGAACAGTGTCTTTGCTTGTTTTACCGCGCTAATCTCAAGAACCACTGGTACAAATTGAATTTTTTTTTTCTGTAATTTAGAGCATTTATAATGTTGCACTGTGGTCACCGTTCAAGATACCTGATAAGTATATATGTATATAGGAAAAAATATGTATGAAAGAAAGTCTTTCCTCTTTGAAAGATCTTAAAAAAATATTCGCGATAGTACATAACTATCTTTTAAAATAATATAAGACGGATAGAACACAACTAGTCTGCGCGGACGAAATAGGTGGCACAGCTAGTATGTAAAAGAGAAGATTTTATTTAACTGTGTTGTTTTAGTTATCATATTTGATATAAAAAAGAACAATCCGTACCTTCTAGCCATTATTGACAATCAGAATAATAAAAACATGATATTGTTATAACGGTTATCTCCAAATTTTTTCTGTTCTTCACAATACATCGTTATATTAAATATGATAAGATTTTCAAATATTTTATTTAATGAAACAATTTTCTTCAATAAGTATCTGTTGTGTATACTATGACTAATATGCTTAGGAGCGCGATAAACTCGGATCTAGGACATCTATAGGGCTTCTAGATTTTCCTGCATTGGGTTATGACACTTTCGTTTACTTCCTAAATAAGGAAAAAGACAATAAAGGACAATCGTTTATTTACATTTATATTTACAAAAACTATATTTGACTATATTATTATAAAATGTTTACTCTGGTGGTTTGTAGCTGGACTGTAGTAGCTTAATTACATTGACAAATTCTACCTCCACCCCCTCCATATACCTCCCTCAATTATCAACCTTCTACTCCCCCTCTAATTATGAGTACCATCTGAACGATTTAACTAATCAAACAATAAAAATTACTGCAACTGAGCCGTGAAAAAATATGAAAATGTATATTTTATGTTTTACGTTTAAAACCGTTTAAAATATAAAGGTTTTCTTAGAAAAGACTGTCTATATAGTAGGGCTTCGTTATTGTTCGTATACTTCAATACCTAAGTATTCGTTTGTTATCCTAGAATTTATTACTTATGAAAGAACATTTCTGGCTCTTTTTTAAATAATTATAAATTTATAAGCAAGTATATGCTTATTATTATGGTATTTAAGTATTATTTAAATATTTTTAATAAATTATATGACGTAAAATGCAGTTCTGGTTAACAAATTAACAATTTAAGAGCTTCTCATTATCATCAATATAAGAAGGAATATATTGATAATATCCAAGTATAAATTGAGAGCTGCGAAGATGTACTCTTCGGGAGAGATGCTGTATTTGTGTTTCCCGCCCATCATCAGCTGCGTGTCGTACACCAGATATAATGAGAATAATAGTACTCCAAGTGACGCGTACACCAACCGTACTATATTGTTGCTTGGGATAAAGATCGCAATGAGACCTGCGAACAAATTCTACAGTTTAGAAAAATATAACAGGACTATAAGTAGCTGCACGGATCTTTAGCGCTGAAGTCAAAAATAGGGTACCGAGGGGACGGAGGCAGGCGCGGGGCGAGTGAAGGTCATGTGCGCTAGCGTTGATTGGTTCCCCAGTCGTGTTGTCTTTCTCGGACCAATACGACGCTCCGCTTGCTTCTCGAGTACAGTCCCGTTTTACAATAAATTCTAAAGATGCGCAATTATCCCTCTACACTTCGTTAAGCGCTAAGCATTCGTACCGCGACCTATACTTACTTTTTGGAATGCAAGAACTGCACAGACAATAAATATAATAATAAAACGCGAAATATATCCCATATTCCGCGTTTTCAACTGTCAAAAGTGCTTTATTTAAAAGTACCGGCTTTAAAATGCGATGGGGGTTCGCCTTCGATGAAAAATATTTCAACATTTTCCATTTTCAGTTTCAATATGGAATTTGCAAGTTCTAATTTGGTACGAAAGATTTCGTACTTCAATTTTCAAGTTAACATTTTGCCGACTGTTTCTAATCGTGTATAAATATTTCTTACGAATACATTACCAAACATTAGCAACACCATACTGGCAGCCACTAGGCCTCCACCAATTAAAGTGAAGTCCCATTTTGTTTGGAATGCGAAAAGGGTTAGCCCCAAACATACTGCAGCTGTTATTCCTACCGCCATGAAGACCTAAAGACAAGATACAGAAAAAATATGGTAACATCAGCTGAAAACAATACCAGTTTGTAAATAGCTGGCTGATAGAACTTCTCTGGGGAAAACTGCATTAATCTGCAGGCTAGGGTGTTTTTAATATTGACAAATGGGAAATGACGCTCACAAACGGTATTCTTAAAAGATAGGTCGATGACACAGTGTAGTTGGCATGGCATGGTATTGGTCGTTGGTTGGGCTTTTTGACAATACAAAAATATAGCGTCAACTACTGTTATCATTATTAAATATAAGTTTAGAATTTAAATAAGATTCGCGAATAAAAATTAACTTTTTTAAACATTTGTCGCGTGACATTTATGTCACGCGACAAAGTAATTGTTACGCTTCTAATTTGTCGGGTTTATGACGTCACTTGCTTATAAACCTCTGCCTCGTATTGTTAAAACTGTTATATTCTAGCATAATAAATAAAAACAAATTGTAACTCATTTTTGTACTTCAATCTCTGTTAAAATGACAATGTTTGGTACAAATGCATGTAGATAGTAGATTATATGATCGACATACACCAATGGCCAATATAAGGTCGTGACGTCACTAGCCGTATTTTGTACGCGCGCGATTCAAATGTTGGATTTTTAATTTTATATAGTTCAACAAATATGTGCTAGAACTCAAAAATACTTCTGTGGAGTTCCTTAACATTTACCAAATAATATAAAGTACATTTTAAAATCAGTCAAAGATCTCAATAATCAAGGTTATTGATATCCTATAAGAAATCCTTACCTCATTGATTTCAAAAGAACTTGTCGCAACGCCGAGTAAAAAGCTCTGCGCAAGAGTGAATATGAAGAGAAAAATGAAGTTCATGGGAGTCGTACGCCGTACATTATCACAACACGCCATAGCTATCATACTAACGAAGACAACGGCTAGCGCTACCCAGCTGAAAAAAAGAAATTACATGAATAAAACATACTTTCTGTGTATCTTAAACCGCTTGTGCCGCGCACGCAACGGAAAGCCTCAAAGACAAATATTTTCCCCGTGTTTTCCACATTTCCCCCTGTTTCTTCGCTTCTATTGGTCGTAGCCTGATGTTTTATAGCATATAGCCCTCCTCGATAAAGGCTCTAAATAAAATTGATTAGCGAAATGGACACTTAGATGTGACCCACCCCATGCCCCACTTTGAGGAAACGGGGAACTTGGTTATTGCAAAGAGTTATATAATATACAAGAAGAATGAAAATACCATCTCTATTGAGAAGGAATCAAAACCAATATACAATATAATATTTTCTAGAATACGCGTTATAGTTAAAATGTTGTAATATTTCGAAAAAGAGGATTGTTGCTCTATATTGTGAAAAAGTCAGTTTTGTGCGTTAAAAAAATCTTAATCTTATCCTTACAATTGATTTTCACTTGTTATGTTATCATGCACATTAATAATAAAATATCGAAGAATTCCAAGACTAAATAAATTAAAATTTTTTTGGCCAAGTACATCAAAGGAATCGGCTTAATACATTATTAATTAATGGTTTTTACAACAAATTAACTCAAAGATTCCTTTTAATATGTATTTTAATTAAAATTGTTGGCTAATACTTAAACACGACAAATATCGTGTTTTGGCTAAAATTCTTTTGTTTTGCCTCCATGACTTATTGATTTTGAGCAAGACAAAATCAACCAAATGAGTCACGCGGGAAAAGTCGCAGCATAAATTAGTAAACGATAAAACAACGTTATCACTTACAAGAGATAAGTATTCTGTCTGACGAACTGTATTGTCGGCTCGTGGAATACGAACAACGCTATGAAACCCATGGTAACGAGCAGTTGACACATGAGAATAGCATACACCTGGAATTGATTGGAACAGAAGTTTATATTTACAGGAGTAAGCCCAGATCATTCCGAAGTTAAGTAATACAATACATTGAATACTGTCTATAGTTTACGCGAGTAGTACACATTTAAATAAAACACCTTAACGGTTTAAAACGCGATATATTAGTTAAACTTATTTGAAAATGAATTTTAACTTCGGCCCGACGTTTCATTGAATACATTATTTGTCAGATGTTTAAAATTAACTGGCTATAGTATATACATATTTAAAGAAAGAAAAAAACAAATAATTCCTATACTAACGGACTAAGTAATTGCTATATTGTGTTGTGACCGCCTCTGTAGACAAATGGTTAAGCGTATTGCCTAGCATTGCGTTAAGCGCGAGAGGTCCTAGGTTCGAATCCCAGGGAAACAAAAAATTGTTTCGGTCAGGCAGGGCATAGAAGTCTGATCAACTATTTGCCTGTTAGAGGAAAGATCCGGACACAGAAATGTGTTCGCCCCATGCCCCACGAGGGGGAAACGGGATTTCACATATCACACATATTATAATTAGACAGTATTTTCGTTTCAAGCACCGTCGCCGTTTTGTATTTAAAAGGAACGTACTTACTTTTCGAATAAAAGCCTTGCGTATTGTTTGCTCAGTAAAATCGAACTGGGTGTTACCGCCATCTTCTCCTAATGATGGGTCCACGTACATCACCTGTTGAACCTGCACACAATAAAAGATAGAAGAAGAATTTCAGTGTTGAGAAAATATATTCCTTTTTAGACTATATTTATCGATTGAGACATGAGTCATCAAATGAAGAGGAAGAAAATTGTTTAAATCCCACTCTGTAGGAACACGCTTTTTGAATCTGGAAATCAGACCAGTGCCAGAAACATTTGTAAACCTTTTACAATAAAATTAGAATATTTGAGGGGTAATCGTCTGTAATATATGAAGCTAAGTAGCGGTTCCCCAATCTTTTTCATAGACTTGAAACTTGCTGGAGGAATAAATGAAAGGCAAATAGTGATAAGGTAATTTAAAAAGTTATTAAAGTTATATCGCCTTTTAATTGTTAACTAATAGTGCATTGCCTCACCTGTGCCATATCATGCGACCGCCTTCCACGGTATCTGTGTATCACTGATACGCCGGTGATAACGAGGGGAAAAACTTGGTGATAAAAATATCGATATTGTATACTTTAGTAACATTGTTGATAGCACGAGAGCAGAAATTAATGAGTACTTTTTCCGTATTCGAGGTGTGTATACTAATGTTATAAAGCTGAAGTTCGTTTGCACACGCTAACCTCAGGACCTACTGGTCTAAAATGAATCTTTGTAGATTTGCGTTGCGTGTGCTGTAAAAAGGGGTCAAGATACCCAAAAATATATATCAACAAATAAAGGCTCTTTAAAAATGTCCGAGATAATATATGACAGTCTTTTAAAATAAACTTGCAGAAACGACGGGACGCGGACGAAGTGGCGACCGCTGCTACCAATATGTATTAATTGCCAAATAACTTATCCATAATGTATTTATTTATTAGCCAATGATGAGGTAAGATGTAGATTTCTAGAAACACTTTCGACAAGCAAATCTTAAGTTAAATAAACATTTATGCGGGATTGCTTACAGCAAACGTGCTCTGATCACGTCTTCCGATTCGTTTTCTCTTCAAAAAGCCATATTTCCTTGAACCAAAGATTGGAAAATCCTAAACATTGAAACATTACTTGTACGTTTTGTTCCGTATTATCGTCGTAACATTTGGGGGGGGAAAGGGAAATAAACCTAACGGCCTTTCCCTCGCTGTCAACCTACCGTACGCACGTAAAAAGCGTATTAACGTACGGGGGGGGGGGGGCCCCCCCCCCCCCCCCCCCCCCCCGAAAAAAAAAAAAAAAAAAAAAAAAAAAAAAAAAAGGGGGGGGGGGGGGGGGGGGGGGGGGGGGGGGGGGGGGGGGGGGGGGGGGGGGGGGGGGGGGGGGGGGGGGGGGGGGGGGGGGGGGGGGGGGGGGGGGCCCCCCCCGGGGGGGGGGGGGTTTCTTTCTTTTCCCTTGGGGGGGGGGGGGGGGGGGGGGGGAAAAAAACCCCCCTCCGGGCGGCCGGGGGGGGGGGGGGGGGGGCCCCCCTCCCGTCCCCATTTGTGTGCGGAGACCTTTATCATCGCAACATTTTTAAAAACATAACATCCGAGTTTAGTTTGATTTCGGATGTAGTGCTTCGAGTATTTAAAACACCAAATACATAATGTTCAATTTCAAATTTTCGCCATCAAACCTAAGTGAGGTGAAGTAAATAAAACAACATTTGACATCAATTTATTTCGAATATATTTCGCAGCAATGCCAATTCTGTTGTACAAAAACTACTAAGAATAACGAATTGCGCCAAATCTCAATAGATACAACAAAATTGCTACTCGTTGAACGTAGAACATATGTAAACATACGATACATAGAAATACTATTAGGCACACCAATCTCAAATACGTGGACATTTAATTTTTAATTATATTTAACAAAGTTAAAGAGCGTTAGAGACCACTCTTCTTTAATCTTACAATGCAATTACTACAATTATGTTAATGACGATGATGTTTTTGAAGTTTAATAAATTAATAACTTAAATTTTCGACAAAGCTGCACACGATGTTTCACGTGCAGTTGACTATAATAATAAGAAAACATGTTTTAAAAATCTACAACAACTAAGGTAAATTGGGCTCTGTTAGTTAATAAGAAATGTAGGTACTTAGGTTTTCTAGCATTCGACCGTCGTAATTGAGAAATCGTTCGACGTTTTCTCTCTCGCGAGTCGATGACGTCATTAAATGTAATCGTTCTAAGAGAATTATTGAAACGTCGAGAACCATTCTTTACTTATGACGGTCGAAAACCCACGTGGCTTTGCTAGATGACTTATGCAGTTATAATTAGAAATATAGAGAATAATAACAAAAGGTATGCGCTTTGCACAATACTATATTGGATTATAAGGTATTATTGTAGGACCAAATTTTCCTACAATAAAATAGTTAGAATAATATTTGCATAATAGTTTGTGAATATTAAAAGACAATCTTACAACTGAAACTATATATAGAATCTACTAAAGTTTTAATATTTGTACAGGCGACTAACGAATATAAAACAGTCTATATCAGAAATGTGTAATACTAAATTGACAAATCCAAACTGTAATTAAACTTTGATAAAATCGCCTTATTCACAACTATAGGGATGAGGTAATGGGAGTAAGTGTGATCGCGTTTATCATAAGTAGAAAGCACATCGACAATCCTTATTAAATGCAAAGACCATTGCGTAGAGATTCTATCCAATATCTCTACATATTCGAGAAGTCACACTTCATAACAAAAATCAGTCCATAGATTATACATAGAAAATCAATAAAGAATCTTACACTTATTTTATTGTCTGTGGTACGGTGGGCTGGTAGAGTCTACGCAATGGAATGTTCTAGCAAGTTTGCAAAATAATGCCCTCCTAGTACTCAATGTTTAAGAGGCTATAGACAAAAAATATTTTAAATTAAACTCATTCCAGCTGTCAGTGTCACATTGACATTTGACATATGACATGACGAGAAAACTAAAACCTTTACGGTTGTTAAGAGCCCACCGAACCGTTTAAATTTAGTCCCTGGCCGCACCAATAATAGTTAGGATGTAGATGAAGATGTTAATGATGTCCAGGTAGAGATTGAGAGCCGCGAAAACATATTCCTCGGGCGAAATGCTGTATTTGTGTTTTCCGCCCATCATTAGCTGGGTGTCGTATATCAGGTAGATGGAGAACAACAGCGCGCCAAGAGAAGCGTAGACCAAAGTCACAATGGTGTTTCGCGGGATAAATATAGCGATGAGACCTAAATAAAAAATTAGGTATTAGTCGTATAAGTAAGAAGTAAGTATTGTCTGTAGTTTAAATAGAATAGAAATAAAACGGAACGGAAATAGAACACAAATAAAACACGACTAACTGATTGAAACACGAAATTTATTAGTTAATATTTGTTAACTATGGTCCGATACTAAAAACCATCCAAACGTCTAAATTAACTTAATATATTTCGCGTTTAAAACAGTTAAAACGTAAGGGACAGAGCATTTATTACTGATATAATTCTAGTTATATAGGGGGAACGAAATTATGTGGGTTTAACTAAGTTTTAGAGGTTTTTTACCCGTTTGCCTTTGTGTTTAACGGTGCGTTGCGTTGAGTGTTTGTTTTTTATTTGAGAGAAAGGGCACCTCAAAAGTAGTTAGCATCGATCGGACACTAAAGTCTCACTTCTCATGTCTCACTACTCAAACAACAAAATGTTGTGAACAAAATTTGTCTATTTGTTTAGTAAATTAAAATTGTCAGTAATTTTAATTTATTACAGATATAATTTACAAACTTACCAAACAGTAGAAGCACAACGGTAGCACACAACAGTATTCCACCCATAGCGGTAAAGTCATACTTTGTTTGCATCGCGAATATGGTCAAAGTTAGACAGATCGCAGCTGTAATGCCGACAGCCATCATGACCTGGAAAAGAAACTCTTCTTGTGATCCATAATCTTTGGGGCATATTGATATATTGGCTTTGGATATTCGGAAACGCGATTAAACTTAACAGATTTTGGGTTTGTTTGTCTGAACGGGAACTGCAGGTTCGAATTTAAACATTATTTTCGTGTTGGTTAGACCAGGAAACCGTGGAAAATGTGGGAAAATTTTTCATAACGGATACCTTAAGTGTAAAGTACCCAAAAATGTATGAAAGTCTAAACTCATGTTGTCTCATGTTGGACTTCGTCGGGAAGACGTGATTCAGAAGAATTATAAATTTAAAAACATGTTGGACCCGGCGGGGATCGAACCCTCGATTCGTGGATCCATACGTAGCTACCATTAGACTAACGACCCCGTCAACTAACCGCATCGCTCTGGTACACCGAGCTGGTGACGCCGAGCAGGAAACTTTCGGCCAGCGTGAAGAGACCCAGAAAGATGAAGTTCGTGGGCGACTGACGGCGAACATCGCCGCAACAGGACATCACGATGAGACAGATAAACATCATCGCGAACGCCACCCAGCTGAAATTATTTAAAAATCAATTAAAGGACAGATATTAATACGCAAAATTTTGGAATAAGTATTCCTTTAAGAGTTTGTGTGTATATAGACAAAACACGTAACACGATCTCGCTTGCGTTAGCTAGGCCTCTGAATGTGCCGCAGAATATCGGTCTTGGGACATTAGTCCCAATGTAGCTGAGTGGACTCCCTTGTTGTCGTATGTGTTGTTTTTGAATAAACGTATTTCTTTGTCTAAGTCAAATAGCTAGTGAATAGTCAAACGTTTTAGATCAGTTTATTGTTATCGGCTTTATTGGATTTTAGTATTTTTTTTTTTCAGTTTCAGTTGCCTGAACAAGACTGCGTTTAAACGAAAAGCCGCCCATTTCACTGACATCTACTATGTATATTTTTTTATATAATACTATAAATGTCTCTTCTAATATTGTATTTACTTCTCTACATTGCGTGCAATATTAAGATTAAAGATATGAAATAAATTTTACAATAGGCACATTGTTTGACAACACGCTCTTGGCTTTGGACATTCGAGAATATAGAGTTTGAAATTAAAAGGCGATTCAACTTGTGGACCGGTTGGTTTGCAACCCAGACGGAAATAGACATGAATTTGAAACTTGTTGGTCCCGGTGGGGATGACCCGTGACGTTGTAACAAAGAAATGCTGGTACTCACAAAGACCACGTGTTCTGCTGAGCCCAAAGCTTCGTGGGTGTGTGGTACACGAATAGTGTGATAAAGGCTAGCGTAACTAGCAGCTGAGACATCAATATCGCGTAGACCTACGAAAGAAAAGATTATTATGGCTAAATACACTAAAGGAAGGTGAGGTTGACTTTCCAAAATATATACATAGCATTCTTTCGTATTGTCTACTGTTTACGCGAGTAGTATACAATAAGTCAAACTTAGTTTGAATATAACAGTTTAAACTGCGATATTTTAGTTAAACATGCTTTGCAGCAGCAGTGGTCACGGTCTCCCCGTCACCACGACTGCTGCAAAGCATCCGAACGTCGGGCCGAAGTTAAAAATCATTTAGAAATAAGTTTAACTAATTAACGCGTTTTAAACCGCGTGTTAAAGTGTTTTATTTAAGGGTGTACTACTCGCGTAAACTATAGACAGCATTTAAAGAAAGAGATTAGAGAATTTTAACGTTTTAAAACGCGAAATATATTAGACAACATTGCACGTATCTTTACGTTGTGCCTGGCATATTATGTTATTAGATTATTATATTCCTCAACAGTATAATCATATAATCCTTGAGATATTATCCTGATACTATAAAACATTAAATAAGCTACATACAATATTCGAGGTTTTATAACTGACCTTTCGCACAAAAGATTTTCTGATGCTTTGCTCATTGAAATCGAATCCTTTCACGTCGGCATCTTCACCCACACCACCCTGGACCTCCATATGCCGGCTGAAACACAGAGATGATCATAGTTAGCATATATGTAATGTTTTTTATATAACAAAGGAACACAGACTAGCAGTTAAGCCCAGTCAGTGATAGAAAGTTAAAAGCCATATAATATCGGCCTATTTTGGCTTTGGATACCGATTAGGCTGGACGTGTTTAAACTTCCCGGTTTTTAATCTGTGGACGGTGGTTCGTGACCCGGATGGAACTTAGATATTCCTACCACCGATTTGATATCCAGATTTTTAGATTAAACCAACAAGCGCGTCAAAGATCTGATCTACCTATTTATTAAGCATTGGGGCTTACTTCAATTTCTGGTTAACTTGTAATAATAAAAAATATTTATTTACTTTAGCCAAAGTCTTCGCGCTAGTCTCAAACAGCGAGTCCATAACGTTGAGTCATTATAATTATTATTGTCATTAAAATAATTACATTATTGTGGTTTAAGACCATTTCATGGCCAACTAGAATTTGACTTGAAAAATTTGTATCTTTCTTTGATACAAGTGACCGTGAAATATGACAGCTCTGTGCAATTAAACATAGAAATTATCTATCTATACTAATATATAAAGCTGAAGAGTTTGTTTGTATGTTTGAACGCGCTAATCTCAGGAACTACACGGAGAAATGTAAAAAAAATAGGAGAAACTTAATCATCTTCGTGGGTTCCCGATGCTTACGCAACGAAAACGCTTCAAGGTACCCAAAATAAGTAGGAAAGAGTGATTTCTCTATAATATTTATTATATAAAATTCTATATAATGCTGTAAAAAAAGCACGCGATACTATATGTCTATGTTTTAAGATGAACAGCTCAATTTGGATGCGCAAAATCTCTATTCCACGCGGACGAAGGCGCTGACACACTTATGGATATCAACTCTAATGATAAAGTCAACAGCCCAATAGCCAGCTTAAAAACTCTATCACTATTGAAAACTTTAATATTTTATATAAGTTACTGCGCATGATGATTTAATAATAAATAAAAATCTATTTTGATACAAAAAGAAAAATGTCCGACACGACGTGCTGCAGCTCTAACCAATCGAGGTACCGTTTAACTCCGTAATTTCATCTTCAATGATATCTTAATATAAGCGTAAGACAATGAACCTCGATACATAATTGTTAAGATTAAAATTACATTTCGATATTACCTCCATTGTTTAAAGCGGCAAAGAACGTGGTGGGTGCCGGTTCGAGTCCCGCGCATATTGTCAATTTTAAAATGTAAATAGTTTTTTAATTGACACCTTTACTATTATTATATTTATTACTTGTATTCTATAGTAGACAAAATAAAGTTATTTACAAATATTTCTACAATACAAATACGAACAATAATATCGATTTTCCTTGTAATTACTTGATTGCGTATATAAGATTATAATTTCAAACTAGCGCAAGTTTACTTGAAGCCTTAAAATCGTGTTCGATCAACCTTAGGCAAGTTTAGTCTTAATTGAAGATTCAATATGTCACGGTATTTTACGTCGTCATTAATTAAATAAGTGTGTATTTTTTACGATAGAAGAGGGACAGACAAGCGTGGATTTCCCAAGCCCAATAACATCTAAACAAGATGCGCTATCGACCTTTTCTGGCTTTGGATATTCGGAAATCCACAGACTGAAGCCGTAACGCAATTATAGTTGGAGGCTTCATCATCTGCGGACGGTGGTTGGAAACATTTAATATCCAGATTTTAAGACGAAATCCAACATGTTTGAGAAAAACATTACATTGATTAGAAAACTGCACGACCCTATGGGGATCGAATCCACGACCCGTTGATTCGCACATTGCTACACTGACGAGCCCGCGTGTATACGAACGATCGATGACAGCTTAAGATTATAAAGATGAAAGGTTTGCAAAATAAATATTCTAAGCGGACGAAGCTGTCACAGCTAATATAACTATACGTTAAGTTGTGACTCACCTCACCGTAGCCTGCGCCGCCATACCCCGCGGGTTGAAATCCTGGTTGCGGTGGTGGTGGGTAGCCTCCGGGTGGCGGATAGCCACCTTGCGCAGGATAGCCACCCTGCGGTGGATAGCCACCCTGAGGGGGATAACCACCTTGTGGATAGCCCCCCCGGTTGCGGATAACCCCCCCTGTTGATCTGAAAGCGCGAAAATTTGATTTGAAAACAGCATCTCTTCATTTTATTAGCTGACGAAATGGATGGAAATCTTGGAAGCTTTAACACAATCTTGCACATCAAAGACAAAAGCCAACATAGATGTGTCGCCTGTACGTCAACACAAGTGGTGCACGCGAATAGAACAGTTTAAACGGAATCAAACGCGAAATTTACTGGTTTATTTATTTTTATTTTGACCCAACGTCACACGTGTTTTTATGCATTCTGAATGTCGGGTTTTCGTGTCGAACAAATAAAGCAATATATTATGTCATTAAACCGTTTTTTGTTAAATAGTATTTATAAATATAGCAATCAATAGGTACTTTCTAATGGTGCATAAAAACGTGCATGTCCCACAAATTTTTGCACTCGAACATATAATGTGCATAGTTTTTGTTAAGAAGCTGAAGAAGTGGTTTGCTTGATTGATAGAGCGGAAAACTGAAGATTACACATATCGCATGTATAACAAACAAAGATATTCAATATTCATACAACATTGATCTTGTATAAGTCCGCTAGAGGCAGAGTAGCCTAACTGCAATTTCATGACTTGAGTTATTTATATTTTTAAAGTCTAAAACGTTAATCTACAAGAGCACAGTGACCGAAAATTGTTAATATAAATTACACAAATAACAGCACAAATTTATTTTCGCCTAAGTTAATTGCGCATTTTTTCCCCTTCTTATTGAAAATCATGTTTCTTGTAATTAGACCACTCTGCCTATAGCAGCTTCATATATACATGGAAAAAGGTGAACAAATAAACATTTAGACTAATAGTTTTCCTTTGACCACGGCTGTTGCTAAGCATCTGTCGGATTGTAGTTTAAAATTAGTTACCTATAAATTCTCATTTCTCGCCGTTAAAAACGCTACATTAAACGGTATATCACTGGCGCGAATTTAACACTGTAATACTTACAAATACTGATAAAATAATACGTAAAAACTATACCGTTAACCGTAAGTTTTAATTGAAATAAATCACCTTTTTCGCTGTTAGACATGACAATCACAATACGACAGAAAATACTTCAATGGAGAACAGTCTTAGGTGAACGCAGCCTCCACACTGAATGAAACATTCTTAATATTTAGACATATTTCTGTGCTTTGTGCGTTGTATGTTTAAGAACTAGATTCGTCTGACCAATATCACACATGCGTACTAAGAACCCATAAGCTTAACAAGAGTTCTGGTTACTGCAATTAAAGTTTTAAGTTCTAGTACTTGATAAGAAGCTAGGCTATATTGTGGTTCTGAGAACGTAGTGTGTGAAACGATTACCATAAGACAGAATCTCTCATTGATAAAACAACAATTCCACAGAGTTAACTGTTGCTATTTTACACTCTCACAAAACAACACTCATTCGAAAACAGAACAGGGGGATTGATTCACTAATGAAATAAAATACACTAGGCGGTTTTCCTAGCTAGGTTTTCCTACCATTCATTTAGTATATAAATTTCCGAACGAAGTCAGAATTTTGGACCTGATGGGAATCGAAGCCACGTCCCGTTGACTATTATCTATCATTGTTAGACCAATGATAGATAATCCGGCGTCTACAAGAATGGATTGCAATATAACACCAAACATTATAATTCTTTAAATTGCAGTTTACAGGATAATCTAAGAAACATGAGCCTACAAACAACGATGTACATGTTTTTTTAAACCACCATAAGTTTATACGCATAATGACAGAGCCAAAGTTAAAGAGCGACATTAGCTACGTATTTGGCAAGAAGTACGAAATCGATCGTCTTATTTTTATAGCGTGACGTCATCTATAGACCAAACAAAACCGTACTTTATCACAAAGATATTAATAGGTGAACGCGCTAAAATATTATCCAACCGAATTTACATTATATGAAAAAGAAAAAATATTATTAATTACTACCCCCGTTTTATTACTTGGTGCATGGAGCGTCTTTCCGTTTGTCTCGCCGACCGATTATTATTTTTATACTTTCGATATTTATTATTTCTTAGAGGGATTTGAATCCTGGACATCTACTCTTAAATTGTCTTACGATATTCTGGAAGGTTGTCTCGTAAACGTCAAACGTAAAGTAACAATATAGTTACAAACATATTAATTAAATTATAATACATAATTATAGCATGTTCCATCATCCCGAATTTTTCCTTGTGCGATGTGGGTTTTTTAGTATTACTCAAAGAATCGCTCATTAATAAAACAAAATGGAAATTGTAACTGGGACCATTTGACTGTCTCCTGATTCCCCGTGACCACGGCTGCTGCAACATCCGAAACGTCGGGCGCGAAGTTAAAAATCATTTCCAAATAAGTTTAACTAATAATCTTTTCCATTTTTATTTAAAAATGGAAATGTTTTTAAGTGCTGATATTATTTAAAACCATGTAAATGTAGACCAACCTAAACATTACCAAACAGAATTACTGAATCGATCGTCCTTGAATACGCTATAAAGCAATCATTCCAGCCCGGACATAACTGTCAACTGGGAATCAACCTACTATCAACATAGAAAACTAAAAGCTCCTTTCTCCCTTTTAGATATGGGACGAATACAATTCTGTTGCCGTTTCACTGATCTTATTTACAAGTCGTTGATTGAAATTCTGCGTCGTTCGTGTACGATAAAATTTATGGTCTTCCCGGGTTTGGAACCCGGCAGCTCTCGTGTTTTACACAATGCTACCCCGTATTTGACTATTAAGCTAGGGAGACCGTCACTTATATTTTTACAAAACAGGGCGAACTTGAGGCGCAACCTCCTTATTTCTTTATCCTTTTTATTAACAAGGTAATAAGGAAAAATATACGGCTTCGGCAAAGCTTCTATTTCTTAGAAGCATTGGAAAAAAAACCTCTTCTAATCATGGAATTCCTTACGTGTCACTTTAAATTCAGATTACTGTATAAAACCAAAATATACATACATTTAAATGATTGATAACTCCGATAAGAAACGAGAGTTATCAGACGAGATGTTTTTAAAAACAATTTACATAATCATCTTAGAGGCCGAGTTTTGTTCTTTGCATTAGACTTAGTTTAGTAAAAACAGGATTATTGAACGTCAATAATAATTTTACACCCCAAGGACTCTTGAACAACTGCCAACGTTACGTCACTATTCCCTCATCCCACGAGGGGAATTCCCTACAAACAAATGTGTCATACATATTGTATAGATCAATAGATGTAGCACTACTAGCATAAAATGTTTGATTATTATTAAAACTAACCTACCCTACTTCTATGTAACGTGAATTATATATTTTTTTATTCATTAATTCAAAAAAAAAAAAAACCAAATTAATGTGGCACTTGAGATTCGTCATTCTTTATGATAATTATAAAAACAAGAGTTATATTATAAAGATAGATAGTATTTATGTTTTAGTTTAAAACAATAGTATTGATTGCTTAGGCACATTAAAGCTAAGCTTGAGTGCTTTTTACCTACTAGAGTAATATATCTTATTACATCTACGATGAATCAAGATAATATCATATACCAAGGCTGTTCAACTTTCTCTCATTGCTTCAATAGTTTTGCATTATACACATTTTTGATCAATTACATATTAATGCGAATAACATCTGTTCATAAATACTGTTTTCCATCACATCGGAATATTGTCAACCATATAAAGGTTTCATAATAAATAGAATGTAGTTGAAAATCCATTATTTTAGAATATTAAGTAATATTTGATAGTAAGCAAGAATAATTACTTAGTGTGGGCAAGTGTTATGTAATAAAAATACTCCATATGGCAGTAATTAACTATTGATTTGTTCAACGCGTGGGCAAATGCATACATGGATACAAAAACAAATTTGTATAGCTATTATACTATTGTAAATATATTTTGACATATTAAAAGTAAATTCACATATTATGTGCCATGAGTTTTGTTTTTGCATTTGACATAGATAATTATTTATATCACAGATGCGAGTTATCTACATCTAGATGATTCATTTTATATTAAAGGACAACAACCAACAATACTATCACTGGTTGAGAACTGCATGTCAATGATATTTTATCTTGCTATGTTAAAAATAGTTACAGACTACCGCTGTAATTTGAAATTATTGCAGTAGGTATGTCATGATTCATTAAGAGAAACATAATTTTTCAATTTAGTACCTAATGCGAATATAATGTTTTTTATGATTGGATAATAGCGTTCATTATATGCCAAACTGTGACACAAAGATATGTCAACATACAACTTGAAAAAGTACAGTTACCCTCAATGTTGTATAATAATTTGGCAAAAGAACTATTTGGTTAAGGTGTGACTACAGTGTGTTCACGGAAGAAAAGTTGTATATAGATGTGAAGTGCAAAGTTGTGTCTATTGGTTAGCAGGGTATGAAGCAACAACATGTACAACAGAGTTCCCCAAATGATCTTAATACAAGTTATTTATTTATTATATTTAAAGGTCCTTAGATTGTGAATATTAAATATGGATTTAGGAAACTCTGTAATAACAAACAATAGGTAAAAGTGAAAACCTCCTGGATAGACTCCCGGATTCTGGAACATTGTCCACAGAATATGCTGCAGAAAGAAAGAATAATATTAGAAGAAATGACAAAATATATACATACACATAGTGTTGTAGTTTGGTTGCTCAGAAGTATTTATCTTTTCGGTGGCCGTTTTGAGAAATTTTGACACAACAAATGAGTTGAGTTGCTGTAAAGGCAAAGCAGTAATTAGGTATTACAATACAAACTGCATCTTCTTAAAAGTCGGTAAACTATTAGAAACAAATACATAAAGACATCACACACTTTTTTTTGAACCCCTTTTAAATCTACTATCACTGACCTACTGTGGTAGAAAATTTATCAACTTTCTCTATTTATCTATGTGGAATTACTTTTTCCTTCTTCGAAGGTTCGAAATCCATTTTAACATAATAGCTTTGGTCGGGAGAACAATCAACTATCAAACCAATCAATTCTTTTGTTTTGATAGTTGGTAGTAAATAAAATCGATTCGTGAAACAAACATCATTTCACTTTTAGTGCGCTGGATTAATTATATTCATTAGTACTTACATGCGCCACTATAAACACGAATGACTAATAAAAAATGTGATGCAATATGAAAGTCCCACAACACACATACACAACGTATAACTTAACGCTATCATTAGCGTATACAATGGAATAAAAAAAATGCGTAATTTCAACAGGTCAGGGATTGAAAATGAAAAAATGACGTTAAACATACAATAACGTAGAATGTACTAGACTTTAGGGCGCCCTTGATACATTGTATGTATTTATTTGGCTTTGGCATTGGCGGATGTTTAAATTTTGTGTAATATTTTCACTTACCTCTTTATATTTTAATAAATAAACAAAAAATCACAAAGAGATTCCTCGGAGTAACGCTAGAAAAAGTTCAATTCACTGCACAAACATACAGTTTCTCACAATTTTCCTATACTGAAAATGGTGTATGACATTGACAATTCCATAAACATTTGTTTTCATTGTTATCAGTACATCTGTGTCGGGAATTCCTTTTTAGTAAAACCTGTGGTCAACGATTAGTGCCCCAAATATGAGTGTGATACTGAATGAAAGTAAGAAAGTTATGGAACTATGCTAGTATAATTGTTAATAATATTTATATGTTAAAAGAAACAACTACATATGGCGTCCGAGCACTCTGTAATAGCGATGCTAATTAAGCATTATGAGGGATAAAAGCCTATTATATTATGAATTGAAATATTATAGCCAAAAGCTACATATTTTACTTTATTATATGATATTATATCTTTTTTATTTAATTAATTTTTAACTTATATTTGGAAGTACTAGAAAATCATAACACCATAGAAAAGGCTAGGAGCTAAAAAGTTATCCACTTGATAAATCTGTGGTACATTTATTGTTATATGCTATTTTCATCAGTTGTCATACTCTGTGGTCTGTCATGCATATTTTGAGCTTACTTGTTCAGGGATTTTGAGGTTCAAACCAAAAAACGTATGAAGTCAAGCCTATATAAAAAATAGAACTGTTTTGGTGGATAATCGGTAAAAATAGACTAAGTGTAATAAATTTCATCTTAAAATCACAATATTTACGTTTTATTTTTTAATTAGAAGTGATATTAATACCTTTGTTGAAGTCATTTTTATTTATTAAATTTTAGATTTAAATGACTACATGAAATCATAACCCCATAGAATAAACAAACAATTAACAATCATGGAAACCCTATTACATAGCGTACGAAGGATTAAAATAAGTGGTATGTGTTAATCAGAAGAACTAATAATGTGACTAATTAGTAGATTTCCAATTTTGCATTAATTATTTTTTTTTAGTAATTTCTCGACCCTTGAGCTATTCAGCAACTTTACAATCTAAGCAATGGCGCCTTTCAAAGGGATTATCAGCCAATCGCACTGCAGAAGGGATTCTAACAGATGGCCCTGATTATACTTTCTTAGATGGCCGTCCTACTCCACTATTGGTATGAAGTGTTTACATTGCTTTAAAATACTATAACAGATATTTAAATCACTGTGTACTGTAAAGAATTACAGTACTATTGTATCCTATTGATTTTATTATAGTTATAATTCTTTAACATAAATAATGAACTATTATTAATTAACCTTTACAGCAAAAGCAAAAACTTAGAATGCTCAGACAGCAAGACTATGCTTCTAAAATTGTGCAGCTTTCTTCAGAACTCGACTTTGTCAAACAGCGGTATCAAGACAATTTACAAAAACAACGAGAAGAACGGGATGCAGTTATTCAAAATAGATTAAAACCAAAAGGAAAACAAATGAAAAGAAAATAGATTAGTGTATTGCTAAGTAGTTGCATTAATTAAATTATTAGTTTGTATATATTTGTCGTTTATTTCATTTGTCTTATGTTGAGGTAAATTACTTGCGTACTATTTGTGTGATATGTTTCTTAACATAAACGCCTATAATTGTAAAAAGGGTTATCAATTTATTCCATTTATTCCAGTTTTTAGAAAAACATGTCTTTACAAAAGCTACATGCAACTTTTTTAGTATTTGTTGTTGTAAATGTGATCGGGAGAGTCAACCTTTGTAGAGTACCCTAAAAAATATGTGCCTTCATTAATTTCTGAAACAAGGTATCTTTATGGTTTTTGAATGGACATATCTGTGATATTGAATTGTAGTTATATATAATATTCATTTAGTAGGTAATACACACCATAGGCAATCCTATATTTTATAGTTATATTTTTAAATTGGTGATTAGAAAATTTACATAATAAAATAAACTTAAATCTAAACAAATCGTACAACTACATTTTAACTTTGGCAGTATGCGTTCATTAGAAGAATTTTAACTAATTGCATTTTCTGTATTACCAATATTTAATATTATTATATATATTTATTATAAAATATCATTTTATAAATGAAAGTGTGGTGCTATAGGTTCATGCTTTAATGATAGTTACTATCAATCACAGTTTCATCATTAATTGATGGTTTTACGTTACTAATGAAATTATTTTTTAATTAGGGCAACATCAAGTTTCGACCTAAAACGGTTTCGTGGTGCATAATCTACTTATCTATCCATTTCGCGTTGCACTAAATTTTGATGAAAAGCTTTCGTAAATAGTTTCCTAATAAGCTCTACAATATTGACGTTAAAATTTTAACGTGGCCCCAAAAGTATGTTGACTTAACATCTACTTTTTACGTATCATTTGATACAGTATCAATAAAAATTGTTTATTTTTTCTTTCACATTCAGACGAATCAAATAAAGACATCTAATCGAAAAAAAAAATACTCATAATTTTTGCCTCCTGTGAGGTTTGAACTCACGACCCCTGGTTTACGAGACCAGTGCTCTACCACTGAGCTAAAGAGGCTATATTTAGAATTTCGAAATAGCAGTGTATATGTTAACGTTATTTAAATAATTATTTGAAAGGTAGAACGTTTTATAAACCACCTTATTTTTTGTATCAGTAAATAAAATAATTTAAAGAAATAAAGAGACAGTGGACCTTGAAAGCTTACAGACGACATTTTCTCAAGAAGGTCGTATTTATTGTATTTAATAAAGTTTCTAAAGAGAACCATGTGGCCAGGGGTGAACACATTTCTGTGTTCGTTTCACTGATGGGTTTTATTTTTACATAATTAGTTGAGTTTTGTGCCCTGCCCGACCGAAACAACCTATTGTTTTCCCAGCGATACAATACTAAATTATAGGATGAGGTATGTCATAATAATTAAAATCTTAAGCGCTGAATGTGTTGTTAAAACCAAGCTCCCAAAAACAACGAAACTGATTTCGATAATCCCCTTTTTATTGGACTACGTGAATGGCTTTTGCGGAGAGAAATATTAAAATTGCGCATAAAAATATTTATTAAATATTTAAAACTCAATCTGAACTTAAATGCAACACGGTAAAGGTCAGATGTTAGTGAGAGCAGAACCGGAAAAGAAAACCATTACATAATAATTTATTACTACGATCGATGTCAAAATAGCACCTAGACTATCTCGAATTGCAGAAATTCTATATGTAATAGTTATGTTTTTACGACTGTCGTTCTGACTGACTTTTAAGACGCAGTATTTTAAATATTATTTATAAAAAGTAATAGTAGATAGGGGTGTGGCAGTAGTTACAATAAAGGAGAGCGCACTCTCAAAATAATAATAATCATTACTACGTTGTAGGTTAATATTGTTACGTAAACTCCTCGAATGTAATTTTGCGCAGAGCAATTCTAAATGCAATTTTCTGTGACATTTTGTTTTCAAGCCAACGAGAACGCCTGTCCTTGCGAGGTCCTAATTAATTTAATTTTACCTTAGCGAGACGAACAAGCTTTCAATTGTTTTTAGGTTTTCTCACTCGTAAGGAACAATGAACTAACTTTAATTGGACCTAGATACCATAAAATTTACTTTGTGGACAGTGCGGCATGAATACGAACTCCATGTTCACTAGAAATAAGCTAAATAAGGACTTTGGACGTCCAAGAATCCACAGACTGAAACTGAACCGAACCGTTTTTAACTTAACGGCTTTTATGTCGACGGTCGATGTATATTTTTGAAAAATTATGATTTTTAATATCATGTTGTAGGGAATCGAACCGACGAACCGTTGATATACAATGCCACCTACGAGCTCGTAAAAAAAGAAACTGTTTTTTTTTCGAAATTGCATATGTAAAGGAATCCCGCTACCCCCCGTGGGGCGCGGGGCTCAATTCCTGTGTCCCTTTCTACTCGGTTTGATTTACGGGCAAGTAGTTGATCAGACTTCTGTTCTGTGCCGGACAGACAAGGCAACACTTTTAACCATTTAGCAATAGAGGCGGTCAATTGCTTATAATTATGTAATTAATACAAATTTGAAGCCAAGCACTCCAAAAAACATTCTTTGATGCCAAAATTTTTTAAAAATTTGATCGCAACGGGGATATTAGGGATGTGTTTTCGGTCTAAATATACAGGACTAACTCTTACGTATGGTATGTAACAATAATAATTGATTATGTGTAAAAGTTCTAGCAATCTAAAAGCTTTTTATACAATTTTACAAACTTTAAAAAAAAAAACATTTTTTTTAAATAAATGTAATAATAATAATATTTAGACAAGAAACTAATTTTCGGGAAACAAGGAAATTGTTTTGGTCGGGCAGGGCACAGAAGACTGATCAACTACTTGCCCGTGAATAGAACAGATCAGTGAAACGGACCCAGAAATGTGTTCGCCCCACGGGCTTTCACACTTATTGTATTATATGATATGCGGTGTTAAATGTGTACAATTTTTGAGGGGAAAACAACTAATGACTCTGTATATATCAATAAGAAATTAAAGAATTGGATATGGATTTGACCTGTCTCTTGAATTAAGTCGGATTTAGAAATTCGGTACCATTTTTAAATAATAAAGATTCGGTTAACGAAACATCAACTTTACTCATTGTCATAGTTCCTCGGTAAAATAGTTTTAGTACAGCCTATGTATTCTGTTGTGAGGCAGCAGCATAGCTGCAATTTTGTGGTTGGAGTTATTTATATTTTTATAGTCTAAAAATGTTAATCTATGTTAACATAATTCTTACACTTTGTACTATTAGAAATATTTCCCTCCTTATAGAAAATCATGTTTCTTATTATAAGGCCACTCTGCCTCTAGCAGCCTGAACTTTATATTGGTGAAATAATATCTTTTTGACACATTCTAACGTTGACTGACGAGGTCTTCATACGACCTAGATGTCGAGAGGCAATTGATCTCAGTAAATGAACTCACGAACCGGTTAGGCGTTTGTTAGACAAGTGTCCTGAAGAACGCCTGATCGGAAGACTGAAGTCAGTCTTTTGAAATCCACAAAAACAAAAGGACTAGAATAGACCAGCTGTCTACTTAGTTTGATATTGTAAATATGGTAAGAGACGAAAGTAATCATGATGTTCAATTGATAGGATAAATGACACAATTGGATGAAATTTCAACCTATTTTTCTTCTGGCCATTTGAAAATACAATGACATAGATAAAAGCACATTGACACTTGATTAATTTTCGACTATGGTGATGACGCCAAAATCCAAAGTATGTATTATGTAGTTATATTCGGAAACTGTCTTTAGGGTTTTAATAACTAAAATGAGGTAGGTACATTCTGGAAATTATAAATACATCCATCAAAATACGCAGATCGCTTAACAGTTTTACCACTCGCTAGGGACCATCCAGCGCTTCAGGATTTCACCATAGATCCCAACGGAAGCCGATACCCCAAGGCGCACCCGTAGTCTAACCGCAAACATGGCGAAACCTGGCATAGTTGCCCAAATGCATGATGTATTTTAGTTAGGTAGCCTTTAAAACTAGGCTACCTAACTAAAATCCAAGTATCAGTTGATAAAAACATGTTATTTGTCACTTTACGTAATTATTACATCATCATTTTATTAGTGTAAGCAATAAAGACAAGAAACTGCGAATGGATTTTTTTATTTATAACATAAAAATTACATCTACTAATCGCTTTTGCTTAAGCTAGTTCGTAATAATTCTTAAAGTTTATATTTGAAATAATACTACTTATTTTTAATTATGATTATGTTGCAAATAAGAGTAATGTTCAAGTAGACACTATAGCAATATAACTTAGCCAATAAGTAAATTGTTTCATGAACAATTCACAAAGGTGCATTGAAGGAAAGGTTTTAAGTGCTCTTTGAGATTTTGTGTTGGTGCATGTGATAAGCTTGGAGACTTATATCTTTTAAAGCTTTAACTGTCAGTGAAATAGTGTAGGTAAACAGGACCGATGACCTACTTCTGAAGTTCGAACTAGCACTAGAACCTCTCTCAGAAAGAAATAGAAGTACCGAACTAAAATATACCCCCCCCCCTCCCATGTAATTTGTAGTAAACAGCACTAGCCATTGAACCAAGAAGGCAGGTACGATTAAAGCAAGTTATTGTACTGCTAATGTACTAATTAGTAAAATTATGTTGATATGAAATCAACAGTGATTGATATTAGATATAAAATTCATATTATTGTGTTGCAAGTACATATATATAAATTTATTACTAGTTGTGCCCACGACTTCGTCCCTGTGGAATACAATTATGCGGCGTTATTAAAAACGTCTTACTACAATATATTACTGAAAACCTGACTGGTATGATAGTAATGTTATATGGTAGACTTATATTTCATCATTGCATTATATACTCACGACGTATACAATAGTGATTTTATATTATACATTTAAAGTTGTAATAGTGTTTGTATTTTGTTGGGTAAA